TGGGATGAACGACCATGGTCAGTTTGCCTTCCAGTTCGCTGTGTCAGGCTCATCGCTCTACTTGCGTTGGGTAGACTTTCAAATTGATGGATGCGCTGATGCCACTTTCGCTCACAGGCGACGGACTTGCGCTCCTCACGCCTTCCGGCAGCGACGCCCCGACTCGACTTGTCAGCGTCCCCTTCGCTCTCACTGGCGAACTCGTCCGCATCCACCTCCACCGCCACGAACCCGACTACTACATGTCGCACGGCGACTTACTCGAGATAGTCGAGCCGAGCGAGCGCCGCAAGGCAGAAGTGCAGGAGCTGCCGGGACGGGTCCTGAGTGCCGAGACGAAGGAGAAGTTGGATCAGGTTCGGGCAAAGTTCGGGAACAGGGTGCAGTGCCAGTACTTTGGCGAGTGCAGCGGGTGCCAGGTGCGCCAAACCTCTAGCGACGCGAGTAAATACCGCGCTAATTCTTTGCATCCTCAGTACCAACCGCTCGCATACGAGGAGCAGCTCGAGATGAAGCGCGATCTTGTCCGCCGCGCGTTCGCCAACTTCTCGCAGCTCGACCCGTCGCTCATCCCCGAAATTGGACCGACTCTCGCTTCGCCTCTCCAGTACGCCTACCGAACGAAGCTTACGCCGCACTTCCAGGTTCCGCCTTCGTCGAATCCGAATCGGAACAAGCGGAAGAAGGGCGGAGCGGAGGTCGAGGCGCCGAAAAAGGAGTGGGAGGTGACCATTGGGTTTGAGCAGAAGGGACGGAAGCGGATCGTTGACATCGAGGAGTGCGTTATCGCAACCAAGGTCATCAATGAGGCGATGGTGACTGAGCGGGCAAAAGTCAAAGAGTGCGTATGGCGTCCTCGCTCTTTTCGCGACCGCAGGACAAGCCTCACGCTGGGACTCTCTCGAAGGGACATTTCGAAGTACAAGCGTGGTGCGACCCTCCTTCTGCGCGACTCGCTTCCTCCTCGACCAGCCGACGCGACCGCCAAGCCCGCCGACTACGCTCCCTCGACGGAACCGCACGTCTGCATCACCGACCACCACGCGACGGTCCGAGAGCAGGTTGGCACGAATGAGTTCGAGCAACAGGCTGGCTCGTTCTTCCAGAACAACAACTCGATCCTGCCTTCTCTGCTCGACTACGTGCGCGAAGCGATCGGTCCGCGCAAGGAGGGCGAGGAGCGCTACCTCGTGGACGCGTACACAGGCAGCGGCTTGTTCGCCATCTCGCTTGCGGACCAGTTCGACCATGTCGAGGGCGTCGAGATTGACAAGGCGAGCATCCGGTGGGCGAAGAAGAACGCCGAGTACAACAAGGGTCCTGGACGAGGCGAGGTCGGTTTCCAAGACGGCAAGGCGGAGGAAATCTTCAAGGTGCGCTCTCGCTGCGCTCGCTGTTGAGCCCGAGTATCGCCGACGCAGCCTTTCTTTCCCAGGACATCACCTTTCCGCCTGAGCGCACGACCATCGTCATCGACCCGCCCCGAAAAGGCTGCGACGAGCTCTTCATCTCGCAGCTCCTCGCCTTCGCGCCCCGCAACGTCGTCTACGTCTCGTGCAACCCTCGAACACAAGCGCGCGACATCGGCATGATCGTCAGACAGTCGACGGCGGCAGGCAAGCCTTACCGGATCGACAGCGCGAGGGCGGCCGACCTCTTCGCCAACACGCATCACGCGGAGGGCGTCGCTGTCCTAAGCAGGGAGGTATAGCATGGTAGACAGGTAGAGACAGGCACCGGACCCAGGACACGCTGCGAATGCTATCCTTGCGTTTGGGAAGGCCGCCGACCGCTCGCTCGCTTGTTCGCCAGGATCGGCGAGAGCATAGTGGAGCGCGGAAGAATGACATAACGAGGAACGTAGTTCTACGGGCGAGGGAGAACGAGATGAGGAATGCGTCGCTCGTGTTCCTGCGCTGCTACCGTCAAGACGGCGTCGAAGATGAAGGTTCGCTGGGTGTGCTCATCGCGCCGGATCCACTTTGCCTGCGTCGGAGGCTTCTCGAGGTAGCGGTCTGCATCATACGGCTCGTATTGCCACGAACATCGCTCGTTCCGCATAGGCGTGTAGGCGGCTTTGTTCGGGACTGCCGGGACAGACGGCGTCAGGCTAGCTCAATACGGTCAAAGCGGAGGAGGGAGCATACGGTTGCGGGAGTCGAGCATCCAACGCGAGCCTCCGCCGAGGGTGCCAGCCGCCCAGTCCTTGACAGCCTTGACGCCGAGGTCTGCGAGGTGAGCCAAGTTGCCTCCTGCCCTATAGACCAGTGCAGGGCAGGCCATGAGGTGCAATCCATCCTGTTGGGCTCGCAAATACGTGTACACTCCAACCCCTCGGGCAGCCCAGCCGGTACGGATAATTCCCATGGTGTGGGCAGACCCGCCGACGTGTATGACCGGGGCGAGCATTGCGGGCAAGATGATCTCTGCATGGCAGGAAGATCAGCAGCGTAAGGAAGACGCAGGACTCGTGCACATACCGACGTGCTCCTCCTGACTGTCCGGCGCGAGACGTTGTCGGCGGATGAAAACCTCGTCTCCCACAAGTTGCGCCTTTGGCATGTCCCGCATGGTGGTCTGGGTCAGCTCCTTGAACCAGAGATCGCAGAGGCACTGGGCTTGCTGAAGGATGGCAGCCTGGCGATTGGATGCACTGAGTCTTCGTTCAGCTTATAGAACAGCGTCGGCGCACCTCGTCGGCATGCCCACTCAATGGTACGGCAGCAGCAGGAAAGTGCCGAGCGATATAATCAGCCAGATAGCGTCGCTTCTCGCCAGCTGCCGAGAAAACGTCAGTGATAGGAAGGGAAGGATTCGAGGACGAGTCGAGCTCACCGATATACTCCTGCTGCTGGGGCGTCAAAGCGGTCGGCTGAGCCATAGCAAAGGAACGACGATGACGGCAAGAAGCGAGAAGGGAGGGAGAAAGCACGGGAGCGAGAGGGGAGACCAGCGATCCGGGCGGCAACACCGCGGAGCGCCTCCTATGTCGGTGGTCTCGTCGCACAACGCGGAAGAGGGGAGACGGCGAGAGAGCGCAGGGCGAGAGGTAGACGAGACGTGAAGCAGAACACGATGGGAAAGCGACCGACGCACCGAAGCCCTCCGCTTCTCCCGCTGCGAAACACCCGACGATGGAGAACCGAGTGAATAACGTGCTCTAAGCTCAACTCTACTCCGCAATCTAGCAAACGACGCGCTCAGTAGACCTCAAGAACGTAGCGCTCCTCCTCCTTCATCTCCTCGATGCGAGCCTGCGCCTTCTCGGTCGACCATCCCTTGGTCTGCAAGGCCTTGACGAGCGCCTCGTAGACGTCAGGGACGGGCCAAGTCGGTCCACAGAGCGTGAAGAGACCGTTGTCGTCCTCGAGGAGCTTGGCGAGGAGCTCGCCGTCCTCGTTGATCTTGTGCTGGATATAGACCTTCTTGTCGGTGTCGCGCGAGAAGGCGAGACCCATGTGCGAGAGCACGCCTTCCTGCAAGTACGCCTCGAGTTCCTCGCTGTCAATGTGAAGAGTGGCGTCAGTCTTCAGCTATCGAGGACCAAGGAAGCGTTACGCACCCGTAGAGGTACTCCTGCGCGCGGTACCGCGAGCCAAAGTAGTAGACCAACGGTCCGACCTCGCGACCCTGAGCCCTCTGCCACGCGCGCTCCTGGATGAAGGCGCGGAACGGCGCAGCGCCTGTTCCGAGACCGGCCATGACGATGGGCTGGGTGTCGAGGGGCGGGAGCTTCATGACCGACGGCTTGATCGACGCCATGACTTTGTCGCCGGGCTTGAGGCCTGCGAGGTAGCGCGTGCACTGGCCGTAGCGGGGCGAGCCTGCGGAAGAGACGCGTGTCAGCTAACTCACAACAAGCGGGAAGCGAAACGGAACACACCCTTCGGAGTCTGCCACTCGACGGTGACGATGAGGAGGTGAACCGAGTCGCCGACAAAGTTCTGCGACGATGCGATCGAGTAGTGGCGAGGCTTGATCTCCTCAATCTCGCGAACGAGGTCCTCGACGGTCGGCTTGGCCGAGGGGAACTGGCGGAGGATGTCGGCGTAGGTGACGGTCTCGAGCTCGCTCATCTTCTTGAACGTCGACGATCCCTCGGGACTGGCGATGAAGCGAAGCGCGCGCTCCTCGGCCTTGTTCGTCGCGTACTTGGAAAGCGTCTCGTAGAACGACTTGCCGGGCTTGCCGAAGATGTCGAGGTTCTGCTGGAAGACCTGGAAGATGGTGCGCTGCTCGACGCGCGAGTGGTCGTGGCGCGAAGGGAGGTTGACGACCGCCTCGGGGTCAAGTCCGTACCACTCGAGGAACTCGCGAACCTCGTCCGCGTCGTTCCAGCCATGAATGCCGAGCGCCTCGCCAACCGCATACTTGAGGCCGGTTCCGGCGGTCGAGAACTCGATGTGGAAGACGTTGCGGTCGTACGTGTCGGGTGTGAGGCGCCTGTTCTCGCTGACGGTGATGAGGTAGTTCTTCTCGGGCAAGTCGGGGCGGAGCTTGTTCTCGAAGGTCGTGTCGAGCGAGAAGGCCTCGGGGAAGAGGAGGCGGTGCGCAGCGTGGTGCCACGAGTGCTTCTGCGCCGCCGTGCCGCCTGCAATGCCGGGAGCGGGGTCGGCGAAGGTGCGGAAGGCGTTGGGTCCAGCGGCGGTCGGGACGAGGACGGGAGGAAGGGCAGTAGGGATATCGACCTTGTTGCCCTCCTCATCGACAGGCTCGTCAGCCCACTCGGGGACGACATCGACCTTGAGGAGCGCGTTGCGAACCGCGCCAATAACCTCGACGAGCTTGGCGGCGTTCCAGTCGGCGAAAGTCGGAGTCTGCGCAAGGAGCGCGACGAGCTCCTTGGCCGAGATGGACGCGGGGAGGTACAGCGTCCAGAAGACGATCTCTGCGACGTCCGAGGCGGCAACTCCATGGGCCTTGGCGACCTTGTCAACATCGATCGAGAAGACGTGACCCGACGAGCCGGCAGCGATGTCGACGAGAGCCTTGCGCTGAGCGTAAGGAAGCTTGGTCGCAAAGTCCTCGGCGGTCCAGTTACCCGCAACGACGACGCGCGTGTCCTTGTCGACCGTCTGAGCCGAGATCGGTCCGTAAGCCTTGAAGACGCTCTGCGGAGCGCCGATGTACAAGAGCGAGGGAGCGGTAGTCGCGACGACCGACGCGACAGTCGACTCGGTGCTAGCCTTGCCCGCCTGCTCGAGGAGGAGCGCGGCATGCTGGACGCCTCCCTGGCGGAAATTGTCGTAGGTGACTTGGAGCTTGGCGCTGACGGCGGTGTTGGGCGCCGAGAAAGTGTGCGCGAGAGTCGACGGGACCGACTCGGTCGAGCCGGAAGTTGAGTCGAGGTCCCACCAGACGGCGAGCTTGGCGTGCGCCGGGAGGAGCGACTTGAGCGAGGCTGCGAGGGCACAATGCGAGTCAGTACACCGCTCGGAGAGGACTTTAACGCCCGCGAGAGACTCGCCAGCCTTGATTCCGGCAATCTTGGCGATCCTCGCCGCCCAGTCCTGGACAGTCGGGACCGACTCAGCCTTGACCGGCAAAGCGCGAACCTTGATCGCGGCATCGCCCTGCTCAAGGACCGACTCGAGGACCTCCTCAAACAAGGGTCCACTGGCCTCTCCCTCCTCGGTCAAGACAAACAAGTTCTTGACAGACTTGGGGAGGGCAGCGAAGAGTGCCTGGCTGTTCCACGGCTGGAGGACGCGGACGGTGAGGACTCCGACGTCCTCGGTCGAGGAGGCGAGGATTGCGGCTTTGGCTGCGGCCGAGTAGGTCGAGGCGGGGAGGACGAGGACCTTTGACGCATTCGACGATCCGGCGTACGAGAAGTACGGGACTTGGTGCGCCTCGAATGCCGCATCGAAGTTTTTCGCTCCGACAGCCGAGGCGGGCGCGAGAGGAGCAAGCTGGCGACCAGCAGTCAAGCCATCAAAGACATTGACGAGGTCCTTTCCGGCGTCCTTTGCGAGTGCAGTACCGACGACGGCGGCTTCCTCGGGCGTCTCGGAGAAGACGACGGCTCCTTGCCAGCCTCCTTCGCGGAGCTGTTTGGCGCCTGCGAGGACGGCGGCGAGGTCCGGGACTTGAGCGAGGGTGGGTTCGCCCTCCTCCTCCTTCGATGCGGCGAGGGAAGACGTCTGGGTCGAGACGTGGACGTTCAATGCCGGACGCTTGGACTGCTCAGGAAGGGCAAGAAGCGAAGGAACGAGGGCGAGGAACGCCTCGGATCCAGCAAGGACCGCAACGGGTTTATCGGCCTTTCCCTCGCTCGCTCCCTTACTTGTGTAGGCAGCCGACTCGACGAATCCGACGAGTGCGGATCCAGCGCCTGCGCGGACTTGCATAGGGTAGACGCGCGCATCGGCTGAGCGAGAGGGGAGCGAGGAACCGAAGGGCGCGGAGGGGGTCGAGTCGTAGGTGAAGACGGCGGAGGAGGACGCGAGTGCGTCTTGCTCGATGAGCGTGTGGAGGGTTTGGAGGGTGGCCATCTTTTGTCAAGTTCCGCGACGGAGGGAAGAGGGAGAGGGAGGTGCGAGGCGAGGGTCGACGAAGAGCGTCTCCTGCGTTGGCGGTGGTCGCGAACGGTGTCAGTGTACTGCTCAAGACTTTCTCCATTGCCTGCAGGTCCCCTCAAAGCGTGCGGCGAGCAAACAAGCCCATCCGCCCCCCTCGCTCGCCATCGCCAACCGGAAGGCCTCTCCCGCGCGCGCAACACCCGCCGGTGCATCGGGCGCGCCGCGAAAAGTGTGACGGGTGCTCACCTGTGTTGCCTGGGTGCGACTGGCCCAAAGGGAGCGCGAAGGGAGCGGGTGAGGGAGGGAGAGCCGGAAGGCGTGCTGGATGGATGCGGACCAATCTCGCCACTCGCGCCGGGCCTTTGCGGGTGAGTCTAGGGGTGGTGTTGTGAGTGCATTACAAGTAGTAAGCGAGTCGAGCAAAGTCCTCCAGAGTCGAGCAGGAGCAAGTCGTCGTAGTCGCTCTGGTCGCGTCGCTTGCTGGACGGAGCAGGTCAGTCAAGTAATGCTGAATGAGTTGCAAGTACACAAGAAGTAGCCCAGAGAGAGTGAGGGTGGACTGCGCAGTCCCCCCCTGGCCACATTTCACCTCGTCGCCTCGCCCTCGACACGCCAACAAGGCTATAAGTTAGCTGCTTTACTGGGGAAACGATACTCGCTGGGCAGACTCACACTCGCCCGCCATGGCCACGCTGGACTCGCACCCATACAGCTCGCCCTCTCCCTCGTCCTCGACCCCACCATCCACCAACCCCCTCCCCCGGTCCGCGTCCCCTCCTCCCTCACCCTCTCCCTGGAAACGCATGGTCGGCAGACTGTCACGCAAAAACTCGGCCGCGTCGTCTCCCCAACTCGCGCAGACTGCGACGTTCGCACCCTCTCACGGACTGGGCGGTGCAGACGCCGACGGTCCCGGCGACAAGGGACAGCAGCAGCCAACGTTCTTCACCGGCGGAGGCGGAGGAGGGGCCAGCAACTCGTCTCACAGCGCACTCGCAAGCTCGACGGGTTCGCTCCGGCCGCCTTCGACGCCGGGAGGAGGGACCCGCTCGACCTCGTTCGCATCGACTGCTCCGTCCGCCTCGCCCGGACTCCAACTCTCGCGCGGTACAAACTCCGGCCCAGACGGCTACTTCGGAGCACACGCTGGGAGTGTGAGCGGGACGTCCAGCCCCGCGCTAAGCAGCAAGAGTTGGAAGTCTGGGTCGATGTCAATGTCGGGCAAGGAGAACCACTCGCGCAAGACGGACAAGTTTCGGTCTTTGTCGCGCTCGCAACGCGGGCGGAGACGGAGTGGGACCGGTGCAGGAGCGGGAGCGGGCGACACCTCGACGCCCTCCCAACGGCTCGCCAGCAACCCGATCGGCTCCTCTCATTCGGGCGGATCCAGCGCAGTCCGATTCCTCCGCCGCGTCGCCTCGGCACCCAACACCAAAGCCCTCTTCAGCGGGTCACTCTTCTCCTCCTCTTCGAGCTCGCACCCGTACCCGGCTTCCAAGAACGCGTTCAGGGGAGACTCAGGGGAGGACGAGCGAGTGCCCCCGCTGCCGAAGGGGGTCATACCCGTGGGAGAGATGCACGATTCGGGCGTGTCGTTCGGTTCGACGTCCGAGAAGAAGAATGCCAAGGCGGGGGCGCCGACTCTCGACGGAACCAAGTCGAGTTCCGGGTCGTCTTCGTCCTCCTCCGGCGGCGGCGGCGTCTCGAAGATGGCCCGCCAGCCCTCCCAAGCCTCCACCGCGCCCTCCCCAACCCGCTCTCGCTCCTCCCCTCAAATCAGCAACAAGTCTCCCTCGCTGCCTTCCTCCTCTCTCCTCGCCCCTCCCTCGCCCAACCTCCCTACCACCTCCCTAAACGCCGGCGGCCTCCCCGGCTCCCCCCGCGCCGCCTTCCGCCGAACCTACTCCTCCTCCTCGATCCGCGTTCGGAACCTCGAAGTCGGCCCTTCCTCGTTCCAGAAGATCCGGCTCTTGGGAAAAGGGGATGTAGGGAAGGTGTATCTCGTGAGGGAGAAACAGAGCAGAAAGTTGTTTGCGATGAAGGTGTTGAGTAAGAAGGAGATGATCAAGAGGAACAAGGTCAAGCGCGCGTTGGCCGAGGAGGTGCGTCCCGTTCCCTTCTTTTCCCTCCCTCCGACTTCTGTCTTGACTGACGCGTGGGTGGATGTGCGCAGGAAATCCTCGCCGGCTCGAACCACCCGTTCATCGTCACGCTCTACCACTCTTTCCAGTCCGACGACTATCTCTACCTCTGTGCGTCTCCTCCCTCCCTTCCCTCTCCCTCCTTTCCTGCTCCTCCCTCCTCCTTCTACTCGCCCCGCTCTCCCACTTCCCCCCTCGCTAACCTCGCGACTCACGGCTTAACAGGCATGGAATACTGCCTCGGCGGCGAATTCTTCCGCGCGCTCCAAACCCGTCCGGGCAAGTGCCTCCCCGAAGAAGACGCAAAGTTTTATGCGGCAGAGGTGGTGGCGGCGTTGGAGTACCTCCATTTGATGGGGTTCATTTACAGGGATTTGAAACCCGAGAGTACGTTCGCTTCCTCGCTCGTTCGTAGGTGAGAGGGGAGGAGGAGCTGACGGTTCGCCCACACGCGCGCACAGATATCCTCCTCCACGAAACAGGCCACATCATGCTCTCCGACTTTGACCTCTCGAAACAATCCGACCCGAACGGGTTCGGTGGCGCACCGGCTGCGATCAAACTTATCACGCCGAATGGGGTGCCGCTTGTTGATACGAAGAGCTGTATTGCGGATTTTAGGACGAACTCGTTTGTTGGGACCGAGGGTGAGTGCGCGTTTGCCGGTTCGGTGAGGCTTCGTGCGAAGGGATCGCTGATAACACCGCATCACGCGCACACAGAGTACATCTGCCCCGAGGTCATCAACGGGCGAGGACACAGTTCGGCCGTCGACTGGTGCGCTGCCCTCTTCCTCCCGCTTCCTTCTCCACGTAGCTCATCGACGTCGCTCGCCCGCAGGTGGACGTTCGGCATTCTCGTCTACGAGATGCTCTACGGCTGCACGCCCTTCAAAGGCCCGAACCGTCACGCGACCTTCTCCAACGTCCTCCGCAACGAGCCTTCCTTCCCCGACCACCCAGCCACGACCACCCTCTGCAAGAGCGTCATCAAGAAGTTGTTAATCAAGGACGAGAATCGGAGGTTGGGGAGCCAGAGCGGCGCGAGCGAGGTCAAGCAGCATCGGTGGTTTGCGAGTATCAATTGGGGGCTGTTGAGGCATCAGAAACCGCCTATCGTTCCGCAGGTCGTGTGCGTGTCCCTCTCTCCCTCCCTGTCGCGCGAAAAGTCGAGCTGACGAGCGTATTGGGAGGCGCGCAGAAACGCCGAGCAAACCAACTTCCGCTCGATGCGCGAGTCGAAATCGCTCGACCTCGAAGGCCAATCCGCGTGGCTTCCCTGGCCGGAAGCCGAAGACGGGTTCCACCAGACTCCGTCCGCCTCGCCTTTGCCTACTCCTGGTCTGACGCCAGTTGGGACGCCCGGGTTGGGAGCAGCACCGACGATGGTTGTGGATGTTGTGCCGAGTGCGAAGAAGGAGAGGAAGGAGAGGAGGCATAGGAAGGAGGGCGCTGAGGGGGTTATGGCGTGAGAAGGAGGCGACTTCAACTTCGGCCCGACTTCGCTCCTCTCGTCCTCCTCTCGTACCCTCTCTCCCGACTCTCCTTCCCACGTCTCTCATCCTCGCTTCCGTCCATTCGGCACCGCCTCGTTTCGCCCCCAACTCACGACTCACGACCGCGACTATTCGCCATGTATCCCTCGCCCCGTCTTCCGTCCTCGAGCCGGTACTCACCCTTACGTCTCTCCATCTTCTCTTCCACTCGCCGCCGCTTTCGCCCTCTCTCCGCTTTCCAACTCGGCATCGCATGCGCTGGTCGCGCGCTTACCTTACGACCCCTTTACTCCCCTCGTACGCCCGCACCTACACGACCGCCCCTATCCCGCATCGCATGTTGTCATACTCTTGCCTCCTCCACACTTGTCATTCCGCGCTTTAGCTCGCATATATACTTTCCGGCACGTTCAACTTCAGAAATGTCAGTCGTCCTCTTCTTTCGTAGACAAGTCTGCGCATCTTCTTCGTCGACAAGACTACACTCACGGAATTTTGACCGTTCGGCTGGGCATCTAAGCATTCTGGCACGTGCCTCGAAGTCGGCCGTTCCTCGTCCTTGTCAGAGTGAGCGAAGTTGGCCCTCGTCGTTGCTTCAGGCTTGCCCTTGTCCCGCTCACTTCCTCTCGCTTGTTCTCGCTCGCCGGCCGTCCCTGCCCTGTCAAAGCTCTCAAGGATCCGTACCTGGCCCTTCCTAGCCGTCCGCTCGTCTGTCTGCGCCCGGAACTCCACCACCGCCTCATCGCCCAACCATGCCCAAGGCGGGCTCGTCACGCCGCGCGCCGACTCGCGAGCCATCCAGCGAAGACGAGCTGGCAGACGACCCTTCGCTCCAGCCCGCACCGCCTGCGAGTCCCTTGCGCGCCGCTGTCAGCAAGGGGAAGAAGCGAGGTCCCGACGCCAAGGCAGTCGCTCCCGCACCGCCCGGCAGTCGCGCTACGAAGCCTTCCCTGACTCGCAGGACAAGTGCGCAGAAGCCGCAGCCTACGCGAAGGCGCAGCACGGCCGAGGACGCGGGACCTTCGACTGCCCTAGCTGCTCTCGAGCGCTTCCGTTTCAAGGGTGCGGCAGTCGCGAAACTCGACCCGAATACGATGAGCGATCCTTCTTCGCCGGGTCCGAGCGGACCGAGCAAGACTGCGCGTCCGCCGAAGCGTCTCGACGATGCCGCCGTTTCCGACCCCTCGCCTGCTCTCGAGCTTCGCCGCAAGCGCTCCTCGACTACCGCATCGCTTCCTGACGAGTCGAAGGAGAATTTCACGACCAAGCGCCGTCGGACCGAGCCGGTCTTTGTGATTCCTGACTTTGACGAGGACGGAAACCCTGTCGAGATTGAGCGGGAGACGTCTCTCTCGCCAGCTGCTTCCGCATCGACACCCGCCAAGCCTTCCGCTGCTCTCTACGATGCGGACGCCCGCCAACTTCAGTCGTCCCCTCCACGTCCGCAGACCAGCACTTTGAAGCAGCCGACCGACGGACAACCTCGTGCTCTTTCCGCACAGACCTCGCCGCTCCGCCAGCTTCCGTCGTCCATCGAGCTCCCTACGCAACTTGCGATTCGCCTGATGCGCCAGCCAGATAAGGCTGAGCACGCTCACCCAGCTTCCGAGCCTGCCGAAGTGGGCGTCCGTCCTCCGCCCTCTTCCGCCAGCGCGCATCTTACGAACGAGCAAAAGCAGGCGGTTGACGAGATGATGGCTGACCTCGAAGGGATGGATGCGGACGCGTTTCAGGAGCTTGAGGAGACACAGGAGCGCGAAGAGTTCGCTGGAGAAGCCGGTGAAGCGGGTCGCGAGGATGCGGGCGAGGATCCCGACAAGACTCTGTGCGTTGAGACGTGTCTTGCGCCGTGAACAGCGAGGCTGACCCGCTTCTACGGCGCAGAGTCGACCCTCCTCTCGCCGAAATCGACGCTCTCGTCAGGCCCGACAAGCTCGCCGAGCCCGCCTTAGCACAAAGTATCACCCAGCCTACTGAGAGGGCGGACCGCACCAAGGGCGCGCCCGATGTGACGACCGCTCACGCCCAAGCCGCCGACACCGCTTCTTCCGCCTCGCCTACGCGCCGCCTTCAAGTCGGCGCCGATCCTCGCTCGCCTGTCCCCGTAGCTCGGGACTTCTCTCCCAGTCGACTGCCTACCTCTCCGGCTCAAGCCCGCCTAGCCAGCCCGCAACCCCTCCATCGTCCAATTAATCCCCCTCGCCCGCCTCCAGCCTACCGCCTCGTCCCGCTCAGCATCGACGGCCTCGTCTCCCATCTCCGCGAAGTCGTCTCCGCCTCATCCCGATCCAGCACGAAAGGCGGCTTGTTCGAGGTCGAATACCTGCGCGGCGAAGTCAGCCGTCTCATTGAACAGCTCGAGGAGCGCGACGAGGTGATCAAGTCGCTTGCGGAGCAAGTCAGGGACGCCGAGCGCGACGCTGCAGAGCGGAACGAGCGCGAGGAGGCGTGGGAGGAGGAGAGGCAGGCGTTCGAGAGGAAGGTCGACGTCTTGCGTGAGGTCAGACGCGGTCTGCTCGGGCAGGTTAAGGAGCTTGAGGGGCGAGTGGAAGAGCTGGAGAGGGCGTTGGCATCGACGAATCAGGCGGAGGACGGAGGAGGAGGCGGCGCGGCAGACGAGCGGGACGAGAACTTGTCTGCGGGAGAGCCAGAAGGTCACGAGTCGGCGGATGCGGGTACGGAGACGACGGCGCCTGCGTCGTAGACCGCCATGCATGAGTTGCGCTAGACGCAGGATGTGCAACACCGCTATCTCTCCCTGACCAGTGTTTCGGGACGAGGAAGACATTGTCTATCGAAGATCGACTCGTCTGCTGGGCGTCTCCTTCGTCCGTCCGGCCTCCTTTACTCTTGCCCTCATACTGTTTCCTCACTGTTCCGCGCTGTCGCTTGCCGACGCGACTTCGCCAAAATTGACCTTCGTGCCAGGGGGGGCTCGCCTCTTCGACGTCGTCGACCCGCAGTGACTCTCTCCTGCTGCTCGCTGGGCATCTGCCACGCTCAACTGCGGGCTTCTGCACCCTACACGCTCAGTTGATCACGCCCGGGCGTTGCGGCACCGCTCTCTCGCTCGACAGGAAGTTGGATCATTCGCGAGGGATGGAGCCGCTCAACACGGGCGTCGGGAGGCGCACGTCGGTGATGGGAGACTCCGGTGAGTGCTGCACTCTGTCCGAAAGGTGCGCTAGACAAGCTGATCCTTGGTCTGCGACGGGACAGCCACGACACCTGTCTCGACTCTCCCCGGAAACGGCTTCAATGCTCCTCCTTCTCCTTGGATCGATCAGTCAAGTCGAGTACCACAGACTCCTCGAGTAGGCGCGACACCGCAGCTCGGACGGCATCACCGCAAGAGCTCGACGGGAACCGCCTTTCCGCCTTCTCCGACTTCGAAGTGGTCGAGCTGGTTCGGGGGTGGCAAGGCGGGCGATGGGCGGAAGGACAGAGATGGACACCTGCCGACGTTTGGGAAGCGCGCGAGTGCGGCGCCGGCGCGGCCGTTCTACTCGGAAGGAGCGGGTCGAAGAGGGACGGCATCTCCACTTATCCTCGCTCGCAACATTGCTTTGCGACCGTTCTACCTCCTTGGACGACGAGGGCCTCTCCTTCCCATCATCGGCTTCGTCACCTTCATCCTCCTCTACCTCACCTACTCGACTTCGCCTTCGTCTCAATCCGTGAAGCTCCGCGTTCAAGGCGCTGTCGGGCCCTACATTCCGCAGCGAGCAGCAGATGCGATACGGTGGCGAGGAGCAGGCTTGAAACAAGCTCCGCTCGGCGCGGACAACCTGCTCGGCGGCGCAGGCGGCGTGGGACAGCAGCCCGTCGTGAAGAAGGCTGCTCCGCTCAAGCCTGAGGAGCTGCCCCCGGTCGGCATCGACTCGCGCATCAAACTCGAGGAGGGCAAGACTCACCCGATTCCGGGGCTCATGGCGCAGGCGAAGCAGAAGTGGGAGGACTTGAAGAACTCGCAGAGCCGGACGTTCGCGCAGGCTGTCAAGGAGTACAAGCGGCGGAACGGGCGGAATCCTCCAAAGGGGTTTGACCGATGGTGCGTTCGATCTGCTCTATGCCACAGACTTGCACTGATCGCTCGCCCGCAGGTACGCCTTCGCGAAAGCGCACAAGGTCCTCCTGATCGACGAGTTCGACCTCATCGACAAGGACCTCCTCATGTACCGCGCCTTCAAGCCCAGCGTCTTCCGCAAGCGCATCGGAGTTATGCAAGAAGTCGTCGACACGACCTGGACGATCCGGGTCGAGAACGGCAAGGTCCTCCGCGAGGGCCCGCTTGCGCACCACGACCGCGCGAGGGGCGTAGAGTTCCTCATGAGCCGATTCGCGCACTTCTTGCCCGACATGACGATCGTCTACAACGGGCACGATGGAGCGAGGATTGCGGTCGCGGCGGAGGAGCGGATCAGGCTGGAGGACTTGGCGAAGAAGGGCGAATGTGCGTCGACACGACATCGTGTCTCGTTCAAATATGCTGACTCGTCTCGCGCGCAGACGACGACGAGGAGGAGCCGCCGTTCTGGCCAAAGGAGCGCGGTCCGTTCCCGCACTGGGGCTACCCGATCTTCTGTCCTCCCGGCAGTCCCGCGCGCGAACTCGGCTTCGAAGGCTACGGCTACCACGCCTCGCTCGACGCAACAGGGTTCGAAATGCCCTCGCATCCGGAAGAGTCGATCGGCTCGCTCGTCGGCGACTTCAAAGGCTACATGGACGTCTGTTATGCGCCTCACTACCGCCACACGCACGCTACGACCTCGTGGGTGTTCGAGCACCACCCGACTCGCGTCATGCCGCTCTTTACGCCGGGAGTGCAGACCACCTTCGGGGACGTGCACGCCTTGATCGTCGAGCAGCTCGAGCTCGAGTCGCAGCACGATCCGGCATGGGAGGACCGACCGTTCACGAGCCTGCACTGGAGGGGTCAGACGTCTGGCCCTTTGTGGGAAAGCAAGACGCCCTGGCGGACCTCTCAGCGCTCTCGACTCCACCTCCTCTCGCATCAAGAAGACGGGTTCCGAAACATCACCATCACAGACGAGAACGACGTCATGCGCTCAGTCGAAGTTCCCAACTACCGCCTCAACCCGCTCTTCCTCGATACCGGCATGGTCGGACCGCCTGTCCAGTGCGTCAAGGAGGACGGGACGTGCGACAAGATGTTCGAGGTCTTCCAGGGCTACGACAAGCGCGTGTCGTTTGACCGGGCGAGCTTGTACAAGTTTGTGCTCGGTGCGTCGCCGTCGAGCTACTCTTCGGATGAAGGCAAAGTTGACTTTCCGCCTCGACTTCCACAGATGTCGACGGCAACAGCTGGTCTGGTCGCTTCCGCCGTCTCATGCTGTGCGTCGATTCCTCGCTCGCTCATACTCGGACAAACCGTTGATATTCGGAAGTGCAGCTCGAACGCCGCAGTCGTCAAGGCGACCGTCTTCCCCGAGTTCTGGACGGTGAGTCGCCGCTCGCTGTTTCTCTGCTATCACTCTGCTGACTCTCCGTGTCTTCGCTCGTGCAGGACTGGGCTATTCGTGCGTCACGGCCTTGCTATGACGCTTCGCTCTCCGCTGACCTTGCATCTCCGGTCGAAACAGCCTGGCTGCACTTCATCCCAATGCAGGTGCGTCTCTTTCTGTTCCCTCTCGTAAGGACCCGCAGCTAATCTCATAACACCGCAGGTGGACTACGCCGACATGTGGGACATCCTCGCGTTCTACCGAGGCGGGATCAACGGCGAAGGCGCGCACGACGACCTCGCGAAGGATATTGCCGTCGCGGGCAAGGAATGGGTCAAGCAGTGCTACCGGTGGGCCGACCTCGAGGCTTACCAGTTCAGGTGTGTCCGACGTCTCCCTTCTCCGACTTCGCGACCGGGCGATTGACAAAGGGACGATGTGCAGGCTCCTCCTCGAGTATGGACGGCTCTTCAATGACGAGACTGAGCCTGGCAGTAACGACTTCACAGGCGATACGTGAGTCGCCACACTGCGAAGACCTCCAAGTCGTCCCGCTGACCCTCTCTCCGTCGCAGGTCTGTCGAACCGCGGTGGAATGGTCCGGTGAAGCTGCAGTAGACGAGGGGCGTGTGCGCATCTTGCAATTACCACTTCGCAGTTTCCCCTGTTCGTTGCTGCGTTCGAGACTCGCTCGTCGGATGTTCCGATTGCTCTCTCTCTCTCCCTCTCGCTTCGTTCTCTTCCTTCCGCCTGCTTGCACGATGGCTGCCACTGCTCCCACTCAGAGTGTCGATGTCTGTACGCCCAACTCCTCCCGCGAGCTCGCTTGAGCCAGTCCAGCGCGACTCGAACGCGTCCCTCTCCAGCCACGTCCAACAACTCACCCCTCCTCGCCCGCACACAGTGATTGTCGGCGCAGGACCGACCGGATTGGGTGCTGCCAAGCGTCTCCACCAGCTGGTTCGTCTCTCCCACTCCTTGCGCGCGTCGTCGGAGGTCTCGTCGCGTCTTTCCCAAGGTCCCGCTGAAACGGCTCGCTCGCCACGTTCCGCAGAAGCACACCAACTTCACGGTCGTCGACGCTCAGGCAGAGGCTGGCGGTCTCGCCTCGACGGACGTCACGCCCGAAGGCTTCCTCTTCGACGTCGGAGGGTGCGCACCCCATTTCCTCCTCCTCCGCAACTCGCCCGTTGGCGCTAGAAATCGCTCGTACACCGCGTTCCGTTGGGTTGACCTCGCGTTCTTTCCTGCACACGCAGACATGTCATCTTCTCGCACTACCTGTGAGTTTCCCGCTTTCTTTGCGCGGATGTCCGGGACTTTTGCGATCGACAGGCGGAGGAGACATTGTTGGCGGTCGAGCCCGACGTCGCAGAGACGCTGACAGCCCCGTCTGTGCAGCTACTTTGACGACTGCATCAACGAGGCGCTCCCCAAGCCCGATGACTGGTACGAGCACGAGCGCGTCTCGTACGTTCGCTCGAAGGGTGTCTGGGTTCCCTACCCCTACCAGGTGCGTCGCGAGGGTTCTCTTGCATCTGCTGCCAGTGACAGAAGTCGCAAAAAAGCATCCGCGAACAGCTGTACTGACATTTGCTCCGTGCGCACCTCCTCGCAGAACAACATCACGATGCTTCCGGTCGAGGAGCAGGTCAGGTGCATTGAGGGCATGATTGACGCCGCCGAGGAGCGCGTTCGTGCGGCTACCAAGCCCAGGAACTTTGATGAGTGGATCGTTCGCATGATGGGTGAGTTCGCCCGGCACTCTCGCTTTTCGCGGCGGGCTCCCTTGCTGACCGGTGCTGTGGAACAGGTGTCGGACTTGCCGACCTCTTCATGCGCCCTTACAACTTCAAGGTCTGGGCGACGCCGACGAGCGAGGTTTGTGTCCCCCCTTCGACCGTTCCTTCCCCCACGCTAATGCTCACTCGCCCCGCAGATGCAATGCGAGTGGCTCGGTGAGCGTGTCGCGGCACCGAGTCTCAAGCTCGTCGTCTCGAACGTGCTCAACAAGAAGGTTGCCGGCAACTGGGGCCCGAATGCGACGTTCCGCTTCCCTGCGCGCGACGGAACCGGCGGTATCTGGAAGGCGGTTGCCAAGACGCTCCCTCAGGAGCGCTTCCAGTTCGGCAAGTCGGTGCAGAAGATCGAGGCGTCGAAGAAGATTGCGCACCTCTCGGACGGCACGACCATCTCGTACCGCTCGATGATCTCGACGATGCCGCTCGACCAGATCACCGAGATGTCGGACGAGCTCGAGAACCTCCGCTCGACCTCGCGCGAGCTCGTCTACTCGTCGACGCACGTCATCGGCGTCGGAATCCGCGGCGTCCTCCCCCCTCGCATCGGCGACAAGTGCTGGCTCTACTTCCCCGAGGACGACTGCCCCTTCTACCGCGCGACCGTCTTCTCCAACTACTCGCCCTACAACTGCCCTCAGGCCGACGTCAAGCTCCGCACGATCCAGACTGCCGACCCCAAGCTCTCGTCCGGCATCGACACCAAGACCGAGCGCGCAGGACCGTACTGGTCCCTCATGCTCGAGGTCTCGCAGTCGACCCAGAAGCCCGTCGACGAGGCCAACCTCCTCGCCGAGTCGATTCAGGGACTCGTCAACACGGGCTTGCTCCAGCCCGAGGACGAGATTGTCTCGACCTACCACCGCAAGTTCCACCACGGTGCGCTGCGTTGCCTCCTAGCCTTTTCTCGAGCCGCCGCTGATGGCCTTGTGCGCAGGCTACCCCACCCCTTCGCTCAAGCGCAATGGCCAGCTCGCCGTCCTCCTCCCCGAGCTCCGCGAGAAGTACAGCATCTGGTCGCGCGGTCGGTTCGGTTCGTACAAAGTGCGTTTCCTCTCACGTTTCCTGCGTCGAACGAGACCACCTCGAGCGAGAAGAGCAGTGGCTGACGGCCGTCTTCGCCCCGTTCCTCGCTCGCCTTCGACTCCCGCCAACTCGTACTGCACCGGCTGCAGTACGAGGTCGCGAATCAGGATCATTCCTTTATGGTTGGCGTCGAGGCGGTCGACAATGTATTGTTCGGAGCGAATGAGTTGACCCTGGAGCAACCCGACGTGAGTGGTCCCTCGTTTCCCCCTCGTCCCAGCGCATCTCCCTCACTCAGCCTCGCTCTTGGCAGTACGTCAACGGTCGCAGGAACACCGAGAGGAGGTTGTAAGCGGTCGACTAGAGCGAGGTCGGAGGGTCTTTCGAGGTTGCGGGATACAGCCTCCAGCGTTCGTTTCTTACACTGTCCTTACAGCATGCCGTTGTTTCTCCCTTGCTATACACCTAGACGTTCATTCGAGCCCGTTCTGTGGCACGTCCAGCGCGACAAGCGTGCGAATCGGCTCTTCGCCTCTCCGACTCGCTCTCGCCTTCCTCCTTACGATCGCTCTTCCTTACCTTCCTCTCCGACTTCGACTCCGTCTACCTACCGCTCTCGCTCTCCCGGCTACGGCATCTCGCATCTCATCACGAACGAGCTGGCGGGAGAAGCGGAGTATCGAGCGGGATGAGCTGGGAATCGCCCTGGCGTTCACTCCAACTTCGCCTTATTTCTCGCCTGCGTGACCACCGCGCTGTTCGACTCGCAAGTCGCACCTACACACCCGGGACGACATTAGATCCTCTCGAGGCGCCCGTTTCTACAGACCGTCGAGACCTGCGAGTCGACCTCGCCCTACTCGTGCTTCTCGACGACTCAGGCTCCATGCTCGAATTTGACCGCACACTTCAAGTGTCGAACACGCTTATCTCGGTTCGTTAGGAGGACGGCGCGACATCTCGAGAGGGTTCCAGCGCCGGGCGCAGTCGATATTCTCGATTGCCTCGCTCTTCACGCCCACTGTATGGCGCTCCGACGGCTGTTCTACAGCTTTGGACGTCTGTGCGGCACAAGCTCGACTCGCGAAACATTGCTGGACGAGGAAGGACCCGCAACGCGCTTTCCGCTGGCCTTCTCAGGCGACTTCTCTCGCCTCTGCGTCTTCCAGCGACCTTATCAGCGCCCAAACCTTCATTGTGCGACTTCTCTTGCGTCGTGTGCGCTCTGCGCTCGACGCTTTGCTCCAGACTTGCCGACGAAGCCGTCTTCCGCCGTGTCCGCATTTTCCCACCGACCTCTTCCTGCGACGCTACACCCCCCATCCAAGCGGTTCGAATCTCCTCAGGATGCAATGCTGACGTGATTATCCAGCAGACCGCCCGACACCCATCCCACAGCGATACGCGCCATTCGACGAGCCTGCAACCTCCCCGTGCCAACCTCGCCAGCAACGACGTTCCAGCTTCGCCAGAGGTCGGCATCGACGTTGAACAGCCTAAGACCGGAGGTTGCGCATACAAGCAGGAGAGGAGGTGGATGGAGGGAGAAGGGAGGTTGGCTCGAGGAAGGAGGAGGAAGAACGGCGGGTCATCGCGTCGTTGTAGGCGAAGCGGACCGTTGTATAGTCGTTTCTGCAAGAGAAGGAGTAGTCAACGACGATTCTGTACCTTGAGAGACGTAGGAAGTAACCGAAAGGGAGACCACCTCGAGCGAGAAGAGCAGTCGCTGACGGCCGTTTTCGCCCCGTTCCTCGCTCGCCTTCGACTCCCGCCAACTCGTACTGCACCGGCTGCAGTACGAAGTGGCGAATCAGGACCATTCCTTCATGGTTGGCGTTGAAGCGGTGGACAACGTCTTGTTTGGAGCGAACGAGTTGATTCTGGAGCAGCCCGACGTGAGTGGTCCCTCGTTTCCCCCTCGTCCCGGCGCATCTCCCTCACTCAGTCTCGCTCTTGGCAGTACGTCGAGACCTGAGAAATGTGAGAACGCACAGGCTGATAATACGACAACATTCCGACTCTACCGCTCAACCCAGCCTCCTTCACTCCTTTCGTCTTCCTCGACCGCTTTCTCCCTCTTCCGCTCCAAGCCGCGACATAAAGAGGAGCGCTGCGACCAGCGCAAAGATGAAGAGCTGTTGTCGCGTCGAAAGAGTCGCTTCGCCGAGCGAGAGGGAGTCGAGCGGGTTGTCGAGGAGAAGGTTGAAGACGCGGGGAAGGACGAAGTCCTTGATGCCGACGGCAAGGAAGGTAGTGAGGGCGTCGCAGTTCTGCAAAGAGAGGTAGGTCAGCCGCTTGCTCGAGTATCGCAGGCAAAGGGTGAACAAACAGCGATGAGGTGCCAGAACGCCGCGAGGTTCGCCAGGCCGCACAGCGACGTAACGACCTCTTGCAGCCAGAAGCCAATCTCGGTGAAGAAGCCATAATGTCGGTAACGTTGAATCAAAGCGATTTCGCCCGAGAGAGCGGTCGGAAGGGCGAGGAGGAGGACGGACAGGAGGAGGTGGAGGAAGATAGTAGGCGGCGCAGTTGAGCTTGACCTGTTATCATTCGGTAGTCAGTCACGTCTATTCTGAGGAAGCGCGAGGCGAGCGCACCCTTCGATCGAGTCGTCCGTCGCCCTACGAGCCGCAACTTCTCCTTCTTCCGCCTGCTCAGTTCCCGTCTGAACAGCCAACACCCACCCGGTTACCGCTATCGCCCAGCCAACCGCGCAAGGCCATCCGCCTCGTCCACCTTCCGTCGAGATACCCGCTCCACCCGCGAGCGTCGCCGCGACGATAAGGCCGGGCACCGCAGTTCGTGCGTTCGTCAATGGTGAGGGTAGAAGACGCGCAGGTGATACGAGGGTGACGAAGGCGGTGATCAGAATTGGGAGGAGCCGGGCGAAGGACCAGAAGGAAGGATTGAGGGTTCGATGGGCGCGGATGTCGAGAAGAGCAGCGAGAGTCGAGCAAAGGGCGGCCGTGATGGTGTACGACGTGAGGTGTGTCCAGAGAGTCGAAGCGATAGGCGGAGCCGGGAGGAGTGATGCGAGAGAGGCGAGTAGTCGTGCGGACGAGGAAGAGTGAACATGAGCAGCCCCGCCGGTCAAAGCTCGCCGGCCGCCCCCTAGACGCTCGAGGAGCCGAGCAGCGAGGCAAATGACGGTCAAGACCACGAGCGAGAGGAGGAGGTGAAGTTGCGTCGAGACGAGGGGATGTGGGAACCTGCAAAGTCGCGGTCAGCTGCGATAGCGAGCTTGCGAGCACGTTCAGACACACCTGTACTCGCTCACGCTGTCTACCACGCTCGTCACGCTTGCCGCGCCCGTCGACACCGCCAGGTATCCCACAACCGCTCGCGATGAGGACTGCCTCAACACCGCTCGCACCGGCGCGGTCCGCAAGCCTAGCCAGCCCATCCTGAGCGTTCCAACGAGCAGCCAAGCGTCTCAGCCAGCCGGAGAGCGGTGACGGTGTGAGTGGTTCCGCGCGAACCTCTCCTCGCGCAGGTTGACCTCTTCGTCGCCACCGTTCGCCCGCCATGGCTGCCGCTGGACCGTTCAGCGCGGTGCGGACACTGCTGAGACGTATTGGGAGGCCGTCACCCTTCGCGCCCGCCTTCTTCCAGCCCTCATGCGGCCCCGCTCTCTACCCGTTCGCCTTCGCATCGCCCCGACCAGGACTCGCCACGTTCACGCCTTCGTACGGCTCGACACCGACAGCCAGGCCGTCTGCAACCTTTTACGGCCTGCGGCAGGCTTTCCACCAGCCGAATGCGGCGCGGAGACCGGTTGGAACGCGGACTTTCACCTCTTCGGCTCTTGCGAGGGGTCCCAGGTCGTACTACGGCAGGTCGAGGGGCAGGCCAAGCTACGGCAGGAGCAACGACTGGCAATGGGGCGAAGGGCCGCGACCGACATGGCGAGACCGCATCAACTCGATCCCGCCCATGTGGGTCGTCGGCGGTTTGATCGCCCTCAACCTCGCTGTCTACGCCGCCTGGAAGTACGGATTCGAGCTCGCACGACGGTTCCGCGACCCGTCGTGGCTGCGCTTCCTGCAGGACAACTTCACCGTCTCGTGGCACAATTTCACGCAAGGTCGAGTGTGGACGCTCCTGACTTCGACGTTCTCGCATGAAGCGACGGGGCACATCCTCATTAACATGCTTTCGCTCTTGTGCGTGCCCGCCTACCCCTGATCAATGCGGAGTCGACTAACGCATCCGTCTCAAACCGCAGCTTCTTCGCTCCCGGCGTCATCACGCTTCTCGGCAACACGGGCTTCATTTCCCTATACGTCTTCGCCGTGAGTGTCGTTGTGCCTCCCCCGCATGCGGAGCCTGCGTGGGCAGACTTTCGAGGATTGCGCGATCCTGTACTGACGAGCTTCGACACTGCAGGGCGTCACCGCTTCAGCCGTCTCGCTCTTCTTCAACCGGTTCTTCAACAAGGAGGCGCCGAACTACTCGGCGCACGGCGCGTCAGGCGCAGCCTACGGCATCGTCTCCTTCTTCGCCGCCCTCTTCCCGCGCGACAAGTTCCTCCTCTTCTTCGTCCTCCCCGTCCCGGCGTGGCTCGTCGTCTCGGGCGTTTTCGCCTACGACTTGTATAGCAGTCTGTTCAGGCGTAACGGTATGAGCGACTCGGCCGGACGTGAGTCTCATTTTGCGTCACGCTCATCCGACTCCTTCGTCCAGCTGGGACAGGGGCAGGATGCACCAGCGTCTTTGCATCGAGACTGACTGTTACTATCTTGCAGATGTCGGCGGAATCCTCGCCGGACTCGCCTTCTTCCTCCGCAAGGTCGGCCGCATCTAGAAACCGCCCCTCCTCTCGCTCGTCGCCCATCCTCTCGCATCCACCTGCACCATTCACCTGCTTGTTGTACTATTCGCATCGCTGTCTCCCGGTTGTACGATCTCGCAACTCGCCATTCCGTTCTACCTTCCTTCTCTCGACACGCACAGAGGTGGGGGAGGACGACAGAACACGTGCGTATGTACAGAGCTTGTATGCTACAACTCATGTACGGCGTCCCACCTCAACGACGCCCTCAGACAAGCCTCTGCTCATCCGCCTGCCGTCCCGTACCACCCTGCTCAGTCGTCGGCAAGTCCGCAAGCGTGTCCGCGCCCGCCGCAAGCTCGCGGTGCTCGTCGTCCTGGTTCACAAGCTTGTCGTGCTTGACATGGGGCGTGAACTGTGCGGCGGCAGACTGTCAGACGTCGAAGAATGAGGCAAAGGAGCGATAGGGAGACGGACCTTGCCCTCGCGCGCAAGACGCGATCGCTCGGCGAGCTGCTCCTGGTGCTCAACTGCCTTGCGTCCCAATCCTGAATCGTGGCCTGCGCGGAGAACTCGGGTCAACGAGGGGACCGTCGACGAAGCGAAGGAAAGAGGTGAACGCACCTCCGCCGATGTTACCGTGCGCCTTCATGTTCCGCAAGCCGCTCTCGCCGTGAATCTCGTCTATCGAGAACACCACGAGTCAGCCCAATCACGCTCAAGCGGCAAGCACGGGCAAGACGCACCCCAAAGTCCCGACGGAGGCTCATGGTCGACGACGCCCGATCCGTGAGCGGCGTCGTGCTCGTAGTTTCCGAGCTTCTCCTCCTTGTTGGGGTATCCGACGGACTCCAGCGCGCCTTTGATGGTGTCGGTGATGCTGGACATGATTGCTGCTCTTTGAGCGGAGCAGAGGAGAGAGAAGGTCGTGTCAGCACCGTCACCTCGACACCAGGAGACGCGGTGGAGCTCACAGTGCCTGTAAAGTGTCGTTTGAGAGTGGAAAGAAGGAGCAGAACGACGAACGAAGCGGGGAAACGAGCGCGAGGCGACTTCGATTCTCAAGCGCCTTGGTGACGCAGCGGCGACCCCTCGAAGGCGCCCGTCACGGCGTGCGTGGCGGTGCGGCGATGGTCTCGACTTGTCGGGAAGATCAGCTTTGCAACGAGGACTCGGCATCAGATCGAGCGGAGAGAAGTGCGCGGCGAAGCTGAGGAAGAGAGGCGCCGTTGCGAAGGCCGACTTGCGATTTGCTCGACATCGCTCTGGACAGGCTTTTCGAGAACGTGGAAGAGCGTAGAGTAGATAGATAGTCTGTGCGATGCATATGCGAGGACGACGAATCACCCCTGGAACGCCTCCTCGCCAATCTCTACTCCAAACTCTTCTCTCGCCATGTCCTGCGGAAAGAAACGAGCGGGAAGTCAGCGACGAGCAGCTCCAGGACCTACCCACAGGCTCAGGAAGCAACGATGGAGAGCGAGAGACGCACCGTCACCTGCTTTTGCAACAGATCCTCCAGCCCTTCCCCCTTCCTTCCCATCGTCTCCATCCACCACGCCCTGACCCTCGTCAACAAGAACCCGATATCGATAAACACCAGCACGACGCGGAAGACGACGAGGCGGAGTTTCTCGGCTGCGAAGGAGCGGAGGCCGATTGTGCGAAGGGAGGAGGAGGACGAGGGTTGGGAGAGGGCGAGACCGGTCGCGGCCCAGTGGGCGGAGATGGCGAGGCGGTTCGTGACGCTCCCAACGGCTTGGTTGTTGCCTTGCATCATCCTGCAAGCGTGCAACAACCCGAGTCAGCGAGACGAGAGAGCGAAAGAGCGGGAGCGAACGCACCGCATCGCCCTCGTGACAAAGATCAACTGGCGGGGTATCAACTCCTCACTCTCGAGCATCGTCTTCAACCTCTCCTTCAACCCTGCGCGCTGCTCATACTTCTCCCTCTCGCGCTTTTCCCTCTCCTCACTCGTCAACTCCTCCTCACTCTTCTTCTTCCTCAACCGATGCGGTCTCAGCAGCGTCAGGCTCGCAAAGATATCGCTGTTCTGCCGCCGAATGCCCCACTTGACGGCGATGTCCTCGATCGTGCGAATGTCGCCCGTGAAGAGCGATTGCCACAGGAGACAGTAGTCGTGGCGGAAGTCTTCGGGGAGTCGGACGTAGAGACCGTGGTCGATTAGGACTACTTGAGGGTGCGAAGGGCGGGAAGGGTTAGGTCGGACGAGGAGGTTGCCGGGGTGAGGATCCGCTTGGACCTACGCGCGACGTCGCTCGTCAGCTCTGTCACGGCGAAGGAGAGCGAGCGCAACGCACCCAGCCCCACTTGAACACCATGGCGGAGAAGAGCTCGGTCGCGGTGTCCATCGTCTCCTTGAGCGAGAGCCGGTACTCGTCCAACCGCTTCTTGTCCGTCAACCGACACGCCGAGACGAAACTGCGCCGCGCAAACTCATCAACTCACCTCCTCCCACGTCAATAATCCCGGCGAACTCACTCGGCGGTCATGATACTCTCCCCGGTCCACCTCCAATGCACCTTCGGCACCATAACCCTGTCCCTCAACCCCGGTTCATCCGCAAGATACTTCGCCGTCTGTTCCGCGTTCCTCGCCTCGTTCTCCAAGTGCGCCTCTTTGCGCATCTGCTCCGAGACGTACTGCGAGATGAAGGCGACGGGGAGGTCGAAGAGTTTCTCGTAGGAATAGAGGAGGGCGCGGTAGCAGAACAAGTCCCTGCACGGCGTAGCACACACATCAGTCTCAGTACGAGAAGGCGAGCACGAGGGGACGCACCACTCCATCTGTTTCGGAACCGCCTCCTTCCGCACCTTGACCGCGACCCACCCCTCCTCCTCACTCCTCCACGGCCTGCCCTCCTCCGCCCTCAACCTCGCCCTATGAACCTGCGCAATGGACGCGCTCGCGACCGGCCTCTCCTCAAACACCTCAAACGCCTCTTCAGGTCTGACCCCAAACTCGCGCTTGAAGACACGGACGACCTCGTCGTACGGAACGGCGGGTGCGGCATCGAACACGTTTGCGAAAGCCTCGCGATAAGGTTTCGGCAGTATCGCAGCCTGGATGGCCAGACTCTGCGCAAGCTTGATATACATCCCCTGGTTCTTGTCGACCAACTCTGACAACCTCCTCGCCGTCCGTTCGTGGATCCGATCGATTCCCTCTGGATCGTGTGCGTCAAAGTTGAGTTTGAAGTCGAGGGCGAGGGTGAGGCCGAAGATGAAGGTGCGGAAGGAACGGAGGAGGGCAGAGGCGTTGAATTCCCGGTCGTAGGTGTACAGTCCTGCGCCTGCTAGCCCGACCAGGCCGAGAGTTTGCCATCGTCGTGTGCTGGGCGGTGGGGGCTTGGTGGAGGAGAGAGTCGACGAGAGGCGAGTTCGATGAGGAGGTGGTGGTCGTGCGAGTCGTCGCGGTGGCGCAGCGAACGGCGAAGCAGGTCGGGGTATCCGCAGCCGTGAGAACATTCCTCCCTAGCACCACAACACACTCGAGCAGCAAGGAGAGCGACGGAGGAAAGGTGACGAGTCGCTCGTCGTTCGGCGGCGGGTTCGGACTCCGGACAATCAGCGCTCGCGATCGGAAGCCGGCACACGACGGAGTGTGAGAGTATTGCAACTGAATCAAGCTTCAAAGGGTGTACAACGAAACAGACCGGGACGAAGGGGAACATCAAACATTGCCGACGGAAAGAAAAGCGAAAAAAGGCGAACAACAGGGGTACATCGTTGAGAAGCGTCTATGGTGTGTGCACGTACGGGGCATATCAAGCGACTCCTCCTCCTCCTCCTCTTCGCCCTACGACTCAAGGCGACTCGCTCCCATCCGACCCTCCCTGCCCAACAGCCTTCTTCCCCTTCCTCCCCCCTCCCTGTCCCGCCGCTGCCTTTTTACTCCTATTCCTCGGCCCCCTCTCCTTCGTAATCGGCTTCAACCGTCCTAGCCTACACACCCTTCCCTGGCTAGGGTCGGAGCGGAAGAAGGAGGGGTTGTGGAAGGCCGAGTAGTCGGATGCTGAGAAGGTTTCGCTTTCGGGCGAGGTGGAAGAGGAGGAGGGGAGGGAGGGGAGGGGCGTCGAGTCGAGGAGCAGGCAGAGGAGTGAGGAGGTCGAGGCGCGTTTGAAGCCGTAGATCTGCTCGTCCACCGTCAGCTCCTCCTCGCGCGAGAAACGAGAGAAAGTCCGTCCGCGACTCACATTCAGCTGCCGAATAAAGCTACTCGACACCGTGTGCCTAAAGAACTTTTCCAAGATGGAAAGGAGGTGCGGTTTCGTGTGGGCGATGAGGATGTATTGGCCCGTCGAGTCCCAGCGGATCCAGGGCTCGTATTCGGCGTGCGAGAGGAGGTATGATAATTTCGAGATGAAGGGCTGCACAGCGAGACGGATCAGTAAGCGCGTGGGAGAGAGAGGCGCAGGGACGCACGGTAACGACTTCGGTCTCTTCGTCGCTCGGCGTCGGCGAGGCAGCCTGAGGCGGTTGAGGGAGCGGGGGCAAGACGCTCAAGTCTGCCTGTCCGGCGTAGGCGATCGTCTGCGCTGCCGAAGTCGAGCGAGCGGGCGGAGGCGGGGTCGTGCGAGTCTTTTTGCGCCCGTCGAGCGGGACGAGTTCCTCGATATCCCACAACTGGTGCTTCTCCCCTCCCGCCGCGCCGTTCCTCGGCGGCAACTGCACCGTACTCGAACTCGTACCGGGCTGGGGCAAGTACGTCGCAGGCGGGGGGACCTCGAGTTGGCCTGGTGAGATGCCAAAGTCGAGGTAAGACGGGTACGAGTCTTGTTTGAGCAGTGCGGAGGGGAGCGGGAGCGAGTCGACTGGACCGGAGGAGAGTTCGGAGAGGAGGAGGGCGTTGAAGAGCGAGTCGGTTGAGGAGGGCGTCGCGGCGGCGGCGGGGGACTTGGGTGCGGAGGAGGGCGAGGGCGCGGCGGGTGCGGCAGGTGCGGGGGAAGGGGCGCACGAGCCTGCGCAACGGGGCGAGTCGGCGGGAAGGTCGAGCGTGTTGAAGAGCGGGCAACCTCCCGCCGTGTAGCTGCGAGCAAGTGTCAGTTCGCGGTGAGGGTGGCGAGAGCGGGAGAGTGGGACGTACGGGCACGGGAGGGAGACGATAGGCGGGGCAGAGACTGCGGCGGACATTGCGCCAGGCCGCGGGGAACGAGGGCAAGCGAGTTGAGCGAGGTGAGCGAGTGGAGCGGGTCAAGCAGCGGGCGCAGGAGCAGCGGGTGGCGTGAGCACAGCGAGCAGAGTCAGTGGAAAGAGAGAGAGAGAGAGAGAGCAAGGCGCGGGAAAAGGACGAGCGAGCAAGCGTTCGTCGGTTCGTCGGCAGTGCGAAGGTCCACGAAGGCCCAGAAAAGGAGGAAAGAGTGGGCAACGCGGAGAGCGCACAGACGGGGACCAAGAAGAGAACTCGGAAAGTGGCGCAGGAGCACCGGCAGGCAAGCGCGAACGGACTGGAAGAGGGTCAGGAGGAGCGCACGACGAGAGCGCCCTCGTCCGCCCGTTTGTATTCCGCTTGTATTCCCGAATACAAAACCAGACTCAGACCGCGGGAGGAGGGCAAGCAAGGGGCTCCACTCTCGCTCGCTCGCCTCGCACACCGCTTCGCCAGCCTCGCTCGCAAGCTCACCAGACTCGCACCACCACCTTGTCCACCCCAGCCAACTCTCACTGTCCCACACCGCTTCGTCAACTTCCCATCTCTCACCGCCCTCACGCACGCAGTAGCATGCCAACCCTCACCGCCTCCTGGCGCAAGATCGCCACGCTCGACACCCTCCAGCGCTCATCTCACTCGCTCGCAGTCACAGGCGGGAAGGCTTACATCTTTGGGGGAGAGTTGAAGCCTCGACAGCCGGTCGATGCGGATGTGCATGTGTTGGATGTCGAGGGTGCGTACGAGCTACTAGTCTTGCGTTGTGACGGCGAAGTGAAGAGCTGACCTAGTGTGCGCCCGCAGATGGATCCCTCTCGACCCTCTCCTCCTCCTCCTCGAACTCCTCCCCCTGGCCCCCCTCCCACGTCGGCGCAACCCTCACCTCCTCCTCCTCCTCCGATACCTCCCTCTATCTCTGGGGCGGCCGCGGAGGCAAAGACATGTCCGCCCTCACGTCCGACTCGGGCACGATTTGGAAGTTCGATACGAAGGATCAGCGGTGGGAGGAGGTTGAGACGCGGGGAGAGAGGCCAGAGGGGAGGAGTTATCATACGATGTGTGCGATGGGGGTGCGTCTTTCCGCTGGCTCTTCACCATCTCCTTTCTCGCGCGAGCCATGAGAAGTTGACGGTCTGGATTTTCCGTCTCGCAGGACACCCTCTACCTCCACGCCGGCTGCCCCTCCGCCGGCCGCCTCTCAACCCTGCACTCCCTCTCCCTCACCACCCTCTCCTGGTCCGCACTCCCCTCCGCCCCTGAACCCGGTCGCGGCGGAACAGTCCTCACTGCTCTCCCTGGTGGGAGGTTCTTGGCGAGGTTTGGAGGGTTCGCGGGGTATGAGTTGGGTGGGTTGGATGTGTTTGATGTGCGCGCAAAGGAGTGGAGGAGTATTGAGGCGGGTGTAGAGGGAGGAGGCGAAGGTCCTCCGAAACGGAGCGTTCATGCGTTCGTCGGATTGAGGGAGGAACTTGATCTAGGCGATGGGAGCGGGAAGAAAGTCGTGGCGTTGATGGCTATGGGCGAGCGTGAGGCCGCACCAAAAGAGTTAGGCCACGACGGAGCTGGATTCGTGCGTTGTCCCTTTCCTTTTCCCGTCTCATCTCCCATTACCTCTCCTCGCTAACTCTCCCCCATATTGCGCACAGTTCCACTCAGACTCTTACGCCCTCCTCTCCCATCCCACCAGCACCTCCACCCTTCCTCAATTCTCCTGGCTCAAAATTTCGCCGTCCGGTCCGACTCCCTCTCCGCGCGGATGGCTCGCCTCGGCGCTTTCGCCTTCGGGCCGAGGGCTCGTCGTGCATGGGGGACTGGACGAGCGGAATGAGCGGTTGGGGGATGCGTGGGTGTTGGAGTTGAGCGTCGAGTAGGGCGTTTCTCAGCTCTCGAGGGATGGCGGCGGACGACATGGGAAGAAGAGGTCTAAAGTGTGCAATGACAGAGTCTACGAGCATTACAACAGTCGAGAGAGAGAGAGAAACACGGCACACACGCAAGGGAACCGAACCGAAAGGAGAAATGTCCGTCTATCCCTTCCTCCTCCTCTTCCTCCTCGTTCCATCCTGCTCCTCCTCCTGCTCCTCCTCCTCCTCCTCCTCTTCCCACAACGACGAACAAACACCGCTTCACGTCCGCATCCCAGCAATGGTGGGCGTCGATGTGCCCGACCGTTTGGCCTTGGACGGGATGCGCAACTTTTGCTGCGCGTGAATCGGGTTCTCTTCGTCCGAGTCGGTGTCGGGTTCGCGGACTGCGCCGGGAACGGTGGAGGAGAGGAAGGCGACTGTGGAGAGGGAGGAGAGTGCGTTAGCGAGGCTCGGAAAGGTGGCGGAAGAAGAGGAGGATGGGAAGAGGAGGAGAGGGAGGGAGAACGGGATGGGAACGAGGTGAGACGCACGAGTACGAGCACGCCGACGATCCTCACGCTCCTTCAACTGCTTGCGCGTCAACTTCTTCCTCCCCTTGGCCGCCTTGAACTTCAATTCCTCTCCCGCTCCCTCCACCGTGGCCGCAACTCGAGCTTCGTCTCCTGATCCGACGGGCGTCTCGACAGACGCGGGCGTGGCGACTCCAGGCGTGCCGATGGGGGTGTCGCGAGCCGAGTTCGGGTTCGAGTCGAACGCGCCGTCGTCGACGGCCGCTTTGCCCTTCATCGTCAGGCGCCCGTTCTCGACGTTCCAGATCTCGCCGCACAGCGCCCCGACGAACTCTTGGTTGTGAGAGATACAGAGGAAGGCGCCACTCCACTCGCGAATGCCGACGGCGAGACCACCGAGCGCGTCGCGGTCCAAAAAGTTTGTCGGCTCGTCGAGGACGAGGACCTGCGGCTTGGACCACATGGCTGCGGCGATGACGACCTTGACCTTCTGACCACCCGAGAGACCGCGCATCTCGTTGTACTCGGCGATGTCACCGTCGAGACCGACGTCCTGGAGATGCTGGCGGACGAGCTTGACGCTCATGTCGCGCGAACCGGCTCCCTCGCGCGAGGCTTCAAAGTCGTCAAATTCCTGGACGAGCTTGGAGAAGCCGAGCTCGGTGAGGCGCTCGCGGGGAACGAACGTGTTGTACTGCGAGAGCGAAATGTCAGGTGAGGTCCAACGCAACGCACGCAACGACCGCAAACGCACCTTGTGGTGGAGACCTTGCCACTTGATTTCGTACGTGTAGCTCTTCTTGAGCTTCTGGCGACCAACGATGGACTCGACGAAGCGGGTCTCGCCCGTCTTGGCGACGATGGGGACCTTGAGCTGGGCCTCCTCCTCGGGCGTGAGAGCGCGCGTCGCCTTCATCGCCTGCTCCTTGTCGACGCCTTCCTGGTAACGCCACATGATATACTGTACGGCCGATTTCTCGAGGTGCTGCTCGATGTGGTGGAAGGCGTGCTGGGCGACGTAAGCGATACGGAGGTTCGGGTGCTTCTCGACGCGTCCCGAGTCGGGGAGCGTCTCGCCAGTCAACAACTTGATCAAGGTCGACTTGCCCGCGCCGTTCGGGCCGACGATGCCGACGCGCGACGAGAGCGAGACGGCGCAAGTCGCGTTGTACAGCTGCGGCTTCGAGGCGCCCGGGTAGGTGAACGTGCAGTCGGTCATCTTGAGGATGGCGCGGGTGCGGGAACGAACGCCCATGAGCGATCCGGGCGGCGGGAAGGTGAACTTGACGACCTCGTCCGAGAGGGTGTAGTACGTCTTGCCGGGCGGGTACTTCTCGACAAACTTGGCGAGGTTGCCGCGGTAGTAGACGAGCTGCTTCTTGTGGTAGTGGATGATGTTGGTGCAGACGGCGTCGAGGAAGCCCGAGTCGTGCGAGATGATCATGGCCGTGACCTGGTCCTGAGCGTTGAGGTAGTCCTGCAACCACGCGACCGACTGGACGTCGAGGTGGTTGGTCGGCTCGTCGAGGAGCAAGAGGTCGACCTTCATGAGCATGGCGCGGCAGAGGGCGACACGCATCTTCCACCCTCCCGAGAGCGACTGGATCGGGACGTCCTGGCGCTCCTCGGAGAAGCCCATCTCCTTGAGCATGGCGCGGATCTCCTGCTCGGTCGCCGAGATGCGCGGCTCGTCGATCATGAGCTGGCAAACCGTGATGCCCGTCTCGTCGCCGTCGATGTCGTGCTCGACGTACGCCGCCTTGAGGTCCATCGGGAAGTTGTCGATCTGCTTGCGGTTGATGGCCTTGAGGAGCGTCGACTTGCCGCATCCGTTTGCACCGCAGATTCCGTACCGGTGGCCCTTGCGGAGCTTGAGGACGGTGTGGTTGAGGAGGAGTAGACCACCGTACGCGAGCGAGAAGGGCAAGTCGACGACAATGTCACCCTCCTCGTCATCGTCGTCGTCGGCGCCCTCGACGCGGTTGCGCTCCTTGTCGACCGCGACCCAGCGCTTGAGCAGCTCGTCCGAGATCGCCAACGCCGCGTCCTTGCCGACAAAGTGGGCGAGGTAAGGCGCGACGTACGTCTCGCGCCAGAACTTCTCGCTCAAGTCGCGCTTGCGGACGAGCTGGGCGAGGGCGAAGGCTGCGCTACGGAACGACTGCTGCGCAAAGGCATCCGGTCGCTCGCCAGTATGCTTCTCAGCGAGCTCGACAAGCTGCGAGAGAGCAGTCTGCTCGTCCTTGGCCGCCTCGGAGAAGTGGTCGACGGCAGGGACCGAGGCGCCAACGACCGACTTGTCGACCGCGCGCTTCGCCTCTTCGGCAAAGGCGCGGATCTCGGGGAAAGCGGCGGACTCGATGATGCGCTCGATGCCGGGGAGGACGTGAGGGGCGTGGAGGGCGGCGAGGTCGGGCGAGCGGACGAGCTTGAACAGGTTGGTGATGAGGACGACCTGCGGGGGCGGTACAGCATCAGCGACGGAATCTTGGCATCTGAAAGACCGGCAGACACCGCAAACTCACAGTCTGGCGCTGGACGATCGTTCCCTTCTCAGACAGAGCACGAGTAAGGAGGGGCGAGACAACCGCAAGAGTCGGGCCATCAATCTCGCGAACCCAGACGGTTGACGAAAGGCGCTTGATTGCGGCGGGGACGGTAGTCGGATTGGCCATGCAGCGGACGAGGTCGGTCACGAAGGGCTGGATGTCGGGGTTCGTGAGGACTTGGCAGAGCGCGACGCCGGTCTTCTCCGCCTGGCTCGAGATCTGGGTCGCAGGAAGTGAGGTCAGCTTCGTCGTTCGGAGAGAGTGCAAGGGCGCGCGCACCTCGGACTTGGTATCCCGCATGCTCGGGACAAGCCTCGGGACATACTCGCCCAGCCGCTCCGCAACCTGGTCCTTGGCCGTGACCGCAAACATGCTCAACAGCTCGAGCGCTCCGACCTTGCTCCTCCACTTGGCGTTCGTCTCGAGGTACAAGAACAGCTCCTCGATGACCTTGGGCGCGAGTTCAGGCGGGGGGAGACGAGCAAGCTGTTTCGCCGCCTTCTCCGCCGCGTCCTTGATGCTGCCCGTCTTTCCCGACTCTTGGAGGTTGTCGAGGATGCACGGGAGGAGTGGGACGAAGAACGGGTCCGACGCGCCGACGCTGAGCCCGACCTTGCGGAACAGCTCGTCGAAAGCGACCATCGCGCCCTCCTTCTCCTGCGGAGTCTTTGACCGCGCCGCGCGCGTCAAGTCATCGAGGATGTTGTCGGCTGCGAGGGAGCGAAGGCCGTTCGAGACGACGTGCGAGGCGAGGGACGAGGCGGCGGCTGTTCGAGCTGAGCGGGTCGTCGAGGCGTACAGCGCCTGGAGGAGCGCAGAGGCGGGCGGGGTGAACTCCCTGCAGGGTCACGATAGGTGTCAGCTGTCGTCTGCGAGTATCTCGAGGCTGCTGGACGCACATTTGGTCGACTGAAGGCATGCGCGAACGTGTGGAGTGGCTGTTGAGAAGGCGCGGGTGGCTCGTTGCGGTTCGAGTCTGAGCAGGCGCGAGTGTAGCAGTCTAAGCGAGTCTGTGCGAGTCTATCACCGAGCACCACGAGCACACTGGCGAGCGAGAGTCGCTCGTTGTTGGCTGAGCGCGACTTCGCGAGCCGAGGATGCGATCGCACCGCAACAAGTCCAAGCTCGCTCACATCCAAATCACCGAGACTCGCAGAATGCCTTGCTTTGCATGAGTGTGTACGGGAGATACGCAGAATGCATCAGAGGTGGAACGCCGCGCGAGCGAGAGCAGGAAGCCGAGTTGTCGAGGGCCAATGTCGTGGAGGGGAAAGCGCAAGGGAAAGCGAGCGGCTTTGCGGTCGAAGCCGCCAGGCGTGGGTATCGGCATCCAACGACGAAGAGGTCGTAGGCGAGAACGAGGCGAGGCTGGTCAAGGCGAAGTCAGCGTGAGTGAGCGCCTCGACAACTTTCGCGAGCGACTTGAGAGGTGGGATTGTCCGATCCTCGAAGGACGACCCGGATCGTCCGCAAACGTACTGTCGAGGACGACTGAAAGCGAACGCAGTGGAAGAAGGCGGCAGAGGAAAACGAGGAAGGCCGAGGGCAAGGAGATGCGGTCAGGCGCGGTCGCTTCTACCGTGCCGAGCAAGATTGGTCGAGAAGTTGACTTGAACCTCAGTGTGATGTGGATGGTCCTCGTTCAGGTGTTAGAAGCGTTGCGACAGCCTGAAGGACGCGGCAAAGCGGTGCGGAAGCAGATTCGGCGAGAGCAGGAGCGACAGATGCGCAAACCCTCCGCTAGAAGCGCCTTTGAGCCTGCGTGCATGCTGTGTATGATCAGCACACGCTTGTACAGCAGTTCAGCAGGAGAGGGACTCGCACCGTTTCCCGCTGCCGACAATCTCGCGAAGCGCATGTGCCACGCTGCGCCATGTCGCTACAAACCAGACAGAGCAGCGTGACCACCTTAGCACCACTTCAAAGCAGCGCAAGCATAGCCTCAGTTGGCCAGCAACCGTCCTGAAGCGGCGGGCGATACGCGGTCGGTCGAGGCGGAAGAACTGACGAAGGGCGGGGCGAGAGGGTAAGAGAGGAGTGTAGATCTGTCGAGACGTTGTCTACGGCGAGCAAAGAGCTCCATACAGCAGGTGGACGAGTTGAGCAGCTGGGCGAGGAGGAGAGCGCATAAGTGAGGAGCAGGCCTTCACCGCTCACTCGACTTCGCTGAATCGTGCTCGACGCTGCAGAGACGAGCAACTGCGTTAGGCGTGAGCGCCTCACGCTGCTCGCAACTCCCCCAAGGCTGTGGTCGCCCGTGTCCAATCTCATCGCCAATCTGGCGACTGGACCTCGCCGCTCCGCACGACCAGGCCGACTGCTTCTGCGGGACTGTGCAGGATTAGAAGATGGGCGTATAGACCCTGCAGAAGCACCGCCAGCGAGCACCGCCATGCTCGCATGCTCTCCCGTCTCCCGCTCGATTGACGGCCCTCTCTGGATCGTCGCGGCACGGGTTCAATGCGAGCAAGGGTCTCGTCCGCGAGAGCAGGAGGAAGTAATTTGGAGGTGCTGCACCTGTGTTCGTGCGATCTGCTAATTTCAGAGAACCGCACCCCTGGCCTCCGTCCCGCGACAAGGATGGTCGCTCGCTCTTCCAGCATTCTCTTTCCTTTCAATTCTACGCTACTGCTGTCTGTTTGTCGCCACGTATCCATTCTTCTCCATAGCCTGCTCCGACGATGCAGCACGGGATGCAGGACGTCGAGACAGGCTTCACGCCTCTCGCGCTCGACTATCACGGTCTCGCCCAGACGCCGTCGCTAGACGAGCACAAGTATCGCTCACACGTCCCCTCCGCGCCGCCTGAGCCGAAGGGAATCGCCCGCACGCTCTTCATCGTTATCTTGGGCGGCCTCGCCCTCGCCCTCGCACAACTCGCCGTCCCGGCCATCCTCGTCGCCTACATCTTCGTCGTCCACAATGGCAGCATCTCCGTCGCCAATCGAGCCGTGTACACCACCGCCCCGCTGGGTCGCGTCACGGCTATCGCCAACTTTCTGGAGACTGTCATTTCGCATACCGGTCCGCCGGCCATGGCTCTCTGGGCCTACCTCGTTGGGGCGAAGTGGCTTCGTTCGAGCGTCAAGAGGGATTCGAAGAGTCTCATGACGCCCGTACAGTGAGTCTGCGCCGACGATGCGGCGCATCTCGAGGACTGACGATTTCCTCGACGTAGATACGCTCTCGAGATGAAGCTTCTGAATTCCGCAAACCTCAACAGCATCTTCCGCGCCTATCGTCTACGCATGAAGCTCGATTCGTCGACGCGGCGCTTCAGGAAGAACGGCGTCGCCTTGCCACGCTCCGTCAAACGAACCTTGAGCCTCCTCGTCTGGCTTACGCTTTGGCGCTACGTCGTTGCAGGCATCAACACAGCCTTTCAAGCGACCGCCATTGCCGGACTCGTGCCGGATCGCCTCAGTTCTGGCGTGACGACCGCCTACTTCACCGTCGGGCGCGCGCTCAACCAGACCCGCTGCGACGCCGCCACGGCATCGGCCAGTACCCGTGCAGCCGACTCGTGCGGCTTAGAAAAGTGAGCTTCGGCGACAAGCCCTCGAGCATCGCTGTCACGCTGACGCCTCGCCCCTGCAGCGGCTCGAACAACGTCATGTTCCTCTACATGCCGCAAGCCGAACGAGTCCTGTCAAACTCGTCTACCGTCAACTCAGTTGCTTGGCTGGACGACAACACGGCGATCTTGACGGACCCGACTCTGCCAGACGTCCGCTTTACGGCCTCGTCGCCTGCCATCTGGTCAGACTGCCGCACCGAGACGGCCTTGTGTCTGTGCGAAGGATACGGCAACCCGGTGTACGACGGCGTGAACGCACAAACCTGCGATGTCGGCCCTGAAGCGTGGCTCGCGCTCGACTGCGCACCATCAGTGCGGTTCAATGCGACTGCCTTGCTCAACCGGGTCGAGAGCGGGAACAGTGGGACTTTTCCCGCCGCATCGCTGCTCACAGCCAATGGCTCGTTGACGTCCACACCCGAAGTGGATCCCACCACACGGTGAGCCCGTTCACTTAGCTCGCTCGCCGTACTTTGTTCACTTAAGTTTGCTGCAGAACTGCTTCGCTGGGGATCATTCTGGTCACGCCTACGTACTCAGATGGCGTAGAAGACGATAACTGGGCTGGCTCTACGTGCGTCCTGCTTTTGGCGTCATCTTGCGCCGGACGAGAGCTGACGCCCTGCGTTGCGACAGCGGCTTCTTCCGCCATGGACACAGCGGTAGCTGGAACGTCCTTGTGTGTGACTTGTGGGCGAGCACGGTCGTCTACAGCTACTCGCCTAGTACCGGTTTCTCGTACGTGTCGAGGCAGCCGGCGAGCCCGGAACTGGCAAAATACCTGACCTACCATGCCGAGTATGTTTCGTCGCGCTTACTCCTTTTCAGCAGGGTCTGACGAGGCCTGTCTTCCTGCAGCGTTGGCATCCAAGCGGTCGCTCAGCTTGCGGAAGGCGCCGGTCTCGGAAACTCGAGCGCGTCCTACGTCGACGTCTTCGGTCGTCACCTCAGCAAGTCGGTCCTCTCGATGGCGAGCGTCCTCATGACACCGACTGCGCCTATCAGCGTGTCAGGCGGCGACGTACTTGGCACGGGGCTCAACCTCCCGCTCTTCCTCGCCTACCTGGCAACTTCGGTCGTCTCCGCGTGCGTGCGAACGTCCTGCTTCCTATGTCACTGTACTGAGAAGGTCTTACATCGCACAGCCTGACAATCCTGTTCATGACCGTCTTCATCGTCGCCGCCTGCCTCGGCACCCCTCGCGACCTCCGCCCTTTCGTCAAACCCGTCCAAGCCCGCCTCACCGACTCGACTTTCCTCGCGAACTGGCTCTACGGCAAGTGCACGACCCACCCGAAGCGCATCTACTCGGACGAACCGCTCGACCTTTTCGAGCCGGAGCAGGAGAGCGAGCGACTCGCCATCGAGCCGCGCGTCGACGGCTACGGCTGGAGCCTGCGCCCGTCTCGCCTCTAGGCCACGGCCTCGTCATACTCCTGTTTTCCTCCCACTTGTATCCGACCGATTCGCCTCTTCCTCTTCGCACGCAGGCCGAGCAGCCTCATTCGTGTACTTTTGTAGCGGCTCTGTTGCACCAGCAAACATGCCTGAACCTGTACCCAGGAAAGATACTGACGAAATGCGTGCGAGAGAGATAGAGAGGGCACAGAACGAGAGTGGAGGGGAAAGAGTGACCGTCTATATGTACGTGCAGGGTGAAGGAGCGAAGAGGGCGGCGAGGAGGGGCGCTGTCAAAGCGTTGCGAGCGTAGGGAGGGCACAGATGGATCAAGATGCTGAGGCGAGGGTGGCAGCGAAGGACCTCCTCGAGGACGACCTTCGCAACCTCGCACCGCGTACTCAATCAAGCATGCACGCTGACGCTGCCCATCTCGTACGCCTCCTTGTTCATCTCGTCGCTCTTGGTGCCAAAGTTGTCGATCGTAGGCGGGACGCTGAGGTCGACGTCGTCGGCCGTGACGGCTTCGGCGAGGAGGGTCGCGTGGTGAGGGAAGGCGAGGTTGAGGAGGTAGTAGACGATGACGGCGGGGACGTAGCCGGTGATGAAGCCAGGGGCGTCTGTGAGTGCCAAGAGGGAGGGGATAATGTCAGCTTTTGAGGGCGACACGAGGAAGCGAGGAGGAGGACGTACACCACCACTGGATGTTCCCGATCTCGACGTTCGGATTGATAGCGTGAATCAAGCCCGGAAGGTTCGGCGCCTGCTCTCCATCCCATTAGCGTTTCGTCCCGCTCAACGAAGCGAGACTCGCTCGAAACGCACCACAGTGACCGCAAGCGTGAGCGCCGCACGCCAGTTGACACCTCCCGTGTACTTGTAAATCGACTCGGGGTCGTACAGCTCGGGAACGTGATAGGCCTTGCGCTTGACGAGGAAGTAGTCTGCGGTGAGGAGCGCCGAGAGAGGGCCGAGGAAGATAGCGTAGCCTGTGGATCGAGTCACGTCGCCATATCAGCGCTGGCTCTCTTTCGAATGGTCGTCAACGTGAAGAGAGCGAAAGACCCGCACGCACCCGAGACGAACGTCAAGAACGTGCCCGACGAGCTCAAGATCTTCCACGGCGCCACAGCCCACCCGCCAAGTACCGCAGTGATGAGCTGACCGCGGGTGATGTTGATGTACTTCGGAGCGAGGGTGACAAAGTCGTTGGCGGACGAGATCGAGTTAGCCTGCGCAGAGTCGATGCGGAGGACGTCAGTTCGGGGGCAGCGGATTCAAGGAAAGCCGCGGAACGTACGGTGATGTTGGCGGCGATACCAGCGAGCATCTGCGCGCGGAAGGCTCCGTCAGTCTCGCAAGAAGGTCGAACGTCGAGGAGAGCGAACTCACCCAAGCGAGCGCAGCGAACGCAACAGCCGCGCGGTTGTTCCACTGACTCATGATGTCGAAGCTGTGCCCAATGAGCTGTCAGTCACATGCAGCGAAGGAAAGGGGAGGAAGGGAGACTCACGGCGACCAGTACGCGGCGTCGTTCGTCAAGCCGTAGACGGGGATCGAGGCGGACGCAGCGAGGATACCGCAGATGGTGACGAAGAAGGCCTGCGAGAGGAGGGAATAGTCAGCTGTCGTCGACTTCTCGAGGTCGAGGGGGAGAGCAAGACGCACGGAGAGAGGGATGGCGAGAGCCTGCGACCATTGCGCGCGGTTCGTCGTCGTGTAGCGAGTGAAGTCGGGCGAGTTGACCGCGAGGGTAGCTGTTGCAAACGACGAAGACGGAAAGCGCAGCGAAGTCAGCGCCCCGCTCAAGTTCGCAAAGGCTCAGGGTCAGTCTTCAGCGCACCCCAGTTGCCGCACAGACTCGCCAACCCAAGCAACCAAGCCGCGCTAAAGTCCTTGCCCGTCACCAAGTTCGGCTGCTGGAAGAGCGGTCCCGCGCCGCCTGCGGCGTGGACGAGCGAGCCCATCGTCGCGAGCATGGTGACGGGGACGACGACCGTCTTGAGCAGGAAGGCCCAGCGCAGCTGATTCGGATTGAGAAAGAAGAAGGGGACTGCGAGGACGGGGAGTGGCGGTCAGTCGCGATGGGAGAGAAATGAAGAGAAGGTGGACGCACGCTGGATGAGCCAGAAGAGGAAGTAGGACGTCATGTCGCGGGTCGTGACTGTGAGGATGCACGCGGCAAGGATCAGCGCTCGTCCAAGGAGGGAGACGAAGCGACGAAAGCCGTCCGAGGCGACTCACTTCCAGCCGACTCAGGCAGCTTGTTTTCGATGTTCCAGTACGACGGCCAGATCGCACGGAGGAACTGCGTCATCGCGCTGCCGCCGTTGTAGGTCTGTGAGGCATCGTTGGGTGGCATCAGTCTCCAGTCGCGAGGGTCTGGAGAGCGAAGGTCAGTCGGGCGGGCTCACCTCGACGCCGAACCAGATGAGCGAGAGGAAGGCGCTGCGCCAGACGTCGCACGTCAGAACTCGTGTATCAAGGCGCGAGAAGACGGAACGGAACACACCGCGAGAGGACCGCAAAGAGCGAGAACCAGTATCCCATCGAGGCGCGAGCAGCAACGGGGAAGGGGATGCGGAGGTTGGCGCCGATCATGCCGTTGAGGACGATGGGGACCGAGATGATGACATTGCCGAGGATGACAATTCCTGCGGAAGCGAGAGAAGCGAGATGGAGTGTCAGCTCGTGTTGGCCTGAACCGCAGGGTCTGCTGCGAGACTGCTGTTCGGCGCTTCGACAGGAGCGAGGAGAGAAAGACGACGCGGGAGAAAGAGCGTAGAGGAGGGCCTGGACGCACCGATGGCGTTCGCGCAGCTCAAGCCAAGGGGAATCAGCGAAGCACCGGTCTGCCAGAACGCCGGGTCGAGCGACGCAGCAACCCAGAACGAGAACTGCGAAGCAGAGGACGAACGCGATGAGCTCGGCCGACAAGGCGAAGAGGGACGAAGGGAGCAAAGGCGCGAGGACGCACCCAGGTTCCGTATCCCCAAGTGCGCTGCGCAGGGTCGGTCGTCGGGTCAAGGTCGGCGTTCGTGTAGATGTCCTCGGGCGCGCTGCAAGAATGGCACGATGCAGAGGGGTCAGTGCCGCACCCCGTGACCATCGTCGACCTCGAAGAACAGAACGCACAGCGACGAGGTCTGCTTGGGCAGGACCCAGCTGAACGGCTGGCGTGGTTGGGCGTCGTCGCGGCGGCGGAAGAGGCCCATCTCGCTGACCTTGCTCGGTGGGGACGGAAGGGTGGCGAAGAAGGACGGGAAGCGTGCGAGCCGGTCAGGCGGCGGGAGGGGGACGATGGGCGCACGAACGAGGAAGGAGAGAGGGACAGCGGTGCGGAATGGATCGGCTGCAATCAACGACGCTGAATGGGCGCAAGATGAAAGGCGGGAGGAGGACGAGCGATGCGAAGGGCGACGGGGTCAGTGCGGGCGGTCCGGGCCTGGCAAGGTCCAAGCGGGCTGGGGAGAGGCGTCGGCTGAACGCACGCCGTAAACAGCAACAGCTGGGCACAGTCAGTCGGGCGAGAGAGAGCACGAGCAAGTAAGCTGATGAAGTGAGCGGAACGAGGAGGAGGACGAGGACGATGAGACGAGCGCTCGTCGTCCGCGCGCGGCAGCGGGAAGCTGTGCTGCAAGCGGTAGAGTGGGCTCAGCTTCTCGACGGGCTGCTCTAGCGCACGATCCCGCCGAGAAGAAGCGGAGCGTGGCCCTCCTTAGCGCTCCTCATCCAACCCCGCACCTTCTCTCCATCACAGCACGCCAGCCTGTGCGTCGGCGCCCGTCCTTGGAAGTGCAGTGTGTAGCTGCGTCTGCTCGTCGTCGCCTGCGCCTGTCAGCGAGCCCCACGATGGCGATGGCGACGAGAGGCAGGCCCGCAAACTCGCTCGCCTTTCTTCGTCGGTCGCTTTGACAATCTTCGTCTTCCTGCGAACGAACGTGGTGAATGGCAGAGCGCTTTTGAGCTTGAGTATACCGAGCGAGGAACGCAGTTGGTTCGCAGGGGACGCACGCCGAGCGCCACGAGAGACAAGCTTCGAGGCATGACCGCGAGGACGGACGAGAACGATGGCGAGCATCCGCATCTGATAGGAATGCAATACCGACATCTACTCCAACGCCTTGAGCCTCTCCAACCTCTCCGCCGCACGCTGCTCATGCGTCCTCACGAGCCTCGCGACCCGATTATCCATGTACCACCCGGTCCACCCCTTCCTCCTCCCCTCCTCCTCCGCAAACTTGCGCACCAATTCGTCCCACACCTCCAGGACTAGCTCCGAGTCTCCCTGCGAGAGCTTGTCGAAGGCGAAGAGGATCCAGAAGATTTGGCGGGCGGTAGGGGCGGTACGGGCGCCGAGGTAGGGGAGGGAAGGGTGTGCGGTTGAGGGCGGCGCCGAGATCGAGAGGAAGGACTGGAAGATGGTTGCGAGGTTGTCGAGCGTGAAGGGGTCTTCGGGAGGACTCGCCGCCGCTCCTCGCTGCCCTCGAACCGCTTTGGCCGCAGCCTGCTGCGTCAAAGCCGCGAGGGGCGACGCGTCCCGCTTGAGAGCGTACTGGCTCACCCTCGTCCCTTTGATGAGCGTCTCGTTCACGCTCGCCGCTGGGTTCCCGTAGAGTCCGCCGCCGTGATTCGCGAACGCCTGGAAGATGGGAGAGAAGTGGTGGATGGCGGGCTGGATCGCGGGGTCGGTCGACTCGGAGATGTGTCGGAGGATGCGGAGGGCGGAGCGGAGCTCGCCTCGGAAGGCGAAGGCTTGGAGGAGCGAGGTGTAGACACGGTCGTTGACGGGCGGGGCGTGCACAATGATGCCAGTCGAAGCCGACGACAAGGGTACCTTCGCCGTGTCCGTCGCCGAAGAAGCGAACCCCTGCTTGAGCCAGTCGCGGTCGTACGCAGCCGGCGACGACGGGCGCAACTCGTCGAGGTCGACCGTCGCCCTCGCGCACATCGCCTCGTACATCCTCATCGCCTCTTCAGACCTCCCCTGCTTCGCATAGACCCACACCATCGCCGCCCACACCGCCTCGACCTCGTGTTCCCTTCCCTCCTCATACATCGGCGTCGCGACCGCCTGCTCAAAGTACCTCCACGCATTAAGCAGCGGTCCAGCACGCTTATCCTCGCGCTTGATGAGCTCGACGATGGTCGCGCAGTCGCCTCCGAACCCCTCGTCCTTCATCCTCCGCAAGACCTGGTCGAACAAGTCCCACATCTTTGCGCGGCCGACGACGAAGAGGAGCGCGTTGTAGAGACGTTGTTCGGCGGAACGGTCGCGTAAGCCGGTTTTGCGGTCGCGATGGGTGAGGCGAGCGGAAGAGGAGGACGAGTCGGATGCCGAGGTCGGCTGCTGGCGCTCGAATTGCCTCGTCTCGAGCCACTGCGAGAAGAGCGCCATCGCCCCTCCAACATCCTGCTCCGCCTTGGGCGTCCGCATACTCGCTCCAACGAACAACACAAGCGACGTCCAATCCTTCCCACGCAGTCCCGCCCCTCCACCCGTCAACCGATGCAAGTCGTCGCTCAACCCAGCCATCGAGATTGGGTGCGCAGCGGTGCTCGTCATGGATTGTTGAGCGATGAGTTCGGCGACGACGAGGAGCCTGTGTAGGCCGGTGACGGATCGAGGGCGGGCAGAGGCGAAGATACTGAATGCGCGGCGGAGCTCGGCGAGTGAGAGGACGATCTTGTCGCGGTGGATCTCGTGCGGCGCGCCTTGTAACGCAGGTTCTGCATGTCCGTCCGCGCCAGGATGGGAGGAGGTGAAGAACCCCTCTCCGCCTGCCTCGCCCTTCCCCTCCCCCTCCACGCGCTGTAGAACCTCCTCACCCTCATCCCTCCTCCTCGCCCTCGTCGAAGTAGGATACTCGGACTTTGGCAGCCTCGGCAAATCAGTCGGGTACCTCAGCACCCTCGCAAGCGCAACCCAAACCGAATCCGGTCTCGCCTTGCCCACACCCTCCCTCCTTCTCGCTCGATAGACGGAGGAGGGGAACAGCGCCTTGCGCAGTTCGGAGAGGAGGTGGTTTCGCTCGAGAGTTACGAGGGGGAGGTAGGGCGATATCTGGGACTTGTCGCGCAGGAACGGGCGGGTTGGGGCGTCGGGTGGGATTAGCTCGATTCGGTCTGTGTCTCGTGCGTTCGGGTCGGAGGAGGGAGCGGAGGGAGGGAGGAGAGGGGGTCGACTTGTTGCGCGCCGACTCAGCGGGTAGTCCCGCCGCCTTTCTGCAGTGTCCGACCGAGTACTCTCGCTCGAATTAACCCCAACCAGGTCCTGCCAAGTCGGTAGCGGGTCATCGAGAGTCGTCCTCGAAGTCGAAGCGATGGGGTACGGCGAGGAGGACGACGAGCCAGTTCCGTAGTAGCGCCAGCATTCGCAAGTCACGCTCTGAGCAGCCGTTCTCAGCCTCGGACCGACCATCCCCAGCCAGTCGAGCGAGCGAGGTGGGTTCGTTCGAAGGAAGAGCTTCATCGCTTTCGTCCTGTCAACACCCCTCGCTTGCTCTCACCGCTCCTAGCTGGACTGTTCAAGATGGCTACCCTCCCCGAGCCCTCCCAGGCGTACGCTCCATTCCTCCCCTCCCCTCCCACGCGCTGACACCGCTCCTCCTCTCAGCGCTCCCTCCTCAGCTTCCGACCTCCTCACGCGCTTCGACACAGTCCCCTTGTTCATGCAGTCGCTCCCAAAAGAGCTGGGCGGGACAGCTGAGATGCCCGAGTCGTTGGGGGAGGGGAAGGAGGGCGAGACGAATCCGAACGATACGTTGGCTGCGCTTCAGGCGCTGGCGTACGATGGGGATCCTTCCGGTCCGTCCTTTCTTTCCCTCTCACAAACTCAGAGTCCAGACTGACGAGTGGGACGGACAGAAATCGCGGAGAATTTCAGGACGCAAGGAAACGAACTCTTCAAGCGCCGCAAGTTCCGCGACGCGATTGGGTTCTACACCCGCGCTCTGGACGAGGTAGGGAAGGAGTTGCCTGCTGAGGAGAGGCGAACGTTGAGGTCTAACCGAGCCGCGGCCAACTTGGAGCTTGGTGCGTCTGGTTCCTTCGTTCGCAGAGAGAGGTGAGATACTGAAGGACGGGAGTGACTGGACAGGGAACTACGGCGCGTGTCTGAGGGACTGCTCGCTCGTCCTCTCCGAATCACACGCTTCCTACCCGGACCCTCCCTCGCCCGCTTCGCACCGCACAAGCATGAAAGCGCTCCTCCGCTCCGCCCGGGCCCTTTCAGCACTCGACAAGTTGCCCGAAGCGATGGACGCGTTTGGGAGGTTGAGGATGTTGGAGAAGGAGGTGGGGGAGGGGGATAGTGGAGCTAAGTGGAGGGAGGAGACGGAACGGAAGGTTGAGAGGAAGGAGAGGAGGGAGAGGGAGGAACGCGAGAGGGAGAGGAGGAAGATGGAAGAGAGGGCTGCTATGGTGCTTGCTTTGACGGTGAGTGGCCGACGACTCCTTCTGTCGAGGAGGCGCGAGCTGATGAAGGACGTGAGCGCAGCAACGAGGGGTCGTCTTCCCCCGCCCAACCGCGAAACAACCGCTCTTCTCGTCCTGCCCAACCGACGTCACTCCGCCCCACTTTGACCCAGAGGTCGTCCCACTCACCTCTCTCCCCTCCATCCCTCTCCTCCCGCCCAGCCCCGACGACGCCTCTTACACGCCCTGGCAACCTCCTCCTCCTCACACGCCTCTGATCTTCCCAACCTTCCTCCTCCTCCCTCTCGCTTCTCCTCCGACGCGTGATCTGATCATGTCATTCCCTGAAGACGCGACGTTCGGGGATGCGTTGAGTTCGATGGGCCACGACCCCTCCTCGACGCAACTCTACCTCTCGACTCGACTCGGCCGCGTCCTGAAAATCGGGAGCAAGATGACGCTGGGCAAGGTTCTACTAGGAGCAGGGAAGAGGAACGAGAAGGGTGAGATCGAGGACGGGTGGGAGTTGAAGGAGGGATGGGCGTTGGAGATGGTTGGAGTTCCGAAGGGCGGCGAGGGGGACGAGTGGGTCAAGGGTTGGAAGGAGGAAGTCAAGATGGGTGCGAAGGCGATCTTGTGAATCAACGAACGGCGTCGCATCAGACGAGGGTTGACTTTGGCGGGCGACGAGGGTTGACTCGCGAGGGAGAGAAGGTCGTGCGATAGCGCAATCTCTCGCCTCGTTTGCTCGAGCTGGCAGAGTCTCTGAGCAAGCCTTGTTCTCCTTGTACTCTGTTCGACGCTGCACACCCAGCAGTCTACTCCAGCTCGACCCTTCCCTTCGCCTTCGACGACCCCGTCCGCCCGCAGTCATCCCATCCCGCGCGGTCACGCTCTCATCTCGACTCTCGCTCAGCTGGCTCGCGGACAAGGCTACTGTAGGTGGGCACACTGTGACTCTGTCGACTAGCACACACCCAGCTCACACGCTCGAACGGCGCGCGCACAGTCACTCCCGCCGACACCACCCCGCTCGACTCGACTCGACCTCCGAACAAGGGTCAGTTCGCGCCCTCGCTCTCTCGTGCTGTGTGCCACGGCGAGACTGTCAGAGTGACTGACACACGAAGCTGCACACACCCAGTCATCCAGCCGCTTCGACCCAGTCACTCTCGCGCACTCTGCGCCACTTGAGTCGAGCCCCTTCCTCCTCGGACTCGTCCACCTCGTCGCCCTCTCTTCTCTCTCTCGACCCAACGAACGAAACACACGATGATCTTCCCCGTCACCAAGTCCATCCACGCCTGAACGGGCATTCCTCTCTCCTCCAACCCGAGTCGCTCAACTCCAGCCGCCACTCGGTATCACCGCCTCACCCACCACCACCCACTTACAACTCGCAACCCTGATTCCCTCACCCTTGCCCGTTCAAAGCACACACGTCGAAACCTCTCGCAGACCCTCACCAGTCTGTGCTGTTAAGGCCCACCCACTACCCCCACCTGGTCACGAACCCTTCGCCACTCGACCTTCAACCTCCTATCCTTCGCACTACGCCCACGCCCTTGTTCGGTTCGAATCGAACGTCATTCGTCTTCGATTCGACAGCAAGGACGAGCGCGCTTCGCTCTTGATACGGAGGACTTGAGTCTGCTTCGTCGGTAGAACGTGAGTCGGCGCCTCGACTCGTCCAAGTCTCGTCGGACTCGATTCCTCCGAGCCGAGCTGATTCTTCTTCTTGCGGCCACTTGCAGTCAATCTTCGTTCTACGCCACCATGTCGTCCCTCCTCCCTACCCCTCCTCACCCACACGCCTCCCTCTACCCCTCGGCCGCCGACGAAGCAGCAGCCTACGTCGCGCACGCCTCCTCCCTCTCCCTCCATCCGCAACAACGCTCCCGCTCTCACTCCTCCGTCCCCCTCCCCGACGCCAAACGCCCCCGCTCATCGGCCACCTCCTCCTTCGCAGCGCAAGACTGGACTTCCTCGCGTCCTCCCAGCCCGGCTCTCAAGCCCTGCACTGCAGCATGGACGTCTTCCTACGCCGCGCACCCACTCGCCTCGACATCGACATCCGGATCCGAGGTCCCCCCTCCCCCGCTGCTGCACGTCCAAGCACACTGCCCGACTCCCGCTCTCACGCCCGACGAAGACGGCGACGAGCACCTCGAAGGACGGAGCGGATTCGTCAAGCGCGATGACCTCACCGCCAAGGCAGTGAAGCGCGCGCAGAACTTGTCGACGGCGGGACAAGGAGCGGAGGGCGGCAAGGATAGGTTCGTCAATGGGTTGGTTGGTGAGCTTTTGCGTTTTCTTTTCTTTTTCGCTTGACCAGCGTGTGAGGGCGCGAGGGTGTTGAGAAGCGGCGTGCTTACTGTTTCCCGTTTCTCGCATGCTTTTCGTTTCCGTCTCTCGCGCTTGCCTCCTTCGCTACGTTTTGCTTCTCCTCGCGTGCGCTCACCCGCACACAGGCGCCTCAGTCCTCGCCATCGAATCCATCTGGGGTCCCTCCACCCCCTCAACCTGCACCCTCGCCTCTCCCTCCTCCTCCATCATCCCCCTCTCCTACTTCGTCAAAGAAGTCCTCCGCCGCTCCCGAACCTCCTGCTCAACCCTCCAACTCGCGCTCTACTACCTCCACAAATCGCGCCGCGAGATCCGCGCGGCGGTCAAGAGGGCGGGGGAGAGTGAGGGCGAGATCAAGAGGTTGGAGAGGGAGTTGAAGCGTGGGAAGGACGAGGTGCGCGCGGGGAATTCGAGGGCGCAGGACGCGGCGTATCCGTCGCCGCCTCGCTCGCCCGGACATGAGCTGGACGCCGCAGCGCGGAGGGAGACGACCCAGTCCCTCGGGGACCGGTTCTCCGCCCTCGTCGCAGCTCAAAATTCGCCCGTCCTCTGCGGCCGAAGGATGTTCCTCGCCTCGCTCATCTGCGCCTCAAAGTACCTCCAAGACCGCAACTACTCGAACCGCGCTTGGGCAAAGATTTCCGGACTCGACGTCCGCGAGATCAATGCCAACGAACGTGCGTTCCTCAAGGTTACTGGATTTGGGTTGCACCTCCCCGCCGAGGAGTTCCAGAGGTGGACAGAGAGGTTGGCAGCGCTCAACTCGTCGAGTTCGCCTCTCACTTCACCCGCGACGAACACGACCATCCCCTCGCCCCTCGCGCGCTCAGCATCCGAGTACCACCTCCTCGCCAGCATCCAAGCGCCCCTCCTCGCAGCCGGAACGCGTCCGTCGCTCCCTTCCTCGCGCAAGGTTCTCGCGCGCGGTGCGAGTGCGGCAGTCGTTTACCCCACCACCACGACCAACTCCTCGACGAGCGCGACGACGAGGGAGAAAGGTTTCCCGATTGCGGCGCCGAGGATGGCCTATCGCCAGCCTACCCCCTCGTCTTCCTCCTCCGAGGGCGAGACAGAGGCAGACGAGTCTTCGTCGGCCTACTCGTTCACCTCGGTTTCGGACGGTCGCAAGCTCCGCGCGCTTCCTACTCGTCGCATCCGCGCGCCTGCCGCGGTCACCGCCTCGCCTGCGTCGTTCGTTCCGCAGGCTTGGGCAGCAGGAGTCGTGCCTATGGAGGGAGTGGTGGTCTCGCAAGTGGAGGGCGTCAGGGCGCACTGAGTCGTCGTCGGAGGAGGAGGTGGTCGCTTTTCTCTCGCATCGTACAGTCTTCCTTTTTTTCCTCTCGTTCCTCTTCGACCCGCTTGTGCTCGTGACTCGATGTGTGTACCGTGTAGGACCCACCCTGTACACGCTTCCTCGTTACACGCAAAACCCTCCTTTGCTTGTACTGCGACCATTCCCCTTCCTCTCTTCCTCGTTCCGCCCAGTCCTCCTGATACCGTAACTCTAACTTGTCGTCGTTGCAACAAAGGTTCGCTCGTACACTCACTCTCTCTCGCTCTCTTCGACTCGGTGCATCTCGTCGTTCTGAGGAGCGTTTGTCGAGTTCCTGGCTTCGCCTGCTGCTGTTGGACGGAGAGAGCGACAGGCTGATATGACATGCTTCGAGGAGGATTGGGTGACGGGACAGCGAAGGAAAGGGTAGTGTGTGACACACGAAGGAAGACAAACCGCCTCACAACCTTACGCCGTACAGCATCCCCGCCTGTCTCTTCCGCATCCTTTTCCCGTACAAGATCATCGGCACCATACTCAGATTGACCACGACCGCCAACACCGCACACGAGATCCCCCAGTCCTTGGTTCCCATACTCGCGATCCACGGGTTCAAGGCGTAGTTCATGGCGAAACTGAGAACCATGGCTGGTATGAGAGCCGAGACGAGTTGTGGGCAGTCTTCGGGCGGTGCGAGGGAGGAGGGGTTCTCGTAGGCTGAGAAAGAGTCGAAGAGGTAGTTTAGCGCAGAGGTCGTGCCGAACGAGGAGGCGACGGAGGTGAGACCGAGTCCGGCGATGACGAATGCGGGCCAGGGGAGGGAGAAGTAGGGACCGATGCCGAGGAGGATTAGGCCGACGGGGAGGAGGGGGAAGAGGAGGAGCATGAGCCAAAGCTTGTGTTCGGGCTCGGAGATGCCGCCGTTCCGCTTCGCCATCCAGAGAGTGAAGCGGTCGCTGAGCAAGCCGTAGAGAACGACGCTGTGTGAACGGAAAGGGAGTGATTGAGCGCGAGAAGTAGGAGAGAAAACGGATGAGCGCACCCTGGCGTGGTCAAGGCGGTAGGCGATAGGTAGGCGAGTCCTGTCTGTGCGACGCTGAAATTGTACGGCTGGGCGGCGAGCGTGTCGGCGCTGATGCCGTTGAGGACTGCGTCGGGAAGTCGGTTAGGAAGGTTCGCTAGCCATCTAGAGGTCTGCAAAGGAGGACGCACAATTGTACCACACCTGCATGATACCATACTGCAGCGCCGCAAACCAGACGATCGGGTGCTGGAGCATGACAAGGGGCTGGACGAAGCCTTCCTTGAATGCCGCCCAAGGCTGCGCGTTGACCCTCGTCCCGAGTCGCTGGACGAACGAGCGTTTCCCGATGTCTGCTTCAACGACGTGCGATGTGGCCGAGACCTTTGCGTGCCCTTCTCCCATCGACAGCGAAACCTTGCCGTGATCTGCGGGCTGGCGGTCCATCGCTTCCTCGTCTCCCTTGTCGAGGATCCGCTCAACCGTGCTCGACATCGTCTTGCGGTAGAAGTTCGTCTCCTCCATGAAGAAGAAGCAGAAGATGAATGAGCCGAGGCAGAAGATGCCGGCGAAGTACTGCGAGTCGGAGGCAGGTCAGACGAAAGGTGGCGAGGGGGAGAGGAGAGCTCGACCCACGAAGACGGCCTTGTAGCCGAGTCCTTCGCTGATGTAGGCGCCGAGGAGCGGGGCGATGAGGGCGGCTGTTCAAGCGAGAGAAACTTAGTCTGCGTCCTCTGGAGCGGGCAACAAAGCGGGCGCACCTCCGTACAGCGTCGCGACATATGCGCCCATTGGTGTAGCTCGCTCGTGCGCGAAGAACTGGAAGCAAGAGCAGGTTCAGCCTCAAAGGAAGCGTGAAAGAGGCGAAGAAAGCGCACAACTTGGGCAATGGAAACCTCTGTCGCTGCGAATGTCGGCCCGTTACTGAAACCGAGGACGACACATTGGACCATCCATGATGCGCGACTCTTGATATTGGCCATCCAGACGCAGCAGCCGGCGGAGATGAGCATGGTGATGAGGTACAATGGTCGCTTGCCCTGTGTGACGCACATTCGTCAGCGACGGCGGATAACAATCATATAGAAACTAACGCACAAAGGCATTGCCAAGAGACGAGGTGATGAGCGGCGCGAAGCCGACGAGGAGGTACTGGACGCCGACGCCCTGGTTCAAGGCTGCGATAGAGATGCCGGTCGCGTCGCTGAGGGGTTCGCAGATAGAGAAGAGTGCGCTCTGCGCGACGGACATGCAGAATGTGTAGAGGATGATGCAGAAGAGCGAGAGGAGCTTCCGCCAGCGGGACCACTGTGAGGGTGTATAGCTAGTCAGCCCAACGTCGGCCGGGCAATCGAACAACTACACGCACATTCAGAGGGTCATCTGGGTGCGACGATGGCGTCGGCACGAGAATCAAGTCGCCAGCAGAGTGCAGTTCAGAGCCGTCTGGGTCGAAGAGACGGATCGTTCCCGGCGCCATCTCCGTGTCGTCGCCGTGCTTCAGCAGTGTGGGGAACCCCATCGTATGCGAGTCGCCAGTGTTGTGCGGAGACAAGCAGCGAACACCACGAAGCGGATGCGGTGGGAGGGAGGGACGAAGCGTTATCGCAACTGAAGCGGGGACAGCGGCAAGAGATCCGTCTGGTTGCCCCGCAGGAGGGCGGCAAGGCGAGCATCACTAATCTAGCGTTGAGCAGGCTGGCGGTAAGCGAGTGCAAGCGCGCGAGGGGGACAAGGAGGAGGAGCCGACGCCGTCGCCGACCACCTGCGCCTGCGGCTCATCCTAATCTCGCCGGACGGACAACGGCGGAGCTCGTTCGCACTTGCACACGCTCGCAACTAAACTGAGCTCCTCGCGTCGGCTCATCCCCGCAGTCCTCCGCCCTGCGGACATCGTGTTTCGCGCTCTCCGCCTCGCTGAAGACCACCCAAAAGTGCGACGCCTTGTAGCGAGACATTGGGTATGAGATTGACAGTGTTAGAGACAAGAAGGAAGGCAGGAGGACGAGATACCGACCCAGAAAACAATGCTAGAGGAGAGAGAGAGAGAGAGGTCCGACTATAAGGCAGGGAGAACGTCCAGCGAGTTAGAGGGGGGGATATGAGGCGTGTCTAGCGTGATGGAGGAGAGCGTGAGGTGCGTGATGAGAGGCGGAGGAGGGTAGTGTCCGAGGAGAGAGGCAAGTGTCTGCGAAAGAGGAGGGAGGGAGCCGGCTGGCGAGTGGAGGGAGCGTCTAGAGGTCGAAGTCGAAGTCGAGCGAGTGCGAGTCTTCGTCGTTGCGGTGAAGGAGGCGCGCCCATTCGAGGACGAGGCGGACTGCGCGGTCACGCGAAGGTCGGCAGTCAGTCTCCTGCTCCTCGCAAAGCAAAAGAAGAGCTTGTGCGCGCGAAACGTACACATGTAAGCCGCCATATCCTGCTTGCGCCAATGATCCCGCGCCCAATGCTTGCCCGCCAACCCGATCTTGTTCGCCAACTCGTCGTGCGAACCGTGTCCCTCGGGCGTACCGTGGAAGAACGTCATGATGTCGTACAAGTCCGAGTAGTCGACCTTGACGGGGACGTAGCTGCGTGAAGCGGAGGTGAGCAAGCAGGAGGGCAAAGGAGGGGGAGAAACGCACTGGAGCCATGGCTGGACGCGGTCGGCGTACCACTCGGGGAAGAGGGTCGACTTGAAGACGCAGGCCTTCATCGACATGAGGCGGTGGAAGCGTCCGGACCAGCCGTTTCCGTCGACGTCCATCACGTACTTGTACTGCGCGGAGAGTGTGAAGCGTGAGCGGGCGCACGAAGAGACGGAGGAAGCGCCACGCACCTGGTACGCCTCGTTGAGACCCATCGTGTCGCGGAAGTCGATGAGCTTGTTCATCAAGGCGCACGTCTCGGGGTCGCACTGCACCGGCCCTCCCGCAAACGCGACGTCCATGTACGCGCGATTGAGGCCGTTGACGTTGTACGTCTTTTCGCGGATCGCACCGTCGCCCTCAGCCCAGAGGACGCTCTTGGTCCCCTCCTTGTCGTTGGCGAGGAAGTGCAGACGGGCGCGCTGCGAGTTCTTCCAATCATTCTGGACGTAAAAGTCGATTCCGGTCGTCGATCCACGCCACATGAGCATGTTCTTCGTCTTCTTATCCCAGTCGGGCTCGTAGCCGATGTAGGTGTCCGAGTACTGCTCGAGAGGCGTGACGAGGATGTCGGAGTGGACGTTCGTCTTGGCGAAAGTGAATAGAGGGACGAGCGGGCCGGGATCGGTACCGGAGACGGAGGTGAAGCCGTGCAGGTTCATGTTCTCGGGATGCTGGCAGATGTCCATGGCGGCCGAGTGGTCGTAGATGTACGACCTCGCAGGCGAAGTCGACGGCTTCTGCTGCGTCTCGCCATAAGCCTTCTTGTACCGCGCGACGAGCTCTTCGGTAGGTGGCGAATCCTCGCCGTTCTCCTCGATCTCGTCGAGGACGGCTTGCTCGACCATCCGGAGCGCAGAGTCGGGAGGACAACCGATAGCCCAGTTCGACAGGCGGACGTCGCTGTTCTCGAGGTAGTCGGACGGGCCCCAGTCTGCGGGCGCTCGACAATCAGAACGTTGACTTGCGGAAAGAGGCATGGAAGCGGCACGCACACTCGCCCAACGCAGCCAACTCGAGCATCCGCTCCTTGTGGAAGACATCAAGCTGACAAGCCGGCTGGTCATGCCTCGTGAACGTAAGGTTGACATCGGGTACATGAGCGCTGAATCGCGAGATGAGGTCCGAGAGGTCCTTGGCGCGACGGAGGAACGCCTGCTCGCCTTCTTCCGTCGTCTTGCCGTCCGTCACTTTGATCGTGAACGTCTCGGCGCGCTCTTGCATCACGCGGACGCGGTGGGCGAGGTCTCCCGGTTCGCTACGGGCAAGAAAAGCGTCAGTTTCACGGAAGGAGGCGAGAGAGAGAAGCGGAACGCACAGCGCCCAGAACGGCTGCAAGTCGCGGTGAATCTGGTCGTACTCGTCGACGAGGATGACGCGATTCGCCTTTGCGTACGCCCACCACTTCTCGAAACCCCTCGGCGGGTTCCGCTTGTACCTCCTTCGGTACTCGTGCACGGCATCCTTGAGCGTCTTGCTCTGCCGCTGGACCTTCTTGTTCCACTCGATCTCGGCGCGCTTGATGAGTGTGAGGATGGGATGAGGTGCGGGCGGTTCGGGGAAGGAAGAGAGCGGCTCGACGAGCAGTTGACCATTGGGGTCGAATTTGTGAGGCGTGTCGAGGCCCGTGTCGGGCAGTCCGAAGTCTTCGGTCTCGACTGGCGGAGGGGGAGGGACGTATTTCAGGTCGTTGCTGCCGTCGTCAAAGTTGAGATAGTCGATAAAGCCCTGCAGTCGTTCGGGCAGTTCGTCGGGGAGGGGTACGCCCGCTTTCGTCAACGCCGAGTGCGCCTTGGACCGGTTGTCGTCCGGCAAGACGATCAATACGACGAGGACGGCGAACAAGAGCGACCCGACCAGCCGTGGCCGCTGCCGCCAGAACGCGACGAGTCGACCGCCTCCTCCTCCCGCTCCAGCTCCCGGTGAATCTGCCCCGCCCCTCGCGCCAGGCCGTGTCCGCGGATGCCGCCCGGTCGAGCCAATCATGGGCGTGTCGGGCTCGACATAGTGCGGGAGGAGAGGCGCGTCGTCCGGTCCGTTCCCCATCGTCGCGGGAGCTCCGTTGGCGGCAGCGGTGGTTGCGCGCTTGCCCGCCCGTCTGCGGGAGCTGAATATGGAGGGAGCCAGGTCTGATCCTGTGTGTTCGCGCGCGTCTAGGCTGGGCGAGTGGGCGGACGAGGACGACGAGACGGTGGGTGAAGCAGGGCGGGTCGAGGTGAACGGCGACGAGGGCCGCGAGAGGACGGCGGTCGGGAGGAGAGAGGCCAGCTTGGGCGAGTCCTTCTACAGCTTGCTGCTCAGCTCTGACACAGCGTAGCAAGGGTCGTGCGCTGGACGAGAACGACGAACTCGCTCGCTTCCCGTCTCGCACAAAGTCGCGTCCACAGCGCGTCTTCACTTCAGTCGGAATCACGAGCAGCAGCAGCGTTGTCCACAGTGCACAGGCCTCGAAGGAACGCACAGAACACTCGCAGGCTAATGCGCGACATCGCCAGCGACGTCCGGCGTCGAGAGACGTCTTTTTCGACCTGAGAAGGTAACGACGTACTCCTCGTCTCGCCGCTGTAGACGTGCAACGAGGACTGCAACGTCGGCAAAACGTCGTTTCCATGACCCGGAACACGCCCCGACACACGCTACGCCGCACCAGCCCTTGCGACGGGCACATGCGCCTGCTGCCGCTCCACCTCGACAATCTTGTGCGTCAACTCGAGGTCGAAGATGTACGTCTCGACAGTGTGCGTCGACCCGTTCTGGCACGTCCAGATTGAGGTTGTCGCGGGAGGAGGAGGGGTGTCGGTCAGGCTAGCCAAGCCAACTGGATAGGCTTGATACTGCCATTCGTACGTCGCACCTGCAATGAAAGCGTCAGCGGTGAATTGGATGATACTCTCAAGGATGTAGGTGACGCACCGTTCCTCCTCACTGTGAGCCCGTAAGGCTGCCGAAGATCCGACCGATTCCCCGCTTGCCACTCCCTCGCCCACACCGACTGCCTCCCAACGTGCGGCTGGTCCATGGAGTGAGGCCGCAGAACATAGGCCGGACAAGCTAGGTGCACGACTGGGTCGCGGGGTCCTTGAGAGGGGGTATAGCGAATGACCCAGCCTTGACGATCGAGGTTCTTCTTGCCTGACGCCCAAGTGACGGCGACTGAAACGGCCGGCAGGATCCATTCTGCGTGAGTAAACGAGTTCAGCACTATGCGTAAGATGCAGCAACAAAGACTCTCACCTTTCTGACCGTGCTCGTTCATCCGGACGAAGACCTCTCCGTGTTCGGCTCCTCCGACTCCCCATCGATCCAGTCCTGTATCCTCGAGCCGGGCGACCTGTAACCTCCATATGTCTTGCACAGTCTTTGCACTGCCCAGGTCGCCGTCCTACGGAACGGATGCGTCAGAGAGAGCGGGACAAAGCTGATGCGAAAGGCTCACGTCTGTCGGATTGTAAGGTCGGCAACCGGGATAATGTATCCTCGCCCATGCAAGCAGGACCTCGGCTTTGTAGGCAGCTGCGTAAAGAAGCGTTCGTCAGTCCTGGCGCCTTTCAGGGTGTTTGCGCAAACGCACCATAATCACTGTGTTGGGCCGGCGCCGCTGCGGGCTGTGGATGAACTGGACAAACCTCAGGGTCAGCGCGCTACTTGGTGCAAACATCCAGTCAGAGCGAACGGACCTGAGCCGTGCGGACTGAGGAAGTAGTCCCTCGCCTCCTCAGTCGAACCGAATTTCGACTCGATGTGCGGTCGTGGATGGTTTGACATCCGAGTAAGCAGGCTGAATAGTTGACTGGATGAAGCTCGCAGAGGACGGAAGGGAGAAGCCAGCCAGAAGCGAGCGTTGGATGGCCCGGAGTATCCGTGGAGACAGGTTGCGCGAAGACAACACCCGATGAGGCTCCGTCCCAGCCAGTTCCCAACCCGAGCGACAGCGTTCGTTACGAAGATAGCGACGAGCTGAAGGAGGAGCCTCGCTGGACCGCCGTCGAGCCTGTCGAAGCCGAATCCAGCAAAGCAGGGCGACCCGCGCCCGTTCGTCCCCTTGCAAGCGATGTGCCCGGTCTAATTCTACGCGCTGACGACCTCGCCACTCTTGACTTCCTTGCCCGTCTTCTTGATCTTGGCGAGGACGTCGTCGTAGGGAACTGAAGAGGTCTTGACGATGACTTCTTGCTTTTCGAGCGAGACGTCGTACGAGGAGAGACCTGAGGATAGCGAGACTCGTCAGTTGTCATCACCATCACTTGCTTACGTCTCTTCCGGCCCAAAAGAACGGTGGCGGCGAGACGAGCGGAGGGTCGAGGATGCTGACATACCTTCCGTCTTCTTCAGCACCCGCTCAATCGCACCCGAGCACCCTGTGCAAGTCATGACCTGTCAAACAACCCTTCACGCGTCAGCTCAGCTCAAAAGCGCAGGCCCAGAGGCGACGCACAACGTTGAACTTGTAGGTCGACTGAGGGTGCCGAGGTGGGGTCGAGGGAGGCGAGAGGAGAGCGCGAGAGTCAGCGCCGGCTGACAGACAGCATTCAGCAGGTTATCGCACCTCTGCCATCCTGCAAGCGAAGCTTCTAGCGGTGTGAGCGAGTGCGGACGAGGGAGAGAAGCGGGCGCGATGGCGAAGAGGGGCTCGTCCTCAGCGTACTGGCTCATTCGCAGCGCCAGAGGAGACAAAGAACCCCATCGACGATGCTGACTGCTCCCATAGCACAATGCAGCCGCCGCAGTCTCCCGCGCCGTGTCGAGGCCAACTTCGAGACTTCATCACCTCGTGGACCAGGGATGGCGATGCGCGTTCCGGAGGGGTTGGCTGGTCGTTGAGCGCATGAACTCGATATGCCGAAGAGGCTCAGCACCGAACGAAACGCCTAGAGGAAGAGCTCGTAGCGTGAGAGTTCTCCTCTTCCTCCTACGCACTCTCGCTCCCGTGCTTCGAAGCTGGGAGTCTCTCTGAGCTCCTTCCTGCGTTTGTACTGACCACTGGAAGTATTCTGACCGTCTGGAACCCCCAGACTCGTGCGTTGTCCGACTTGCTCCTCCTCGTGCGACCCGCTTCTTTCGCTGCTCACGCTCGCGCTGTACCGCTCTGGGTGCAGCTGAGTACACTGTGCCCTCTGTCGCTTACGCTGAGCTCCCTCGCTCTGCGCGAGCCCGTCGGCGTCGACATCGCTCCCGCCTCCAACGGTCGTTCGCCTCTCTCCTTCCTTCCCTTCACTCGCTCGCACCCAACCACGCTTGCGGGCCTCGCTCTTCGTCTCGTTCGCCTGTATCGACTCTTCTCAGTTGCTGGGTGCGTCTCGCACACCGTTCCACGCCCTCAAACGCCCGCACCACCGCCAACTGACATCGCTCGGACCCTCTTTTGCGCAGTCAACTCGCCCTCGCCTCCTGCTCGCTCGCCTCGCTCCCAGTAGCCCTTCGAAAGCCTCATACACCTCGCACTCGCTCGACGCGAAGCCACCGGAGCCCTCGCCGACCTCGCTCGCCAACATGAAGACCTCGACCGCCTTCGTCGTCTCGCTCGGCCTCGCTTGCCTCCCGCTTGCCCTGGCTCACGGTGCGTACAGTTTCGCTGAGCTTTTCCAGTGATGGCGGCGCACTCAGACCGAAGCTGACTCGACGCGATGCGCCTGCTTGCGTGCGACTGACAGCCCACTCGCCGAACTCGCATCTCAAGCGCAACCTCAAGCGCAGCCCGCAGTATTACGGCTCGGGTAGTGCCTACGGCGGCGCTATGGGCGGCATGGGCGCAATGAGCGAGATGGGCGGGATGGGTGGCAGCGCGATGTTTGAGCAGGCCTCAGCGTCCGACAGCATGGGCGTGGGTATGGGTATGAGCGCCTCGCTCGGCATATCCAGCATGAGCCAGATGCCTACGCCGACCGACTCGACCATGGGCGCTGCCAACTCCGCGATGGCGACGATTCAAGGCGCGATGGGCTCGATGGGTCCTTCGCTCGACATGTGTGTCCAGCAGTGCATGGCCTGTGCGTGCCCTCCCTCCATCCTCACGGTTCTTCCGAGCTGACGGACGCGTCGTATGCTCGCAGCGAACGGCTTGTCGTGGCCTTCGGGCGCCGCCAGCGCCGCTCTTCCCGCGCTCACCGGCACGCCCTCCATGATGGCGCCGATGCCTTCCGGCGCCGGCACGATGGTCAACGGCTCGCTCGTCGGTGGTCCTGGTCAAGTCGTCGTTGCGCCCAAGAAGGGAGACTTGGTGCGTTTTCATGGGTGGAACGAGTTGACCTTCCTAAGCTGACCTCGAGACTCGCTCGTTTCCCTCACCTGTGACGACTACAGCGCTTCGTCCCGTTCAACACGGTCGCGAGTCCCGGCCAGACCATCGAGTTCATTTGGGGTGCCGGGGTGAGCTGTCTGCTTTCGACCTTCGCACGCGCTCGTACTCACCGTCTCTTCCTCGCGCTACAGCCTCACACCGTCACGCAGTCGTCGCAGCTCAGCATCTGCAACGCGACGCAGCAAACTGGCGCGTTCAAGAGCGGCATGCAGCAGGCCGGCTTCCAGATGCCGCTCACCGTCAACGACTCGTCAACCATCTTCTACTACTGCGCCGTCCCGAACCACTGCCAGAAGGGAATGGTGCGCCGCGTCTTCCTCCCCCTCACGCGACCGACGGAAAGCTGACCTCGTCCGCCTCGACTCACGCAGTTCGGCTTGATCAACGTTCGTCTAGCGTCGCTCGCGTCGCGCTTGTCGCTGACGTCCCCCTCTCGCGCGCAGGGCCAAGTCTCGCTCGACGGCAAGAACACGTTCGGCGAGTACATGAACGGCTGGGCCAAGGCGTAAGTTCAGGGCTGACTTGGCCAGAGGCACGAGTTGACTTGACTCTCTCGCTTTGCGCGACGCAGGAGTCAGGAGAACCAGGCCCTCCTCGACATCACGATCCAGATCACCTCCGGCAACAGCGCCGCCGCTAACTGGGGCGAGTCGCTTTCGGTACGTCCATTCCTTGCTTCTCCACCGAGCTTCGCTGACGCCTTCCGCTCCTACGCCGGCAGACCGCGCAATTCGAGTCGTGGGCGCTCCCGTGGGCCATGCAGCAAATCATGTACACCCGCCAGTACTTCGCCGAGAACCCTCAGCTCCTCGCCGCGACCAACGGTAATGCGACTTCGACTTCGACGTCGGCCGTCTCGAACGCCGGCTCACCCGCCTCGACTGGCAGCGCTGCGTCCGCCTCGGCCACCGCGTCGATGAGCAGCGGCGCCGCGTCGTCGTCGAAGACCGCCGGGTCGCTCGCTCTCATTGCCGGCGTCGCTCTCGCCCTCCTCGCCTAGCCGGTCTAGGTCTCCCTCTCGCTTTGCTTCGCATGTTCCTTTCCCTCTCGTTCCGCATGATTTGTGTCCTTCCACTCTCTATCGCTTGTTCCGCCGCCTCTCAATCTGTCTCGAGTCTGTAGCTTCCGACGAATGGCACTGGTTTGTCCGCTCGTCTCTTTGTGTTCAACCCTGCGAGACTGTATGCGAGGTAGCGGGTCGAGCTAGCGCGAGCGTGAGGAAGAGTCGATGAGCGGAGCGCGAGAAGGAGAGGTGTGCGCGTCTCTTCAGCCTGGGTGATGAGAGTGCCGAACCAGCGGCGTCACAGGAACGAAGATGTCAAGAGAGAGTACGCAGGCAATGCGCTGCCGTTCAAACCGAGAAGACTGCGAACAAGCCCAACCTTCGTCAGCCAAACCTTCCTCCGCACCAAACGAACGATGGGAAACACACCCTTGACATAGTTGACCTCGAAATACGCCTTCTTGAACGCATCGGGATCGGCGTTCGCAGCTGCGCAGGAGGCGTACTTGGGGTAGCAGGCGCCTGAGAGCGAGGGGGAGGTGAAGACGGCTTGTTGGCCGGCCCAGTCGCCGCAGGTGCTGCGAGAGGTGCGCGGGGAGGTTAGCAGAGAGATTGCGGGCACGGAAGGAAGGTTGGCGGCCGAAGGATGCGAAAACGGGGGCAGGAAGGAGAATGGCAAGAAGTGGCGGGACGCACTCGATGTTCTGTGCAAGCCATCGCGAAAGGTCAAGCTGGTCAGCGGCTGACCACGCATGGACAAGCCGGGTGTAGTCGCAAACTCACGAACGTAAGCATCTGGTTCTTGAAGTACGTCCTCGTGTCGCAAGTCGCGCCGTCCCACGCTGCGACAGGCGTTCCCCAGGATTTCCAACGAGGCGCGCCGGACTTGATGTCCGAGGGGATGGAGGAGCGGGTAAAGCGCCAGATGGAGATGCTGCGAGGGAAAGGAAGGAGGATGAGTTCGGGTGCATTCCTCTCGGCTTCGAACAGGGCGAAAGCGAGCATGCGTTCTCGCCTCGAGAGAGAGAGAGAGGATACGCACCCAGTCTCCGCAAACAAGACCGCAAACACACCTCCGCCCGCTGCGTTGAACCCAGCGCCGTAGCTCTTCGGGTCCATATCCATCACTCCGCAACCCGTGTTCCCCTTTCCGGCGTTACAGTTCGAGTCGGCGCCATCGATACTGCCGGTCATAGGTGTCGAAAGGTTGCGCGTGCAGCCCGCGGCGGTGTGCAGGGTCATCGAGTTGAAGGTGCGCGAGTTGACGCCTTCGTAGATATCGATCTCGCCGGATTGAGGCCAGGGGTAGTTGTCTGCGAGCGGACGGCGTCGACGATACATGGTAAGTCAGGTACATGCAAGGGAAGGGTTGCAGGGGAGTCTGCCGCCCTCGCACCAGCTTGTCGAGCGCGACAAGGACGACTCACACATCCAGAAAGCCGGCCAAGTCGAGCATCCAACCGGTACATGCTTCAAGTCGACAATCACCAGGTTCCCCGGCTGGTACACATCCGTCGAGCTGATCCTGACCGACTTCCTCAGCTGTCCCTCACTCAGCCTGCTCGTCCGATCAATCGAGATAATCGCTGTTCCCGCTTTGGAGATGGAGACGAGTTTGTTCGCGAGCGCGTCGGCGCGAGAGAGGTAGCTGATCAGTCCGTGTGTTGGGTCTGAAGCGGTCCAGAAAGTCCAGGAGTCGAAGAAGGACGAGCCGGAGTAGGTTTTGCGCAACTTGGGAGTTGCGAGGGGCTGCGTGGGGCCGGAGGGACGGGTGGAGGTGGTTGGAGTCGCGGGTTTGGTCGTGGAAGAAGCGGCTTTGATGCAGCTGGTTCCCGAGGAGGAGGCAGAGTAGCCCGAGTTGCAGCCTGCGTCCAAGACTCTTCCGGCATCAGCATTCCCTATTCGGGCTCGATTCGCCTTCGAACGGTAGAGCAAGCGAGACACCCGGACGCACCAAACGTACAAATCCCCTTCGCCTTCTCGCACCTGTAGTGCGAGTGGGCCGGGATCTTTGCACCGACTTTACTGCAATCGCTCGTCTCCTTGCATTTGTACGTCGCGCGTTTGTCGAGTGCCTCCAAAGAGGGGGGAGAGGAGGTAGCGAGTGTGAGGGTTGGAAGGAGCGTGAGGAGGAGGAGGGGCACGGGGAGGAGGCGCATTGGCGGCAGCTGGTGCTGAGTAGCGGTGACGCGGAGCAAAGAGAGCAAGCACGACGAGCGTACGGACGAAGGGAGAGAGGCGTCCGTCGACCTCCAAAGACGGACGTCCGCCGTTGAATGAGCGAGTGAAAGTCTAGGCTCGCTCGGGACGCGTGGGACGTTCAGAAGCAGCGCAGAGGCATGCGAGTGAGCGTGCAGTCGTAGCCTGGCTAGCAGTGGCAGAAAGCGAGTGAAGTGCAGGAGGAAGAGAAGTGCGAGGCGACAAGTCGCAAGAACAGCTCACACGGTCCACAGCTACGGGATCTTCACGAGCAAGAGAACACCCTCTCGACGACCGGGACGACACTGCGGAACAACACGAGCACCGGGGTTGCAGCCTCAGTCCTCCTCCTCCTCCGTCCACCTCATTCCCAATCTAGTCCGGTATTTAGGCCTTGACGAGGAACTGGCGCTTGGGGAAGTGAACCTGCTTCTTGTGCTGCCTCTCGGTGGTCTGGGTGCGCTCGTGGCGGGTCAAGCGGCGGCGGATCGCGCGGGTCTTCTTGGCGCGCATGTCGAGGGGGAGGCGCTTGCCCTTGTAGAGCTCGCGGAGGTTCTGGCGGGTCTTGGCGTTGATGACGGTCAAGACGCGGGCGATCGACTTGCGGACGACCGAGCTGTGCGCCCGCGAGAGGGAGAAACAGAACGGTCAGCGGTTCGTTCGCTGGCAGGATGCCCGATTGTATGCCCCTCCTCCTTCCACCTCGCTTTGCCTCCATCCGTCTTTGCCTTTTCCACTCGTCCACCCAAGCGAGCGCAGCGGTCCATCGGGCGCCGAGATTGGTGAAGCGAGATGTCGAGGAAAGGGCGTCGGGGTCCAAGTCGGTATCTGGTCGTCACGAATGACCGAGACCACACTCTGCCGACGACTGTGGTGTGTGCGAGGTCGACAGAGGCGGGCGCGAGGGTTCATTGGCGCGAGGAAGCCGCATTGTCGCTCGTCGACCCGCTGCGCTCGGTACCGTCCACCCGACCCGCTCGCATGCGACCCACGGCCCGCGAGAGCCCTCGCTCGCCTGTCCAACCCATTGCAGCACCCACTGAAGCCCGCGCCAGCACCGAGAGAGCCCGTTCAGACCCACATCTTTGCCAACTTGGAGGCGTTGCCGCCCGTGACCTTCTGGACACGGAGCGAGACGAGCTCCGTCTTGAGCTCCTCGAGCTGCTTGAGAAGCTCGTCACGCTTCTTGCTCTGGAGCTCAGAGGCGCGGACCTTGAGGGACGACGACATGCTGCTCGGCGGGTGAAGTGAGGGTGGGTTGGCGAGCGGGAAGGGGTTGGCGGCAGGGCGTGCAAAGTCGACGGGTGGGCCGAGTCGGGTCGCAGTGTGGTCGACAGAGGTCACACGAGTCGATTGAGGCGGTCAACGGGTGTCCAGCGGCGAGTCGAGCGGTGTTTCGAGGAGGATGCGAGGTTTGCGAGGGCGAGGTTGGCGAGGAGGGGTCGTCAAGGGGCGGGAGTTGGACGGGCGAGGGTCAGCTTTGCGTGTTCTGTCCAGTGAGCGTGCTTGCGAGCTCTGTACGCACGCTGGTCGGTGTGCGAGGTGAAGGCCGGCAGCTCAACCCCTTCTGCTCGCGGCCTCGAGCTCACGGCGAGCTGATGTGGCTTGACCCGCTCACCCTCGCTCTCACATGCTCTCGTGGTGGAAACGGACACCGCAGGACGGACCACGCATCCAGCAGCTATGGGGTGCGCACTGCAACGGGCTCACGAGGTGCCATGGTCGCTGACCTCTCTCCCCACACCACCAGCCTATCCTGTCAAGGTCAGCAAGCCACTCCTCTGCTCCGATAAGCTCAGGCTGCACGCTGACACGTCGAATGCAGAGCTGCCGTGGGACCAGGCTTGACGAATCAGCTTACGGCGAGGAAGGGCTCGAGGTGCGTCGTCGTTTCCTCCGTTGAATCAGTCGGGCCCTCGTCCTGACGCCGCCTGTCTCGCGCAGTACGACCGCCAATGGATGATCGTCGACGCAGCGACCCACCGCTTCCTCACCGCGCGCACCATCCCCCGAATGCTCCTCATACACCCGTCCATCAACCGTGACGCCGACTCGCTCGACATCACTGTCCCCTCTTCCGCGTCCACCTCCCCTCCCTTGACGTTCTCCGTCCCTCTCGCGCATCCTGCGACGTACCTCAGTGATCCAGAAGGCGACGAATCCCTCGACCACGACTACTCCGTCTTCGGCTGCGAGCCACAAGACGGCTACTCGGTCGGCTCGCCTGAACTCATCGCCGCGTTGAGCGACTTCATGGGCCGCGACGTGCTCCTAATTCGCAAGGGTTTGACAAAGAGGTCCGTCAAGGAAGTCCCGGGCGTCGTGCACAGCGAGGGACTCAACCCAGTCCTGGGCTTTGCGGACTTTTACGCGTTCCAGATCGCCAGCGCAACCAGTCTCAAGTGCGCCCCACCTTTCTACATTACCTTCGCACCATCTGACCCTCGGGCGCCCCGCAGCGAACTAACTACCCGCATCCACTCGCTAACCACCGACCCCTCCTTCAACCAAACCCGCTGGTCCCCCTCCGCCCTCTCCACCCAAGGAGGCCTCGAGATTACGCGTTTCAGACCAAACATCGTGGTCGAGGGCTTGAAAGAAGCGTGGGAGGAAGACGGGTGGAAGAGGGTCCGCTTTGCGGAAGAGGAGGAAGTTGAGGTTGGGATGAAGTGCGGGAGGTGTCAGGTGCGTCCTACGTCACTCTTCCTCACTCTCAGAGCCGGGCTGACGGTAATTAGGCATGCCAGGTCCCGTCCTACGACCCCGCCACCGGCGTACGGGACAAACTCCTCCCCGACGGCGTGATGAAAGACCGAATTGTCCAGCCTCTCTCGGCGCCGAAAGTCTGTTTCGGAGTGCTTGCGTCGCCGTTGAAGAAGCAGGGTGCGCTCCCGATCTCGTTCTTTTACGAGGAAGAGTGGAAGCTGATGGTGGTGAGGCTTGCAGGTGGACGACTCAAGGTTGGCGACGCGGTGACGGTCCTCGACTCGTATCCCAAATCAGCGAACGGCGTTTGGGTGCGCGACGAAGATCGCGTCAACTAGATTCTCCCTCGTTCTCTCGTTGTTCCTGCTTAGATACACCGTTTCCTCACGACCATACCCTTTTCCCGGTCGTACACGCTGTTTGTTTGGGTTGTTGTCGGTTCTTAGATGCCACCATCTGTTCTCTCGTACTCTCGCGTTCCAGCGAAATCCGGAGTCGAGCGATCCTCGAAAGGTCTCGTCTTGCAGAAAACGGGCTGCTACACTTGCTGCTTCGTCACCTCACGTCCTCCTGCACCTACGAGCACCGAAGCTGCACCGATCCGTCGTCCTCGCTCCGCTCCGCATCGCCATCCGTCGAGATTCATGTTCGTCGTTCGCCAAGCCGCTAAATTCGTCGACGGTAGGGCTTGTCGAGCCGAGCCGACGATAGTGTTCCTCTCTTTTTCCTTCTCCTTCGCTCCTCCCGCTCATTCACCCATTTCCCCTCCCACCGCCCGCACCGCCAGGCGCCGGCCACCCACCACTCACGAAACCCGGCGCAAACGGGTTCTGCGTCTGCCCAGCCGTCGGGAGGGGCGCGAACGCCGCGTGGTGGTGAGGTGCGAGGCCGGCGAAAGGTGTTGAGAGGGGCGTATGCGGGTGCGGGTGGGCGTGCGGAGGGGAGGGGACGAAGCTGGGCGAGTGGTGAGCGGGATGAGCGGGTTGAGCGGGTCCCGTATGCACTCTGGGAAGCGGCGGCGCAGCAAACGCTCCTCCATACAGTCCCGCTCCCGCAAGTCCCGCCGGCCCAGCGGAAGCAGGAGGCAGAGCCGACCACCCAGCTTGTTTCGCTGCGGGGCTCCCGTGCGTGAGGTTCGGGATCGCTTCGAACGAGTGGGCTGTGACGGGTTGAGCGTGAGGAGAGGAGAGGTGTGAGGAGGAGGAGGTAGAGAGGAGAGAGGCGGCGGGGTGGCCGGTCGCAGGGGCCCAGATGGACGGTCCTGCGCCGCCTGCGAGGCTCGTCGAGGCGTGAGGAGGAGCGGGGAGGGCTGCGCCGGTCGAGCGAGAGGGGCGGAGGTCGGGGCGGGTTAGGGGGTCGACGGGAGCGGCGGAGGCGAAGATCTGCTGGCGCAAGTCGGCGGCTGTGCGAGGTGGAGGACCGGCAGGCGAGCCGTAGTGCGAGGATGAGCGCGAGAGGTTAGGCGAGGAGCTGTGCGAGACGCGAGCGTCAGACGAGAACCTGCAGCAGCGAACGGAAGGCAAGGTTAGCGAGCTGTTCTTCCGGTCCGCGGGACTGCTGGTGCGGGGCGAGGCGGGCTCAAACATATGCTTGTCTAAATTGTTTTGGGATCGTGCATTCGACTCCCCCGCCCTCCTGAAAGAAGGGCGGTCTCAACTGAATGAGCGAGAGCCGTACGAAAGCCATGCATTGGAGGTGTTCTTCATAGCCCGGGTGCAATCAAGAAGGGGAGACTCACTCATAAGGAGAATGCGAGCGCTCGAGGAATGCAGTCAGAGAGGAAGAGGGAAGAGGGGACGCACAAGTTGGTTGGCGGAAGCGAGCCTGATCTGTTACCCGGGTAGACGACCTGCTCCTCCGCCTCGTCGTCGTCGTCCTCGTCGTCGAGATCACTCAAGCCGTCCTCAGCCGCCGCGACTACCCTCATCGCCCTGTCGACCGGATCGTCCTCGGTCGCCTCCTCCGCATCAGCCATCTCCTCGTCTTCCTCGACGTCGTCTGCAGCGTCGACAACGAGTTCCTGCAATCGCGGTACAAAGACGAATGCGCCGTCGACAATCTCGATGCGCGAGGCGTCCGACGCTGCCAGTCGTGCAGCATCCCGCTGAGACTCGGCGACACGCATGAGCTGTTCGTCGTTCGGGTGGACATCCCTCCCCACGCGCCTGATCTCTTTCGCCGAGCTGTCCGCTGCAGAGGCACCGGCACGGGACTTGACAGCCGCGAAGCCGAGCAGCTCGACGTCCTCCTCGAGCCAGGCGCCATCATCGAGCGTCGGCAGCTCCGACGCCGGGAAGGCAAGCATGAGAGTGTTGGAGAAGTCGGAGTAGGCGGTCCAGAAGTCGTCGAGGGCTGTGCGGAACTCGACGAGCGAGACGCGTCGGAGCGGGTTCGTGCCGGACGGAGTCGAGTTGGCGCCGGACGAGTCGAGCGACGGGTTCTGCGCCTCTTCGATTGCGCCGCCACCGGCTGTGGAGGTACTCGTCCGCGCTCGTCGTCGCTCGCTCGCCTCGACCCTCGCTTCGACCCGCCCGACGTACTCGACCTGCGCGACGAGCCATCGGTTCAGGATACGAATGGACGGGAGAGCTCGTCGGAGGACGGCGCTGATGTTCTGCGACGCAGGAGGCGGAGGCGCATCGGGCGAGGTCTGGTTCGCGCTGACGAGCTCGAGGGTTTCGGCTGTTGAAACGGAGAGCAGGACGGTGAAGAGCGAGAAGAGGTGGACGAGGATGTGCGGTTCAAGGTTGACCTTCGGCGTCGTGGTCGAGGCGTCCTTGCTATCCTTTTCGCCAGCTGCGGGATCGAGGAGAGCCTTCGAGCCGTTCTTGGTACCGTTGCGAGACAAAGCTGTCGATCCCGAGCGCGACATGCGAGCGTCCCAGAGCGCCGCGAGCGAGGTGACGATGATCCTGAGGACGACGTCAGAGGTGAAGAGGCGTTCAGCGATGACGATGCGGAAGAGGTCGGTCGTTGCGGTCGTGAGGCGCTGAATGTCGGGCAGTCTGCAAAAGGAGCTGAGTGAGTTCTTGAATGGGAGTCTTCGAGGACAGGTCGCACGCACCGCTCCTTCGTGAAGAAGACGCCCTGCAGCGCAACAAACAACGTCTTGAACCGCTCCGCCTCGTCCCCCTCGCCCGACCCGTTCTCCGCCCACCTCGCAACAGCCTTCTTGAAGGTGATCTGCAAGTTTGCGCGAGCGGTCGCGAACGGCATCGAGCGGACACAGATGGCGCGGTAGTAGTGGTAGATGGACGCGAGCGGGTCGGAAGCGTATTGCGAGAGGACGGCGAGTTGGTTCGAGGGGTTGCCTGCGTGGTGTCTCCAGATCAGTACAGCAGTAATCGGAAGGGCGGCGCAGACGCACCGTTATCGGGTAGGAGTAGGCGAGCCTGGTTGTAGCATTCTGCCGCCCTCGCATACGTCTTGATCTTGCGTTCTCCTGATCCGGCGCCTGCCTTTCCACCTCGCTTACCGCCCCGTGCGCCAGCCGCTGCAGTCGGCGGGGACGAGTCGTTGTAGAGCTCGTTGTAGCGCTCGAGGTCGCCCAGACAGATCAGCGCCTTGTGCGCGAGTGGGAGGACGGCGGTCCTCTTCGCCTTCTGCGCCTCGGCGTCTTCGGTGTCCGCGTCCGCGTTCTCGTCGACGAAGGAAGCGACAATGCCAACCGCACGCCGCAGCTCTTCGCGCTCTTCGTCGCCGAGCCTCCCCGCAAATCGCCCGCACAAGGTCTTCCAGAACTCGATTTCCTTCGCCAGGAACTGCCTGAACGAGTGGACGAGCTTGCGCCTCGCGACAGGTCCAACGGGCTGGATTGCGCCTCCTCCGCCTTGTTGCGCATTCGAGCGGCCACGCTTCGACTTTTCCTTCTCAAGCGCGAGTTGCTTGTCGAGGTCTGCGAGGCGGGCGCGGTAGGACTGGATGAGGGAGTGAGACGTGTCGAGCCAGAGAAGGTTGAGGGTATCGAGGATGCGCGATGTGTGCAATGCAGCGGGCGTGAGAGCTGCCGAGGACGACGAGCGAGGTTTCAGGGAGAGGTCCGCAGTCGACGATGGTCGCGTGGCGCGGGCGAGTGTAGGGGACGCCGAAGTGGTCGGGGGCGAGGGCGAGAAGATTATCCTAAGGTAGGCTTTGCGGGTTCTGCAATTCGGAGGGATGTCAACACGAGCGAGTCGAGGAGGAAGCGAACAACGCACGACTCTCGCTGAAACTCGAGATCTCGATCCCAGGGTTCCTTGCGCTTTAGTAGCGACTTGAGCTCGAGCGCGAGACCCTTTGCCTCCCTGTTGAGCCGTCCATTCGAGTCGGGACAAGAGCATACGGGGAGTCGAAGAACCGTCAGCGCGGCACTTGCGGCTATCAAGCGACGTCCAGTGGGTGGAACGCACCGAATTTGAGCACTCAGACCACTGCCAGACTGCCCAGCGGGCGCCCTTGTCGATGTAGAGGCGGTGGGGAGAGCCATTGCGTCGAGTGAGGCGACGAGTGAGGAAGAAAGCGTGGTTCAAGCGCGTGCTAGGGCGAGTGCATCTCTGTTAGCGCTGGTGTCCCACTGTGAGCCTCTACAAGCGCGGTGCGAGCAGGTGAAGTGGTGTGGTCCTCTTCAACAGACGGTTGTTCATCTCCTCCTCGCCTGTGTCGGCTTGCTCGTGCTTGGAAGTGTTGCTTGCGTGTGCATGGCATCTGTCGCAGATCTCGTCAAGCACCACTCTGAACAGATCCGCCGCGCGTCGCCTCAGCCGCCCTCGCCAACTCTCTCGCGCAAGACCCTCGCGCCAACTTCTCCTTCGCCGCAACCCGCGCAGCTGCTCGACATGTCGGACTCGGAAAAGACTGCTACCACAGCCACGGACCGGGTGGAGGCGACCGCAGCGGAGGGAGCGGGCGAACAACAGCAGCCACAGGAACACACGCTTGGAGATATTCAGGAGGCGGACAAGTCGGGCGACGAGAGCGCGCTCGAGGAGGGCGAGATTCATGAGACCGCAGAGGAGAAGGAGGCCAAGCTGCAGCAGGACAAAGACGACGCAGGCGACGAACCCTCTTCCTCCTCGACCCCCGCCTCTGCACCCACAAGCGACTCGCCCCTCGCCAAGATCCTCGAAGCCCTCCCCACGCTCCCCGAAAAGACTCAGGAGAACATCCGCACCAACCTCGAGCGGGTCGCCGGTTACCCTCGCGAGCTGCCCTTGAGCGCATCATGGAGTGCGTCCCTTTCGTTCAGCTTGCCTGTGCTCAACATGACTGACCAGGCTGCTCGCACAGCTCTCCACTTCTCCGACACCTCGGGCACCAAGTCGAACTCCCCCGCCGTCACCAAGGAAGCCTACACTCAGGGTATCATCCCCTTGTTCACCTGCACGACCGTTCCCTCCCTCTGCGGCCAGCTCAAGGCCTTCAAGCGCGCCGCTTCCTCGCGCCAGTCGCGCAACGGTCTCAAGCGCACGCGAGTCTTGCCTGGGGACGCGAACGAGGGAGAGGACGGCTTCGGCTTGACGCGGGCGGGTCAGAACTTGCATTTCTTCCAGACGGGAATCAGCCCAACCTGGGAGGACCCGTACAACGAGAAAGTGCGTTTGCGTCACAGCTGCGCTCGTCTTCCCGCTCTCCGTCCGCGCAAGCATGTCAAGCTCACACACCGTGTTTTGCAGGGCGGCCGATTGACCATCTCTCCTTCGCCCATCATGTTCGACTCGATCTACGAACGCCTCATCCTCCTTCTCGCCGGCGCCTCTCTCGAACTCCAAACCTCCCACATCCTCCGCACCGAAGGTCCGTCTCCGAACTCGAAGCGCAATCCCTCCGCTTCCGCGACCGAGCTACCCGAAGGGATGGTCATGGGCGTCGTTGCGTCTCGGCGTGCGAGGGGTGACAGGATTGAAGTCTGGGTTGGCGGGAAGGGCAAGAAGGAGCCGGCGCCGATGGAGTGGGTCGACCGGTTCAAGGAGGTGCTTGGTGACGAGCTTGGGCTGCCAGAGCTCAAGACGAGCAGGTACAAGAAGCATTTGTCGTAGGCGTGTGAGCGGAGCTTAGGGTGCTTGGGCTCGCATGGGAGGGCGGGCAATGTACACTTCCTTTTCGCATCGTCTCTCGTGCCTCGTCGCCGACGATCCGCTCCAAGTTTGCAAGGTGCCTCGCGGTATTCTGCTGCTAGCAATGTCGCCGTTGCAGCTTGCTGACTAGTACCGCCCTCGCTCGCTCCCGCTAGACTCGTCCTCGCTCCACCTCTCCTTCCGTTCCTCCTTCGGCCTTGCGCCACTACCAACCGTCGTCCGCCTGCTCCCCCTCCTCGCACGTCCGTGCGGGACAGATCTTTCCAGCGCGAGCGGGACAGACGAACCCGTTTCTGCGTCGTCAAGCAGAGCTTGTGACGAGCCTTCAGGGCGCGGCTTTGTGAGGACATCAAGGATGAGGTGGTGGAGGGCGTAGACGAGCCAGACGAGGGTGAAGAGGTAGATGGGGAGCATGAGAAGGAGGATCTGGCGAGGCGAAGAAGGATGTCAGCTCGGAGAAGAGAGCTGGGCTTGAGAAGACGCACAGTGCCGATGCTGATAATCTTGCTTTCGAGCGAGACACTGTTCGCCGTCGCGTAGCAATACATCGGGATCCATACGAGCGTGAGGAGCGTGCCGAGCTGTTGCGGCAGGACGGGTCGCGTCAGGCAGCGTTCTGAGCAACAGGACGGGATCGTACGCACCATTGCGACCCACATGGCAGTCCGAAGGAGCGGTACTCGAGGCGGAAGTCGCGACCGGCCGCGACCGGCGAGCGCGAGGACGGCGCCGAGAGTTCCGCAACCGGTCGAGCAAATGTACAGAATGTGCGTGGCCTGGCTGATGGGCGTGAACTCGCGGAAGTCTGCAAGTACAAACGTCAGTGAGGGTCTCGATCTGTAACTGAGAAGGACCCACGGAAGGAGACCTGGACAACGTCGTAGAAGAGGAAGGGAACGCATGGCAGCAGGACGAAGATGGCTGCGTCTGAGACTGCGGTAGGGGCTGTTCGACAGCAGCAAGACATCGTAGGCGACAAAGGTAAAGTGGACGGGAGACAGAAGGGCAGCGACGAAGGAGTCGAAAAGAGAGTCCGCGGAATCGCCGACGAGACAGGAGAGCAGCCCGGCGCACGTTCCCTCCGCCCATCGTCATACGGATGTGCATCGCCCTGAGTTCATATCCGACATCTCCCCTGAATGGCGGAGCGAGAGGAGCACGAGGGAGATCCGGGAAAGAACGGCCGGAGCGAGCGTAAGCAGCCGAGAAAGCTGGTACGTTTCCCGACTGCTGTTGAAAGCAGCCACCAGCTGAATGGATAATGTAGAAGTTATACAGCTGCTGTGCGAAGCACCGATCAGCGCATGGTGCGGCGAGAAGCGATGCGCGAGCCTGCTCACTCTACGCGCTCTACCTCATGCCCAGGTCTACCCGCCCGTCAGACACGCCACCATCTCTTCTTGCTGGCTCGATACCGGCGCACCGCGGCCTCAGCCTGTCGATGTAAGGCGGACAGCAGCGTCTGCGGCGGACGAGGCGTCGGGGTGGGGCAGTCAGGCAGCAGCATCGACCGGTCTGGGCGACAAAGTGGACGCACCTTAGAGCTCTGATCGCGTCTCAACCCCGTCAAGGAGTCCTCCCCACCCGCAGCTCTCGCCTCTGCGCCAATTTGACGAAGCACCATGCCGAGTCCGGGACCTTCGCAGGCGTGCTCGTCTTGGAATGACTGCCGATGTCGAAGGCGCGACGTTGCGATGGCGGGCGAAAGGAGTGAGAGGCGGAAGCACTGTATCAGCTTTCGGCCCAGCCAAGGTGAAGAGGCGCAGTAACGCACATTCAGGTCGCGCTTGTTGAGAGCGAAGCCGGGTTTGATTACCTCCTGCGATACTCAATAGTCATTATCGAGTTCTGCGAGCTAACTCGGACGAATCTGCGAGGCTCAAAAGCACGCCAGGACTCACGCAAGAGTCCTCACTTCGCATCGCCCGCAATACGCAGAGCTGCTCCTTCCGGCACGCCGCATTGCCGTTACAGCCTCGTCCCCATGCTCCGTGCGCATCGTACTTCTCAAAGGCGTCCCAGGCGGAGCTGTGCAAGTTCAGCCGTTCAGACCAGGCGCGAGGCGATCCAAGCGATGCGTTGAGAACGGGCTCACTCGTTCTTCTCCAGGGCGTCAGTTACGAGGCTCCAGAACGTCGCGTTCAGCGGTGCATTAGGCGGGAACGGCGCGTCGAGGAACTGATTGTAGTCGCGAGCCGAGTAGAACGGCTTCCAGCTCGGCCCTTGCTGGTAGCCTGGGGCGAACATGTCGGCTGAGGCAGTCAGACGCGGGAACGACGGCGTCAGTCAGCCGTCCATGTAAGGGCGAGGAAGCGAGTGCACCGTGGTAGACGGTAAAGTCGAGAACCTCGTAGGTCGCGCTGATACGGTAAACTCGAAAGACCGGGTCTCCGCCTGATGGCGAGCACGCGTCAGTGCTTCAGCTTGATGCGCAAGAGAGTTGGGAGCGTACTGCGAGGCGTAACCGACCCAGCAAGCAGAGCGACCGCAATGGCGCTCTCGCTCGTGGGCTTTTTCGGGTCCTCGTACCCGAGCTCCCATTCGTCCCAGTGCGCGTGACCATAGAGCTGAGCTGCAATGGTATGGCGGTAGCGCTGAATGATCTGGTAGACGTAGTTGGATTGCTCGCGGAAGACGTCGCGACGGCCTGGAGGACTGTGGCCGACTGAGGAAGACGAGTGAGTCAGTGATCACTCAGGTATCTCGCCATCCTGACAACGCTCTCACAAGCGACAGGGGAGGCGAACGTACTGAGCCAAGCCCTTTGACCTGCCTTCTCCGCCGCGTCCAGCTCCTTTGCGAGCCAGCTGATGATGCCGTTCGGGTCCCACTCCGGCCAGTCGCTAACGTAGAGCCAGTCTGTCGAGACCAAAGACATCCAAATCAACGCAATGTCCAGCGAAACGGCTCAGGGAATGCGGCGACGTACAATTCTGTTCCGACCAGTAGTTCGTGTTGAGACTGATGATGCGCAACTTGGTGCCGGGATGTACGAGCGAGTAGCAGCCGTAGTTGGTCAAGACTTGGTTCGCCGCCTCGTCACCGATCCAGCGTCGCCAGTCGCTTGCCGACAGGTTGTAGATCTGCTGCGCGTTCGTGGCGCTCGCCGCGTTGATCGTAGGGTCGAGCGCAAAGGCGTTGACGGGACCGATATCGCTACGAGGCTCGCTCCGGTAAGCGAAAGAGCGTTAGGGACTTAAGACAGTCTGCGACCCACTGATTGCCGAGCACGGGGTAGATCGGCTTCCCTGCGCTCGTCGTTCTCGAGGTACTGTTCGCCGGCAGGCTCCAGCTCGCAAGACTGACGCTGAAGTCATGCAACCCGTCGAGCACTCGCTGCGAAGGCAAGGCCTGATCAGCTCAATCTCCTCGCAACAGGCGAGGCTCGCGTGCGCGCACCTCTTCTGTCGCGTCCCATATAGCAGCGTCAATAACATCGCCACTGAAGACGGTGAAAGACCGATTCGGGGCGATCCTGCAAGCCAAGCGTGAGCAACGGGACTCGCAAATCAGGATCAAAGCACGCACTGCTCGACGGCTGCGAGGAGGTTGTCCATGAGAGCTTGAGGCGCGTCGCATTTGCGGTTCCCGAACTGCCACAGGCACCGGGATTAGCGTCGCTCGGAAGGAGGGCGATGGCCGATTGCGTACCGGTTCTGCAGGAGTCTTGACATCCAGTCCAGTTGAAGAAGGACCGTAATCGCGACAGCAAATCGGCTTCGTGCAATCGTCCGAGGCGCCCACCTGTCGATGGGGAAGAGCGAAAGTCAGAAAGGTCAGCTTCTGCGAACCCTCGCGGTGCGACGAGGCCGACAGCGGAGCGTACCAGGTACTCCTTGTCGATGTGCACGTCGCTGATCTGAACGACCTGGAATGTATCGCCGTCGTGCGCCTCATCCTCCCATTTCCTCCTCAAACCCGTCTCTCCCAGCTTCGACCTCCGCGCAAACTCTTTCGACGGGACGGCCTGCGGTTCGGGCGGCAGGTCGACTTTGTGCGGGACAACGGCGGTGATGGGGCAGAGGCCGAAGACGTTTGTGCAGAGACGAGTTGCGCCGGGCGAATGGACGGAGAGCGAGCGAAGGCTGTGGGCGAGGATGGGGGCTTGGGATCCGATGGCGCCTCGGCAAACGTCTGGGTCGGCCATCTGCGAAGGTGAGCGAAGGAATGGATTGTTAGCGAGTTGTTGAGAATATCGGGCAAGGAAAGGTCGACTCGCAGCTGAGCCGATGCAGAACTCGACGATCACGCCCGTGAACGCGTCATCTCCTGCGTGTGCTAGTACCTTGAGCGGCGCCAGTGCTGTCGCGCAAGCGGTGCACGAAGCGGCCGTCTCGATGAACATTACCGCCGGGTTGCTCTCGGACAGCGCGAAAGCTACGACGACCAGCGCGAGAGCAGCGAGCACAAGTGTCGTAACGAAGACGTCGCATCTGCTGAAGTGGTGGTGCTTGTGCTCTTTCTGGCGAGGGATGAGGCTGGCCGGTAGAAACGGGAAGAGAGGCCGGGACGGAGCGACGGTTTGCCTCCTGGACGCGAGTGTGTCTTCCGACCGTTTCGCCTCCGCAAGTTCAATGTCTGGCGAGTGCAACGAGGCGTATTGTCGAGATTGCGGATTCTGGAAGAGTTGCGAGACGAGGGAGAGTCGAGGGCGAGAACGCGGCGGCGGCATCGCGGCCTACAGGGCGTGCTCGAGCAAGATCCGTATCCGCTCACGAGAGCAGAGTGGCCGCACAGTCGCGCGCAGAACCAGCGGGTCGAAGCAAGTTGGGAGAGTCCATCAAGACGAGGCGGAGAGTCCGCGGAGGGCGGCGAGTGATGCGAGCGGCTCAGCATCGTTCCAGGGCTGTGAGAAGCAGCCTTCACAGCTCGTTCTGCGAGTGATAAGCGAGTTGACGGTGAGAGAGAGAGGAGCGCCGTCGAATTCGCTGCACGTGCGCCGTGAACTTCATCAGTTCGACGGCTTTCGCTCGCTCCTGCTCCCTCTTGCACATCTTCGAGACTTCCCAGACCATCTGTTGCTCGCTATGTTCGCCTACGTAGTGCCTGGTGAGCGCAGAAGTCGCTCGCTCCTTTCTCGTCCTCCTACTGATCCACCGCCTTCGCAACCCATTCTCGCAGGACGCCTCGTGTGAGCAGCCTCAATCTGCCCCCGACGACTCCTCGCAGCTCTCAGTTGACTCATTGCAACCACCTGCAGCCAACCTGTCGCTCAGATACCCGACTCTCCCGAACGGTTCGCCGCTCAGATCCAGGATGCCGAACAGCTCAACCACATCACCATCTTTCTGACGGGACAGGCGCCTTTTCCCGAAGGATACGGCTGCACGATCCACCTGGACACGCCGTGAGTTGCGGCGAGACGGATTGATGGAATCCCGTGAACTGACTCTCGCTCGTTCTGTCGCAGAGGGAAAGGCTGGCAACTAATTGGAGGGTGCGCTCTCACTTACGAGGAAGCGCACAGGCGAGAGATTCTTGACGAGCTCGATACGCCCCCGCAGTCTAACGAACGCCAAGCCCTCCGCGATCTTCCGGCTACGCAATACCTTCATCCCCTCTTCCTCCTCCTTCTCCGCCTCATTCGCCCCGTCCGCCCCAACTTCGTCCTCTACCGCAACCCTCGGAATCCTCTGCGAGCCGCTCGCATCCGTCGAATCCCAACTCTCTTCACTCGGACAAACAGCCCTCGGCGCCGCATCAAATCCAGCAAACTCGACTGCGCTCGTACCGGCGAAACCTGCGGGACAGGGTGCGGATCCGGTTGCGCTGGCGGGACTGGTAGGGAAGAACTTGTTTAATAGCGTGGCGGGATTTGCGCAGCCTTTGCCAGACGGGTCGCAGTGGATCCCGCTCAATACCGTAGAGCGGTGGTACCGGTGCGTACCCATGCACTCAAACCGAGGTCGTGGAAGTAACCGCTGACCTTGTGGCCATGCAGGGATTTCGAGCGCAAGCTGAAGACTGCGGGAGTCGGTTTCTTGCTGAGAAGCGACTGAAGCGCGCCTGTCGAAACCGTAGTATCGCATGTTGTGTGCCTGTAATCGTCACAAGCAGTCGGATTTCATCGAGCGCGCAAGCCGTAGAGCTGAGGCGGAGCTCTTCCCAGAGACAATGGCATCGGGCAACGATAAAGCAGGACAACACTCAAGTTCTATAGATTGCGGATAGACAAATAACGCCTCACTGTGCCGCTACTCGCCCTTGTCGCTCGCCGCCGAATACGTCGACCCACCAGGCTGGCGCACCGCAAACTCGCGAATCTGCTCGAGCTTCGACTTGACGCCGCGGTAGACTTCGTCGCCTTCGACGGGGAGGAACTGGCAGGGAAGGAGCGATGTCAGTGAGACGTGTGGCTCGGGGACCGGGTGAGACGCACGCCTTCAAGCTTCGTCGTGGACTTGGTCAGGTGCAACGTCTCGGCCTTCTTCGAGTGCCGCTCGAGGATGCCAATAACGCGGTCGAGCGAGATGTAGTCTGCCAGGCGCGTCAGAGATGAGCTCGCAACAAGCTGGGAGTGAGGGAATGGACGCACCGGTCAGAGCCCGGCGAGGCTGGACTTGCAGCGCATGCTTGGCGTCAAGCGATGCGTCGAGGACGGCCGAGTGCGCTCCCTCGGACAGCGTCACGCGCACCGAGAGCTCCTTCGAGTCGCCCTTCGACCGCTCGTACACCTCGAAGCTGCGCGACAACTGATCAGCGAGAGAGAGGATGCAGCGCTCAGGTATGGGACGTACGAGATGTAGCTCATGTAGTCGAGCTCGGGGACGTGCGGCATGACGATGGGAAGGTCGGAGAGGGTGACGAGGTTCACGAGGGTATGGCTGCGGGAGAAGTTGCGGTCAGCTCCGCCCTTCAAGCATGGGATCTGCTGGCTCACATGTGCGACTCCTTCGTGAAGTAGAAATTGGCCGACGGGTACTCCGACTCCTTCGTGCCCCGCAAGTTGCGGACGATCTGCTCGAGAAGTGGGAGCGACGTGAGGAGGCCGATGATCTCCTTCTCGGACCGCTCGATGCCGTACTCCTGCGGCGCGATGAGGTCGAAGAGCAGCTTGGCACGCTTGTACAGCTCGCGAAGCTGGCGAGGCGGGCCGCTGTCGGAGGACGTGGCTTCGAGAGTTGACCGGCTGTCGATGGACGAAGGACGGCTGCCGTTCTTGGTGAAGATGGTCTCGAGAAAGACGCGACTGCGCAAAACATGTCAGCAACTGTACGCTTAGGCGCGCCATCGAGCGAGACTCACTTGTGCAAGGCATCGTACTTGAGCGAGTCGTACAGCTCCGATACTCGCGAGGGGTCGAACTTCTCGAGGCCGACGTCGCACCAGTCGGCGAAGAGGCCTTCCCATCGCTCTGCAGGCAGATGGATCAGTGTCGACCGTGCATACGAAACGGAGGGACACGCACCTCGGAAGAGGTAGGGATACTCCCCGCAGCACCAGCGCGGCTGGATCTTCTCGACGGCAAGCGAGTTCCAGTTTTCGTTCATCGTCTCGCGCAGACACTTCATCAGCTCGATCGTCTCCTTAACGACCTGCGCAGCGGGATCTGGTTTAGACTCGAAGATGAAGGAGAGTTGACGGTTCTCACGCACCTCGAAAGGGTCCTTCTCGTTTGCGGGCCAGGCGAACTCGGGTCGGACGTGCAGGCCGGGGCGGCACAGCGTCTTTAGCTTCTTCTTGACCTTTTCCATCTGTCGACGGAGAACGGTCAGCGCCTGCAAGAACTGGCGAAAGATGCGACTCGCCTCTTCTTTCGCCGCGTTCGAGTCGTCGAGCAGGTCCTTCCGGATGATGAGCTGGTGCGTCTGCTGCTCGCCAGTCGGCCGTTCCCGCTCGTCGAGGAAGGCGCTGCATGAGAAAGAGGCGTCAGCACAGTCTGGCTTGAAACAGCGGACGATACGCACGTCGTGAAGATCTCGGCGGTCGCGACAACACGGCGTCTGCGAAAGTGACGGATGTCAGCAAACGGTAGTCAGGAGCGGGAGACTTTCCACGTACTCGGAAGAGGTGTAGACGTTCGTGTGCTCGAGCAGCGTCTTGTTCATGATGGTGTAGTCTGTGCAGGCGAGTGTTGTCAGCATGATGCGGATGGCAGGTCATGCGGGATACTCGCCCTTGCGCATGTTCTCTGCGATGTCGCGCGCTTGGTACCGTGCGGCGTGCGTGAACTGCAACGACACAGTTAGCGACAGCGTTCAGCACGTAGCGGACTCGCACGCACCTCGCCTCCCCATTTGACGACAACTGCGAGCGTCTCGCACACCTCCTCCTTGAAGGACGGCTTAAGCTGAGCCTTGGTGCCGATCGTGTTCTTCTTCTTCTCGATGATCTTGCGCAGCTGTTCGAGCTGCTCGAGGTCGGCGCCGGGGATGAGGATGGCCTGCTCGGCGGCGTCCGCGATGTACTGCAGCTGGACTGGGTCGCGCAGGATGATCTCGGTCGATCGGCCTTGCAAGAGGCCCATGAGCGGCGCCGTCCACTCGTCCTTGCCCTTGAACTTGAACTTGAGCTTGCCTGTCGAGGGAGAGGCCCGTTAGACTCGACTGCGTAGGAACCAAGGCCGCTACGCACATTTCGGTGTCCGGTCGCCATGTCGCGCCACGCAAATCGTGCTCTTCAGCGTCCACGATTTCTCGCGCGGCTTGTCGGGCTTTTCCGAGACGGGCTTAGGGAGGGAAGGCATCTTGCGCAGACAGAAGTTGGTCAAGATCTCGGCGCACTTGTCGCTGCGCGTCGTCCAGCGTCAGCAACTTCACGAAAGCGGAGAAGGAGGGCGATGCGCACTAGTAAAAGTCGTTGCCCTTGACGAAAGACCAGCCGTTCACGTCGATGACATAGCTCTTCCCGTTCGCTCGGAGCATGTCAAAGCCGCAGATGTTCTGCTTGAAGGCGATGGAAATGTCGCGCGCAATCTTCTTCTCCGCGTCGGTAAGCTGGCAGATGAAGCGGATCTCCTTGCCCTCCGTGTTCCGCCGGACGATGCCGTCGACGACGGGCGACTTGCGGGTCTCGGCGTGGACAAAATTGGGGCCGAGCGTGTACACCTTGATGTCCTCCGCGTTCTCGACGTCAACGAACTGCTCGTAGATGTACGACGCATCCGTCCGCGGCATCGTCATGTTCGGCTCGAGGGCGGAAGACTGGTTGCCGACCTGTGCGCGACACGGAGGAGGTCAGGCGGTTCAATGACCTGAGTCGAGGTACTCAGTCGCACCTTGCGGAAGAGTCGCCGCGCTCCGCCACCCTTACGCTTCGGAAAGTAGATGTTGATGTTGTGGTTCTCGCCCGAGACCGGCTTCTCGACAAAAGGCTTGAGCATCGTGTTGCCGTCCACCTCGATCGTGTCATCGTCCAGCAGCGCAAACTCAGAAGTCGGTCGAGGCTTGTCGACCCGGATGCCGAGGCTCTGCTGAATCTGGTCCGCGATGGACTTGTCGAGCTGAGGACCGCCGTCGCGGTTACACTCGAGGCGCTTTGGCGTTGGCACGCCAATCTTGTCGAGGATCTGGAGAACGACACGGCGGTCCCAGAAGATCTTCTGAAGCGGCAAGTCGTTCACGCAGACAGGCTTGCGCAACTCGACGTAGGCGACTGCGAGTGTTCGAACCCAGTCAGCGCTGTATCAGTCAGGTTGTGCGAACATTCCACTCGCTAGCCTTGTCGATGGGGAAGCCGTCGGAGTAAAAGGAGATCAGGAAGTCGCAGACTGGCCAATTCTCGATGTCTGCAAGCGAACGCAGGTCAGCCAGCTCGCCCAGTCAGCAGCTCAAACCAGCACTCACCCTCGTCGAGAATGACCTTGTCACCAAAGACCGTGATCTCAAACTTTCCCGTCGCAAGTAGCCGCGAGAGAATATTGCGCATCGGTCGCGAGCGGGCCTTGCGGTCCATCGCCGCCACACCTGCGGTCTCAATGGGTCAGCAGAACTGCGTTTGCGACGATCTGGCGACATGGGGACGCACCGAGTCGCATCAACGGCTCTGTCGGAGTGGACGGCTCGGTCGAGCCAGGTGTCGAAGACATGGTTGGCGGGCTGTGAGGCGTGTGGATCCGGATGTGTGTGAGAGTTCGATTGTGTGCACAGGCGCGTCGAAGCCCTCAGGTCGCTACGAGAGGCAGTCGAGGTATCGAGGAGGAGGTTGAGGGAGAGAACGGGCGACACAGAGAGATCAGGCGGGATTGATGGCGTGTCCCGCTTCCTCAAGCAAATCCAGAGTTCGAACAAGTCTAGCGGACCCTCCAGTAGCTGGGCGAGGGTGTGGTCGTGGTGCAAGCGACTTCATCAGTCCTTCGCTCTTCCCACGTGCAGGGAAACGGCTTCACTCGCTCTGACTGGTCCTGCTAGGCTGCTAAGGCTCTCTCAGATTGCGATACGAGGCGGCGCGCTGCCAGCGATGCTCTCCATCCTCTCCATCGCCGTGCTGGGCCGACACGGCAACCCCCTCTTCCTCGAGTCGTACTCGTCTCGCAGGGGCGGGCAGGCCGACTTGAAGTGGCACTATGCGGCGAACACAGCGCTTGACTTCTTTGAGGAACGAGGTACGCCCAAGAGCGCTCGTCATGACGCTTGCGCTGACCAGCTCGCTCGCAGAACTGCCAGCGGCCAAGACGACAGAGTCCTATCTGGGCATGCTCTTTGCGATGGAGGACTATGCTGTGTGCGTGCTTGTCGTAAGCGTTTCGCGAAACCTGTCTGACGCTTCTCCCTGGCAGCTACGGATACCAAACGAACACTCGGATCAAGTTCGTGTTGGCAATCGCGCTAGCAGACGCTGTCGTGCGAGATCTGGACGTCAAGACAGTGAGTAGTGTCTCGCTGGTGCATGCGCGAGCTGACATCCCTTCAAACAGATCTTCCGAGCTATACATAACGCGTACATCGCTCACATCTCGAATCCCTTCACGTCTGCCGAGACCGACAACCCCGCCGCTTTTGCAGCACCCATACGAAGCGCCAAATTCAAGCGCGCCATGGATGCGATTGCCGGCACGAGCAGCAGTACCGCTTCCGCCGACGCCTGAACGACCGTAGCCCTCGCATCCTTCTTTCGCCCTCGCCCCGCTTCTGTTTGCTCACGACCCTTGTTGCAATACTACGCCTTCGACATACCTCACTCAGCGCCCGATCGACCGCCCTTTCCCCCTCAAGCGCCCGCCGACTCGTCCCGCACGTTCAGCTCGAGACCCGCCAGCGCTGGAGGCTCACGCAGCCGCGCACCGGCACTTTACGTCTCGAGCTTGGGCGCGCTGGCCTGCCTCGAGTGCAGGAGGACGACATAGCGACTTTCGAGGATCGGTAACGTGACAAGCCTCCGCAAGTCTTCAGGAGCGCTTGACAGATACGCCCGTCACAAGCAACTGTAGCTTTTTTCTCTCGCTGTGCAACCTACCCGTACGATAGAGAACCTGGGCGCGAGTGCCGAACCTGGACATTCCTGAGAGAAGACCACGAAAATATCTAGACAAAACAAGACGACTGTACTGCGAGGAATTACGATGTATGAAGGGCAACAGGGCACGTAGGTGGTAGGCTCAAGCCAGCCGTTTTTGCTACTCTAGACGCGCGAGACAGCCTCAAGGCGGGTGTCCTCAATCTCGACCTTCTCGATCGACTCCTCCTTCTCGAGTGCGTTGACGTCGGCGACGACGGGGACGGCGGGACCGGCGAGGACGGCGTTGTCGGCGATGAGCTTGGCCTGGCGGCGCATGTAGAAGTACATGCCCGCGCCGTAGAAAGCGCAGCTGCGAAGGAAGCGAAAGTCAGCATGAAGAGAAGGGCTCCCGGGGGGAGGGAGCGGAACGTACGCGCTGAAACCGAGCATGGGGACAATGTAGGAGATCCGGGTGCCCTTTGCGTCGGCGAATGCACCTTGCGCCGAAGGGAAGAACGATCCGCCCGCCACGCCCATGCAGAGAATGCCGGCAGCGCGCTTAGTGTGGCGTCCATTGTACGAGGTGGCGAGAGTGAAGGTCGTTGGGTAGATGACCGACTCGGAGAAGAAGACGAGGAAGAGGGCGGCGAGACCGGCCTTGCCGCCGGTGAGGGCCGCAACGAGGGAGAAGATGGTGCAGGACGAGCCGTAGGCGGCGAGGACGAGGCAAGGGTTGAAGAAGCGGAGGAGCGGAGTCGAGGCGAAGCGCGCTGCAGTTACGGGAGCTCGTGTTAGCTTACCGCGTCACGAGGACAGAAGCGTGGGAGAGTTGGCGACTTACCGACCATGAAGGTGATCTGGAGGTATGAGAGCATTTGCGATGCCTGAGCGGACGTAATGCCATCGGTTTCGGTGAGGTAGAAAAGGACGAAGGACGCGGTCGAGACTTGGGCGCCGACGTAGAAGAGCTGGGTGAGGAAGCCGAACATGGTGTGCTTGCGCTGCCACACCGGGCGCTCGTCGACGATGCCGGACGACGTAGCTTGATCCTCCATGTCGGCGTCGGTGATGTTGGGAAGCTTGGCGAAGAAAAAGAGCACAAAGAGGGCGGCACCGAAGCAGGCGACGGCGAGGTAGACGTATTGGACGTCATTCAAGTTGTTGGCGTTCTTGCCGGAGAAAAACGTCTTGCTCGCGATCAAGGGGCCGACAAACGCCGCGAGGCCATTCGTGGATTGAGCCTAATCGACGTACAGGCGATCAGCATCGAGCTGGAGGGGATATGGAGGAGAGGAAAGGCGTCGGTAGACGGGCACTTACGGCGTTCAGGCGGAAGGAAGCGCCCTCGGGAGGTCCAAGGACGGAAATGAAACTGTTGGCACAGGTTTCAAGAGTGGCGAGACCGCACGCGATGACGAAGGCCTGGTGGAAGCGGAGCAGGAGAAGGGAGGCAAAGAGGAGGGCAGGGTCAGCTCGTCGCGCAGCTCTCAGATACGTTCGAGCCAACGCACCGAGATGACGAAGCCGTAGTACTTCTCAAAGCTGCATAGGAAGAGCGGTCAGCGATGGATGCAGCGGGGGAGAGGCGGGACAACATACTGGGCGGATGGCCAAAAAGCGAGGGCGCCCAAACAGTACAGACTCAAGCCCATGAGGATGCCGGCGCGGTAGCCAAAGCGACTGGCGAAGAGCGACGCAGGGACCGAGTAGACGAGGTCTACGAGGGCGAGCGATGAGACGAGGTTGAGATGGTGAGGGTCGGAAGGTGCAGGACTCACAGGCTCCGAAGTAGGCGACCTGCAGCAGCGTCGACTGAAGCTTGGAGATGCCGAAGTGCTCGACGACCTTCTTGTTGAGGACTGCGCACGACAGGGAGGCGTAAGCGGCTGTCCCCGCTGTAAGAGGCGGGGAACGATGACGAACCGTCAATCAAACCGTACGACAGGCCCCATGCGAAGAACAGCGACGTGACGAGCGCGAAGGAGAAGATCTCCTGGCGGCGAGTGAGGGCGGGTCCTGCGACCTTGACGTTGCTAGCGACGGCTCCACCGGCCATGGCGACGACTTCGAGGTGTTGTAGAGGTGAAGGGCGAGTTTAGCGGCGCTGTGCAGCCGATGAGGAAGGAGAGGTCGAAGGTTGAGAAAGTTGAAGGGAGGAAGGGCCCGGCGAGATTAGGGACGGCTTCGAAGGGGCGCGGTGAGGAGTGAGGCGGATTGTGCTGGTCGTGTGAGTGTGGTCCAGGAGAAAGAGAGGCGAGAGAGGCTTTTGAGGACGCAGCGGGAGCCCCCATCTCTTCGTGTTGCCCCAACCCAGATCGAGGGGGAGCCCGGTGCGGGCCCCACGTACTCGTACGAAGGGGCGCGCAACGTCCTTGAGCGCCATCGATGGCGCTCGTGCGTTGGGAGGCGACCAGAACGAAGAAGGTCGACTCTAGCGAAAGCGAGAGTCGTGGGCAAAGTCTCCGGTTCCTGATCGAGGCCATCTTTGATCGCTTCCCTTCGACGCTGAGAGATTGTTCACAGCGGCGCGGGAAGCAAAGCGATGCGATGCGAAGGATACCGCGCTCGCCAGCCTGTCGCGGAGGGAGCGCAACAGATCCAGTAGGAGGCGCAGAAGCCGTCAAAGCAGTCCCAGCGGAGCTCCAGTGGTTCCGTTCCGGAAGATAACGCTCGATGCAAGTATCGCGGGCTGCAGTCGTCCAACGGACGGCACCAATCCGTGCTCTTGCGCGGCATACGGGTTGCGCTCGTTCTGGTCGCAGGAGAGATCGTCTGCGCCACCGCTGCTGTCTGATCGCTGTTGTCGTACGCCCATCGACGGCCACGAGCAACCATCCTTCAGCGGAATCGATGGCGAGCCGAGGGAAAACGCGGAGGTGGCTTGGAGGCTCGCTCGCTCGAGTTGGGGAAGCGCTTGGGGTCGTGGCGCGATAGATTGCGGATGCGGGAGTGGCGCGGAGCATCGATGCGAGCCCACTTGGCGGCGGAGGGAGACGAACGAGCGCTGTTCGCGGGGGTGAAGGTTTTCCCTGGCAAAGAGCGCGTCACCAACGCTCGCATGCCAGCTCGAGCGCGTGTCCAGCAGGTGATATCGACGCTGTACGACGCCTGGCGAGCAGCAGCATCCAGTCTGAGCGGTAGAGAAGGAGAGAGAGCCGTGCGCTGGCGGGAATGCCGAGGGTCGTCGAGCACGCTGCTTCTGTCAGCCGGCGCGACAAGCAGCTCCTCAACGACTTCGCAAAGTCTCCTCACGGGACCTAGCTGACCGGACGAGCGTTGTTGTGCTAGGCGAACGACGCAGGCTTGCTGCTTTCCTCCCGACATTTCGCTGTGTCGCACTCCTTTGACTCCGGCTGGCGCTCTGGATGCTGTTCAGAGTCTCCTACAGCCTCTCACAGCGCATTGGACGACGCGCGAGGCGGCGCTGCGACGATCCGACCCTCCTCGCCCCATCTCCTTCGCCTTGGTCCTCTGCCCACGTCTCGTGCATCCGCTTGAGATATCTGCACCGACACCAGACGCTAGCGGCGCTGCCGGCCGTCTCCTTCACCACCCGCTCTCCCGCCCCTCGCCGACCGGCGGCCTCATCATCTCGTCGGGACTTGTGAATGGCCGCCCTTTCCGCAGGACTGCGTTGTTCTTTCTGCTCTCGCTCGGAGGTCATCGGGCTCCTCTTGCTCTGCCGCTCCTCGGGGAGTCGCGATGCGAGGGAGGACGAGGAGGCAGCGCTGCTTCGCGGACGATCTTCTGCCTCTCCAAACTTCGCACCCTAGACGACCGCGCCTTCCGCTCGGTGAACACCCACCAATGCGTTTGCCAGCGCGGGCCGGCTGCTCGAACGTACAGGTCGATGCTGTCCGTCAGCTCGTTGGTTTCTTGCAGGTCCTTTCGCTTGTCGCCAACCTAACTCGATGGCTTCACCGGTTTTCCTCACGCTGCTCTGCAGGATCTGACTCCCGCCTGCACCTCAACAAGTAGCTGGCGATTTCACCCGCTTCGACGAACCATGCGCGACTAGACAGTCGCAAACTGCAACTCAACCCTCAGACCTTTCCTTCCAACGCACCGTAGACGCTTTTGGCTGCCCTTCCCAGCGCTGTGTAACACAGTCTGACACCCTTAACCTGTGGAAACCCCTGGCCTTCCGTGCAGCGAGTCGACGAACCTCTCCTCGTCCGTCGAACTTCAGTCCTTCCTTCGCCCCGAAAATCCTCCCTCGTCCCCGGAAGCTCGCGGTCGCCGGCTGGCGCCGTCTGGGAGAATGATACAGCTTCTCCAGCGTCCTTAAAACGCCGCAACACGTGCCGGAACATTTGAGCCTCCACGGCCCGGCGACGGAAGCAGCGGCAAAGGTCGAGCAGACTCGCTCACAGGCGTCCAGCTTGCTGCGTTCAGGCGTTGCCGTAGACTCGCTTGCTCTCTTCGAATGTCCGCCACTGCAGACATGGCCGCGACGCTCCTCCCCAAGGCTCTCGCTGGACAGATGTCCATTGGTGTGGTCGGCGCAGGCATCGGTGGTTTGGTGCGTTCCCGTTCCTCTCGCAAGACTCTAGCAAGTTGCTTGGGTCAGCCTGGCGCTCCAATGGGCCACCGGCATGCTTCGTTCGACGACCGTCTCCTCGCCGGACTTCATCGCTCGAGGGTTCGGCATCTGGGTGGGAGGCTCTGGGCGGGCAGCAATGCGTCTGGCAGCATTCAGAAGGCTCTGATGGAGCCTCTGGAGTTCGAGCGGCGGCACCAGCATGCGACGACGCCTTCGATTTGCCGTTCGAGACTGCCCGTCGGCGTGCGGACCTGGAGCTGGTCGACATTTGGCGGAAAATGCATGGGAGTGACTCCGGCGGCTAGAGAAGAGACGCAGAATGAACCTCGGCGGTAGAAGGAGCGGCTGCGATGTCGGCAGGATTTGCTCGCCTTGCTCGCCTCTTTCGACTTAAGCCGTCCGCAATAACTCGTCTCCGATCGAAACTCCTGATTGACCACTTCTTTCCGTTGTTTGACGATAGGCTAGTGCTGTCGGACTCGCGTCTCGCGGTTTCCAGCATGTCACGATCTACGAGAGTGCACCGGAGATTGGCGAGGTCGGCGCCGGCATCCAGGTGCGTCCTTCAACTCGTCTCGGCTCATGCAGCTACGTGAGCTGATGTTTGGACATTTTTTATGAATCGCAGGTCGCCCCGAACTTCTGCCGCGTCCTGACGCACTTCGGCATCCTCGAGCGACTGAAGCGCGACGCTGTTCGATTGGAGCAGGCGAGCGTCCGCCGCTACGTCAACGACGAGCAGCTCAACTCGACGTCGTTCGCTAACCTCGAGAAAGAGTACGGATACCCGACTTTCGTCGTTCACCGCGCGGACCTGCATCGCGCGTTGCTGGAGAGGGCGTTGGAGCTTGGCGCGAAGTTGCGGACAAACGTGCGTGTTGGATCTGCACCTCTCAATGCTGCAAGGAACTGACGAGTTGGCGCTGTCGCAGTCGCACGTTGAGGACATCGACTTCGAGAAGACATCCATGCAGATCAAGGGTCTCGGCAGTGTCAAGCACGATGTCATCGTCGCTGCGGACGGCATCAAGAGTGCGATCCGGGCGAAGATGATGGCGCGGCGAGGAGAGATCGACGAGACTATCCCGACTGGCGAAGCTGCGTACCGTGAGTTCAGCCGGCGCTTTTCGCTTCTCTGGCCGACGAGTTGACCTTCTTCTCTCCCAGGCGTCATTCTGAAGCGCGAGCAGATGGAGAACGACCCCGACCTGAAGCGCCTCATCGACGAGCCTACCGCCATCCGATGGATCGGCCCCGACGCTCACATCGTCGCCTACCCGATCAAGGCGCACAACGGCTACAACATCGTCTCGACCCACATCTCCAACACGGTTGGTTTGACGGAGGACTGGACTGCGCGAGCGTCGAAGGAGATCATGCTGAAGCGTTTCGACGGATGGAACGATAAGCTCATGAAGGTTCGTTCCGCTGCGGCCCTTCCCTTTCAGCGAGCTGTTCAGGAGGGGATCGCTGACATCTTATGCTTGCCCGTAGTGTCTCCGCCTCGCACCCGAAGGCGAGCTCGTCGAGTGGGCTCTCCGGATCCACCTTCCCCTGACCGGCTGGCTCGACAACAACGTCGCCCTCCTCGGCGACGCAGCGCACGCTACTCTGCCTCACATCGCGCAAGGTGCCGCACAAGCTGGCGAGGACGGCGCCGTTCTCGGAACTTTGCTCGCCAAGTGCACGAGCGTCGAGGAGATCCCCAGGGCGCTCAAGATGTACGAGCGCCTGCGCAAGGCGCGTGCGGACTGGGCTGTTGCGATGGCCAAGTCGACTGGTGAGTCACGAATCCAAGACTAATGGATCGCGGCCTCCCTTCTCCTGACGAGGCTGTCGCACTGGCGGTGTTCGAGCTTTTCACTCACATCTTCCCTTCGCAGGCGAGGCTTTGCACATGCCCGACGGCCCGCAGCAGGCTGCGCGGGACGAGCAGCTCAAGAAGGCTTCGACCGGCGCGACTTCGCCAGACAAGTGGGGCGACAAGGCGACGCAGCAGAAGCTGTACTCGCTCGACGTCGTCCAGCAGGCCGACCAGGAGTTTTCCAAGCTCTAGAGACGCCCGCCGGGCGCATAGAAACTACACTTCGGTTCACTTTCCTCCCCTCCGTACAGTTCTGTTCCTTTTGTCGTCGGTTTTTCCTTCGCGATAGATTCTCTTTCGTCTTATTCGCACGGACTCCTCGTATAGATTGCATTCGCAGTCGCATTGCTGTCTCTCAGTTGGCTGGTCCTTCGCGAGTTGACCTTCGAGAGGGTTGACCTTCCGCAAGTCAAGACTACACCGCTTCTCTCGCTCGCTAGGCTCCGGCGTATTGTGTACTCGCTCTAGCAACCTTTCAGCGCTAGGCTAGGACGCGCCGCACGTAGCCCAGCGGTCTCTCTCCCGCTTCCCGACTTCATCAGTCCAACGGGTTTCAATGAACCTCGAACTCCTCAGTACGCCTCGCGGGCTGTTGTACGCGTGTTGAGCTGACCCCTTGCACCTACAGATCCCTTCACGACCTCCTTCCCCGAGAACTTCGACTCGTCGGTCGATGTTGCCGGACTCTGCGCCCGCTTCAACCCTCGAGGCCTCTTCGCGGGACACTATCTGGCGGTTGGGCGGCTGGACGGGGTGGTGATCGTGCTGGACTTTGAGACGAAATGCATTGTGCGGTGGCTCGAGGGGCATGTCAAGGCGGTCACGACAGTCTGGTGAGTGGTGCTCCTCCTCGCATTCTGCGGGTCTGCCGAGTGGGCTCTGCAGGATGTGCTCGCAAGCGCGGCCCGCTTATAGCTCGTAGTTTCTGGGAAGCTGACCCAAAGATCCCCGCAGCTGGTCAAGCAACTCCCGCTACCTCTTGACGGCTTCGCGAGATTGGAACGCCATCATCTGGGATCTCTCAGCATCAGCGGCGGATACGGTGGAAGGCGAACGACGACATACGGTCCGTTTTGATGCGCCAATAACGAGCGCAGACCTGCACCCGCGGAATAGGCGAGTTTGTTCCAGCTTTCCCCTGCGCACTCTCGACTGACGCTTTTCCTCCCGTAGCAAGATGCTGGTCGTCACTCTGCACGGCCAGACGCAACCTGTCTTTGTCGATCTGCGGGAAGGTGGTGGGCGATGGGAGCTCGAGCCTCCGCCAGACGAGGAGGAAGTGCAGGAGGAGGAAGACGACGAGGACATGGAGATCATTCGGTGCGCTCAGACAGCTTCCTCCGACGTGGTAGCCTGATACTGATTTTGCTCCGGTGGCGATGTAGCGAGGTGGCCACCTTTGCTCGCTTCAACCCTCGAGGCGACTTGATCTACGTCGGGACCTCGCGAGGAAACATCCACATATGGGACGTCTACACGAAGGAGGTGAGCGAGCTCTCACCTTCTCAGCGATGCAGCGCTGATCCGCCCGCCTTGACAGTGGCTCTGGACCGAGTACATCGGTGTGCCAGCACCGGTCAAGCAGCTGGCGTTCAACAAGACCGGCTCGTGAGACTATCATTCCCGCTCTCGTCTAGCTATGACGCTGACGCTCTCTCGCTCGCGCAGGTCCATCATCCTCAATTCGAACGACCGCTGCATCCGCCTCATCGCCCTCTCTCCCGATCCCCCTGAACCGCCTTCCGACGAAGAAGAAGCCGCAGAGTTTGAGCTTCCGCCTCCACGACCACCTCGGATACCGTATTTCGAGGTCGTCCACCGATTCCAAGACCTCGTCAATCGAACGCCTTGGAACGGCTGCGGGTTCTCAAGCGACGGCGAGTACATTATCGGAGGTGCGCGATCAGCCTTCTCGTGAGCTCTCATGCTGTCCTGACGACGCTGCACTTTCCAGGCGCTGGTCACAAGGCGGCGCACAACATCTACATCTGGGATCGCGAGACGGGCACGCTCGTCAAGATTCTCGAGGGTCCGAAGGATCCGTGCGAGGACCTCGACGTGCGTTCGACGTCTCAACCTTACCCCGCGCCCTGGGAGACGTGGGCTGACTCGCACTTGCAGTGGCACCCTTCTCGCCCGCTCATCGCCTCCGTCTCCTCGCTCGGCATGATACACACGTGGGTCACACCGATTGTCGAGAACTGGAGTGCGTATGCGCCTGGGTTCGAAGAGCTAGACGAAAACCGCGAGTATGAGGAGAAGGAAGACGAGTTCGACTTTGTGCGTTCCGCTTTTCTACGCCTCAAGAGCTCGTTCTGTCATTCAGCCTACTTTGCGCTGACAGTGCCTTCTCATTTCACGTATAGGAGGACGAGACCGCTATCCGCCGACGAGCCGCCGACCTGCAAGACCACCCCGTCGACATTCTCTCGCACACGACGCCTTCAACCCGAGCCGCGATTGTCGAACCCTGGCCCGAAGACTACGATGGTGTCGACGCTTACGAGGACTACGTCATTCAAGACGCGGAAGATGATGAGGCGAAGGGTCAGGCGTTCTACCCGGCGCCGATCTTGCTGGACGAGGCAGACTTGGTCGCGCTTGAGCCTGCTTCGCCCGAAGCCAGCGGCCGACGACGGTAGCACGTGCGCAATGCTATCTGTGGCAACGCCTCTCCGGTTGGCTACGAATGAGAGGAACGATGCGATTGCGAGATGGGCATGCGAACAATAGATAAGAGTTGCTTCGGTGTCTATGGTTTGCGCACGCTATCAGGGCGTTCGCTCGTATCCGTACGTCGTCGGATAGCTGTTCATCCAGAGGGGAGGAGGCTGGAGACAGCCAAGCGGGAGAACGAAGCGCGGCCAGGTCCAGTAGCGGACGGGCGGGACTTCGCGGACGAGGCCTTGCGTCATCCTGTCAAAGCGCTTCCAAGTCAGCACGCTACACTTTCGTTAATCAGAGAAAAGGATGGGACGCACCAGCTCTTGTACAGCATTCCTCCGCACAGACAGACGAACAAGCTGCTCCACAACACGCCTCCGTACCCTCCGACTTTTCTCCGCGTCAGGGCCGTGTACATGCCCTCGAGGACGATTCCGACGCCTTGCGACATGAAGTAGACCGAGCCGCCCCATTTGACGAGGAAAGGAAGAGGCGGAGAGTGAGGAGGAAGAGTCGAGGTCGAGGTTGCGAGTCCTGCGATGAGCGATGTGTGAGCAGGCAAGCGTAAGACTTCACCAACCTGCTTTGCGAAGCTCACCAAACTCGTGTATCCAGGAAGACAGGGCGAACGTGGCGAGAACGCCGAGTGCGCGACCAAGCTGCTTGCCAACGAGCGGTCGAAACAGGCGCTGCGTCGGGTTGAAGGCGAGGAAGCGGAATGGTCCTGTAAAGCGAGACGGCGTGACTTTTGAGATCGAGCAGAAGCGGATGAAGGGAAGACGAACGAGCGAAGAAGCTGCGAGCCGAAGCGAGAGTCAGCGATGCATCACACAGTCACGAGAAAATGAACTCACGCGTGCCACTGCACCGACCAGAACTTGGCGACCGAATCAGGCGGGGAAGAGAGAATGAATAACGGCGGGTATTCTCTCGGGTCGAAGCGGGGAAGAGTGAGGGCTTCAGGAAGAGGAAGGAGGCGGACGATAGCGGTGACGACGAAAGTTATGAGGGTGCAGCAGCTGTACCCGAGGGTGAGGGCGGCGAAAACAGCTGTGCCCATGGCGAGTCCCGTCACGCAGCCGCCGAGCATGTGCGCGTGCTGGGCGTTGAGCGAGGGGAGGGTTGCGTAGATGAAGGCGTCGCGGCTTGTAGGCGGTTCGAGGAGGATTGCGGCGCAGAGAACGAGGAGGGGATGGCTCCATGCGATTTCGAGCAGGAGTCGGCGGAGGAACTGGCCATGATCGAGCGCGAAGGGCTGCGTCGTAGTGGCGCCGAAGTCGTACCCTTGACCGCGCATTGCGATCAAGAGGTGCATCGTCGAGCGGATGATGTCGATAGGTCCATCCTGCGCAGCCTGTTTCCGCCTGAGACCCGCCAAATACTCCCGCTGCGCCTCCTCCGTTCTTCTCCGCTTCTGCATCTTCTTCTCGCGCGGCTCGTTGTCTACGCCGCCCGCGTTTCCGTTGACCTGCGCCGCTTTTTCCTCCTCAGCCGGACTCTTTCCGTCAAAGCCGACCCAGGTATAGGGCAGCAGATCCGTCGCGAAGCCCCACTCGATGCTCTTCATGATCCCATACGCGCCCATGATGCCGAAGACGACTGTGCGTGCGTGAAGCGAGTCAGCGAGGCGAACCTCGGGGCCTTGCGAGAGGAAAAGTGACTGACAGTTCATGCCGACCGCCTGATTCCGGGGCTCAATAGCATACTTGTAGGGCGTTGCAAACGACATGGCGACCGATAGCGGCATGAGTGCGAATCGAAGTAACCGAGAGAGTGTCGACGGGAAGATCGGGTGCAAGAAGAGGCATTGGAGCGAGACCGGGATGAGGAAGAGGAAGCTGCGGGAAATGGCGGACTGTAAGCTCCTGTCCAGACCCTCCTACCGTGCTTCCGGCCCGTGCCCTGCATCTTTACCGGAAATGACGGAGTGCGGGAAGAAGAGACGCACAGATCTGGCGGCGGGAGATGGGGCCCGTCCAGAATGAATTGAGGCATGTTTTCGGATAGCCTGAGCACCGCTAAACCTCTTTCAGCCCAGTCCAGCGAGTTGGGAGCGAGTCGAGGACCGCAACCCATCTCCGAGCGAGGTTGCGAAGTGACAGTCGCCGACGCTCGCTCGTACGCGCTCAGTGAGGCTCATGGCAGCCTCCAAAGCGACTTCACGGCCCATCAAAGCCAACGGAACGCGCGACTCGCGCTCTCCATCTCCCGACTTCGACCCCGTCGCTTTTCAAGCTTCGCTCGACGACGCCGTCAACGAGACACGAGCGCTGGTGGATAGCTGGTTGCCGAAGGATCTGGGACCGGAGTGGACGAGTGCGTTCGCTGCAAAGAAGGGCGCGGATGGGTTGCAGAGCTTGAAGGACAGGGCGAGGCCGCCAAGGTGAGTTCGGAGCGACGTGCAGGCGGACAGGAAGCTTTTACGAGGCTTCTTGCGGACTTTGCAGTGTGCGCAGGAACTGACAATCCTGCTTGACCTCGCAGACTCGGGCTTGGCGCACAACCGGCCTCGCAGAACAAGCAGCTCGCAGAGGACCGCAAGCTGAAACAGCGACTGATGGGCAAGTCACGCATGTCGTTGGGCGACGACGGATCAGAAGTCAAGGCGACGCTTTCGGCGGGCAAGGGCGTCGAAGGCGACTTGGACGACGACGAGGAGGACGAGGAGGACAGTCGAGCGAAGACGGTTGGCAAGGGCAAGGGCAAGGGCAAGGCGAGCGCGAATGGCTACACGAACCCATTCGTCATTCCAGCAAAGAAGAAAGACCCGCCTACATCAGCAAAGGGGACTCCGTCGAAGACCGCCGGCCCTTCCTCCCCTTCCTCGACCAAATCGAAGCTCTTCAACGACCCGTCGCCCGTCAAGCCCGCCACGTCTGCATCTACTTCCACAGCCAAGCCCCTCGTTGCTGCGACGTCCTTCTACGGTCCGTGTACCTCGACACCCGCGGCTAACGGCCAGCCTCTCTCGAAGAACCAGCGCAAGAAGCTGCGCGAGCGGGAAAAGCAGGCGCAGCGGAAGCGCCAGCTCGAGGAGGAGAGTAGGAAGGAGGCTGAGGGTGAAGTAGCAGAGGAGCGGTCGCCGAAGCGGGCAAAGGTCGAGCTTGATGGTGCGAAGGACGAGCAGGAGGACGCGGCGGACGGCGAAGCGGATGCCTCGATGGCGAGCGCAGACCCTCCGACACCATCGAAGGAGGATGTGGTTGCCACGGGCGGAGGCGACACCCCGAGCAAGAAGAAGCGGCGGAAAAAGAAGAAGAAGTCGGGTGCGGCGGACGGGGCAGGAGGAGGGAACGCGGCGCCGCTGCTCAACCTAGCGCCGCTGCAGTCGTAGCGCGCCCGCTGCAACTATAGTCATCTTATCGCGACATCTGACAGGACTCAGCCTGTTGTGCGGACGTCCTCGCTCGTCTCCTCCTCGTCGCGCCTTCTCAACTCGCATCTGCCGCACTCCTTCCCATGCCTTGCGCTCTCGCTTTCGGCTTTCCTCTTTGTCTCTCTGTCTCGCTGGGAGGCCGGATATCCGCGTGCTCGCGCTCTGGTCGAACGCACGAGCCTTCTCGTTGCGCAGTCGAAACCGTTCGCCAGTTGGTCTGTCCTCCTCATCCTTTGCTCCGCCCGTGGACAGCGCGCACAGTCGCCAGCTAGATCCTTGCTTTGCTCGTACGAGATGCTGCCGCTGAGGTCGTCGCCAGGTTCGCAATCAGCTCGCGACGAGGAGGAGGAGCAGGCGCGAGCGGGAAGCGCGTCGCAGAGGGAGTGGAAGACCGTGCGTTGGTCTGCACACCCTTTGAGAACGAAGCTGATGCTCCCAAGCTCCCACAGATGCCCATGACCCCGCAGCCAGAACCGCCGCTTGACTGGAAGCGACCCATCCTGATGGCCGGCCTCTTCCTCCTTGCTCTGCTTGCCTACGCTTCGTGGACGTCCAAAGACACTGTCAAGAGCGCGGTTAAGACGGGACACGAGCTTGCCGTGCCGAGTCGAGCGGAGGAGAATGTCGACGTCTGTTCGGGTCCTGCTGGTTGTCGTTTCCTCGTTCCCATCGCCATCGGTACGTCCCGCTTTTCCGCTTCATCAAACACAGCTGACGATTGTACTGGCAGGCGAACAAGAATCGCGCGCCCAGCTTCACCTCATCCAGCTCGTCCACCTCTCCGTTGCCCTGAACCGCACCCTCGTCCTCCCGCGGGCATACTCCTCCCGCTTCTCCTCCTGCGGCCACCAATCCTTCGACTTCTTCTACTCCGTCCCGCCGTTTCTGCAGGAAATCGATCGCCTGGGCGGAAACGCGGTTGTCCAGCGCGATTTCGAGAGGTGGCTTGATGGGCAGGATGAGCGGCGGACGGCTCAGCGGGTCAGGCTGCAAGTCGAGGGACAGTATGGAGCGACAAGCACGGGCGGGGCATTAGAGCTGGATCCAGATGCGGCGGCGGCGGAAGGGCAGTCTTGCTTGCCGGAGGAGAAGCTCGACTTCGATGGACGTGAGCGACTTTGGGCAGTCGAAACCCTGCACGGCACGAACAGCATCGTCGTCGAGTCACTCATCGACCTCGAGAATCGCATCTCCTCCGACATTCTCCTCATGAACTACAACTTGCGCACGCCGCTCTTCCACTCGAAGAACCCGATCGACATCGACGCGGCGTTCCACTACCAGCACGAATGGCATGACCTGGCGAGCCGAGTTCTCGATGCAGCGGGGCCGGCCGTAGGCGTTCACTGGCGCACGGAAAGTATCGAGCCGGCGATCCTCGAGTCCTGCGGCGGCGGCCTCGTCGACGCGCTTCTCGCGCTTAAGGCCGGCAACCCAGCCATTCAGACGGTCTACATCGCCACCGACTACCCGCTCGAGACGCTTCCGGGCGCGCCCTCGAGCGCAGCCCACGAAGGGCGACTTGACGAGGACGACGAACCAGTGGCTCATTCCGACACCTTGACCAGGTTCCTTACGACCGCCCACCGCGAAGCGATGTCCTCCTTCCTCCACGCCTTCGAAACCCTCGCCGCGCCGCACGGCATCCAACTCGCGACCTACCGCTCGCTCGTCCACTCCCTCTCATCGTCCTTCCCGCCGTCTCTGGCCTCATGGGCATCCAATCCTGCCGCGCCAGCCATCGTCTCCCAGCTCGTCCTTCGCCAGACGGATTACTTCCTCGCCGGCCTGCCAGATACGAGGCGCACGAAGGCGGAGGGCAAGACGGCTTGTGCGAAGAACAGCAATTGGACGAATAGGGTCGTCAGGGCGCGAAGCAGGACGTGGGACGAGCAACATGGTGGACAGGGGGTGATCACGCAGGATGGGGAGGAGGCGAGGGAGTTGAGGAACATTGCCGGGAGGTGGAAGACGGACGGGAGCGTCGAGTGAGCGTCCGTTCGACGCCTGTTGCCCGTCGCCGGGTAGAGCGGTCCCTTTTGTAGCTTTCTAGATGTTCGTAGCAGCAATCAGTGCCAACCCTCGCGTCTACGGAGCGCAGAGGCGCTCGAGGCTGGAGGAGGGCCACAAGCGGCGACAAAGCCTTGCGGCTCGGCTCGAGTCGTCCGAACGGTGGCCAGCAGTAGCTGCGAGACGTCTGGCATCAACACCAGCCCATACAGCGAGTGCGAGTGAGCCGTCTCCTGCCAACCCCCTCCTCGTCGCGGTTGTTCTCGCCCACCACGCTCGCCATGGCTTCGTCGACCGTTGTCACGCTCCAGGTGTCTCTGCCGCCCCTCACGAAGGAGTACAAGGCGCCCAGCTTTGGCTCCATCTCGGGTGCGCACCTTCCTCGCCTCATCGCTTCATCACCAAAGCTCACTCTCATCACTCCCTCGCAGCGCCCTCTTCTTCCGCGTCCGTGTACCCTTCCGGCCCTGCCTTCGAGGCCCATGCTCGCCGCATCCTGAACCAGCGCTCGTTCGCCGAGGACGACCACCTCGAGAAGGAGCGTCTCTCGGCCAACGGCAACGGTGTTGTCGAGGAGGACGACGCCGACGCAGAGCTCGGAAACGAGCAGGAGGACCGCGACTTGCTCGAGCTTGACCCCAAGCAGTGGAAGGTGCGTCGGGACTGCGTCAGGACATCCCTTGCGGAGCTGACCTCGCCTCGACACCGCTCGTAGGAGCAAGACCACTACGCTGTTCTCGGCTTGCAGCACCTCCGCTACAAGGCGACCGAGGAGCAGATTAAGAAGGCTCGTAAGTCGCAGCTTAGCGCGATTCCGGCTGCCCCGCAGGCTGACCCTCTGCTCCTCAGACCGCCGCAAGGTTCTCCGTCACCACCCCGACAAGAAGGCCAACGCTGGTGGCTCTGCCAACGACGATTCGTTCTTCAAGTGCATTGCCAAGGGTGCGTGCTGTTCGTGGCTTTCCCATCTGACTCTCGCTGATCTCGTGCACCGCTCGTAGCCATGGACATCCTCTCGAACCCCGAGAAGCGCCGCCAGTTCGACTCGGTCGACGAGGCCATCTCGGACGACTTCCCCGACGCGAAGCAGACGACTGCCGACAACTTCTTCGAGCTCTGGGCTCCCGTTTTCGAGCGCGAGGGCCGTTTCTCAAAGCGCCAGCCCGTCCCGACACTCGGTGGACCCGACGCGCCCAAGCAGGAGGTCGAGGCGTTCTACGACTTTTTCTACAACATTGACTCGTGGCGGTCGTTCGAGTATCTCGACAAGGATGCGCCCGAGGGTGCTGACAGGTGCGTGGCAGGGCCAAACTCTCGTCAGCTCTCGCATTTTGTCTGCGACTGCTCGCTGACGTGATGATCACGCTATCTCACAGCCGTGACGAGAAGCGCCACCAGGAGAAGAAGAACAAGGCTGAGCGCGACCGCAGAAAGAAGGAGGACAACACCCGCCGCCGCACTCTCGTCGACACCGGTCTCTCGCTCGACCCGCGCATCAAGGCGTTCCGCGCGGCCGAGAAGGCTGCTCGCGAGGCTAAGCGTCGCGGTGGTGCGCCGGGCAGTGCGCCCGTCGACCCCAAGGTCAAGGCTGAGGAGGAGCGCAAGCGCAAGGAGGAGGAGGAGAAGGCCAAGGCTGAGCAGGCTGCCAAGGAGGCGTCCGACAAGGTGCGTTCTACTCTCTATGGGTCATCCCGACCGAGCTTGAGGCAGGTAACTGACATTGCACGCTTTGCGCTACAGGCTGACCGCGAAGCTGCGAAGAAGGCCAAGGCTGCCGCTGCCAAGAACGTGAAGAAGGACAAGAAGGCCATCACCAACCTCCTCACCACGCACAACTACTTCACCCTCCCCGGCACCGCACCCGCGCCCGCAGCCGTCGAGGCCTGCTTCGCCGAGCTCGACGCCATGTTCACTGTGATGGAGCCGGAAGACGTTGCCGCGTTCAAGGCGGTTCTCGACAAGGCGTCGAACCAGGACGAAGTCAAGGCCGCTTTCGTCGAGCAGGCCAAGAAGGTTGCCGACAAGCTCGCGCCTGGCTCGTTCAAGGAGTTTGCCTGAGCGGTTGCCTGCATTTATCCGTAGACGCAGCATCTAGACGCTTGAGCGTGCAACACCTTCACGCGCAGTACGGCTTGTCAGTGCAGCCAGCAGGAGTCGCAGAGCTGGTCGAGAGTCGCGACGCCATCGCTCGACTGGGCTGTGCTTGTGTGAGCAGCATCTCCTGAGCAGCTCATACCCGTCGCAGCAGGCCGGACAGCATCAAAGACTGTGAGCGAGCGACCGAGCGAGTCGACGCGTGCGGCCTCAAGCGGCCAAGTCGACCAGCACGCGTTGGAGCTGGGAGGCTGCCCAGCGTCCGTCCTACCGTTCCAGCTACCACTGTAGGACGGTATAGCCCGTCCTTAACGCCGGAGGGACAGCTGCGTGTTGGCGGTCGAGGGAGGACGACGAGTCCGGCGAGATCTCGCTTGGGGCGGCGCCAAAGTCGCCCGCTCGTGTTTGTCACGTCGTAAGATGCGAGCTCAGCTGGTCGAAGCACCTCTCAGCCGGTGAGCAGGCGATGGCACGAGGACGACCCGTCGCCTTCATTCAGCGACACACCTCTCTCGCCTCACACTCGACGAGCAGGCGCGCTGCTCTGCAGGAGCTCTTCAAGCGCAGCTGTGCACGCTCTCGTTGCGCAAGCACACCCGCGCCATGCCATGGGACGACGAGTGGGATCGACCCGGCGGTAGTCGACGACCGGTTCACACCTCGACGAGCTCGGGAGGCGGGTACCGCGCGCGCAGCCCCGACAGGCGACACGCAGATTCGCCCGAGCGCGACAGAGCGTCTCGGCGCGAGGACGACTACCGCCGACGCTCCGACGACCCGAGGACGGCGAGAGACTCGTACCGCGACAGGCGGGACGAGTGGCGGGACGGTGAGTCGCCAGTCTGCTTTGTAGAGCTCTACAGAGCTGCCGAGGACCGCGCGCTGACCGTTTGTGCGGTGTTGCCTGCTCTTCCCTCCCGTTGACATTGCTCCTCGACTTTGATATTCTCGCTCGCTCGACTGGTGCAGCTGGGCCGAGTCGCAGGTCGCGCTTTGACGACGTCGGGCGACACGACAGTTCGAGACGACGCTCGCCTGATCGGGACCGACGACGGTCTCCTTCGCCGCAACGTCGTTCACCACCGCCTCGCCGCTCGTCTCCCTCCCACCGCTCGCCTGACCAACTTTCCACCTCTTCCGCACGGCGAGCGCCGTCACCTTCGTCGTCTCGCGCGAATGGGCATTCAAGGGATTCGCCCTCTGTTCGCGACAGGCGAGACTTGCCGTCCACTGTCGACCGACGGACGAGCGACGCCGCTTCTCCTTCGCCACGCAAGATCTCCATCGCACTCCCCTCAAATCTCGCCTTCTCGTCCTCCCGACCTCCCTCCCAACCTTCCTCCCGCCCACCTCTTGGCGATTCAACACCTCGCGCACCATCGACATCCGCTTCCGCCTCCTCTTCCCATACGCAGCATCGCTCTCAGCCAGAACCCGAGAAGCCGCCACCGTTCTTCTACAAACCGCTCAATACGAAGGACTACCGTGTTCTGTACGACCCCGCTCTCGACCCGAATCCGATCAAGAAGGGCAAGGAGGTCGTAAAGCGCGTTGATGGTGAAGGCTTGAAGGATAATGCGGGCGCGCGGGATCCGAGGAGGACGACGGATCCGGAGCAGCTCAAGAAGCTGGAAGCGCGAAGACGGAAAGGACCGCTGATGCGCAAGTTGGGAGTCATCACCTACGGTGTGCGTCCTGTTCACTGCCCCCGCCTCGACGAGCTACGCTGACGACTCTTCGCGTCGACAGTGGGATAAGAACTCGACTGGACCGCCTCCACCAGCTCCTCCATCCGCCATTCTCGTGACTGGCTTTCCCTCAACCACGACAGCCGACGCCATCCATGCGCACTTTCGCTCGTTCGGTCGCATCGAGCAGCAGGACGTCAAGTACGACACGCAGACGGGCGGCAGTCTCGGCATCTGCTGGATCAAGTTTGTGGACGACGTCCCGCGAGATCCGGAGCCGGACAAGCCGACGCGGGAGAAGTATGAGCGGAAGAGGCTGGCCGGACAGGCGCAGGACGGTGGAGCAGTCGCGAAGGATGCCGTGGCGAAGGCGAATGGAGCGAAGATTGGCATGGCAATGCTCATGTCGGAGCAAGGCGTCAAGGTAGTGCTTGATGCGGACGGCAAGCTGTGCAGGGCAGCGGTGAAGGCTGAGATGGATCGTCTGCATCCATTCCGACCGAAGCCTGCACCCAAACCGCCTTCGCGATTTAAGCAGCCGACGCCGCCATCCAGCCTACCACCCCCGCCTCCTTCGCTTCCTCCTCCACCTCCGCCTCCCACGTCGTCGCATGCGTCTGTGCTTGCCAGCTCGAGCGGCCCACGGTGGGCGACACCAAGCGGACCTCGAGCACACGGTCACCGCGATCCGCCGCCCCCGATAGACTCGCGAGCGAGTCCAATCAGCGCCTTTCCCGACGCCGTCTCAGCCGCCAAGCATATCGCCATGCCCTCCGTACCCCTTCCTCCGATCAAGCCGGCCGTGCGAAGCTGGTCTCCCACGCGCGACAGGCCCAGACAGCCCGCGCCTCTCCCGCCTCGTCCGTCCAGCACATTCGCCCGCATCAGCCCGCAACGCAACGGCCGTCTGCCCGCGCCTCGTCCGCACTCAGTGCCCGACCGACCAGGCGCACCAGGCCGTGGCCCGCCTCGGAAGTCGGAGAGTATGGCGTCTGCGGTTGCGCAGGCAGTCGAAGCTGCCAAGCGGCGGTTGCAGAATATGCGCGCGAACGGACAGTCTGAGCGGCGTACGAAGGGGCGCGAGGAAGGCGAAGCGGACATGGACATGTCGAGCGATGATGAGGGCGCCCGTTCGGGCAGTTCGAGCGAGGAAGAGGAGGACGCGAAGGACGCTGTCTTCTTCCACGGTGGCAGGGACAGTGACCGAAGACCTGCACCGCTCAGATGGGGAGCAGCGCCGGTCGGTGCGATCGCCTGGCAGGTCTCGAAGAAGGTCCTCTTCGAGAAGCTCTCCGCCAACGGCAAGCCTTACTTGTCCATCGAAAAGTCGGCGTACCAGCGACACCGGCTCGCACAGGGCGGACGCATGGCGGTGCCGAACGGGCAGGATCTCGAGCGGCACTTCCAGGACTTCCGCATCGACAAGGTTCGCGCCTTCTTCTGGCATCAGACGCAGTCGGTCACACTGACACCTTGCCCAACCAGACCTTCGCCGACGCCGACGGCTGGTACGTCACCTTCAAGGACTCGGATGCCGCGAAGCGAGCCTTCGACAAGCTTAACGGGCGCAAGTATGCCGGCGCACCGCTCGCTCTCGTCCTCTGCGAGACCCCCGCACCACCTCCTGTGCTGCCGCCGAAGCCAACAACCGAGGAGGACCGCCCGCGCGGCCGCTTGCCAGAACCTGGCAGTCATCTCGCCGCCATCGTCGACAAGCTCAGCCGGGCGGTCAAGCCGAAGAAGACGAGCGGCTGGACCGACGAGGAATTGATCGAGGAGGCAAAGGACCTTGTCATCGCCGACTTGCTCGAGGCTTTTCAGAACGACATCACGGCTCGCCTTGTGCGCGGCAAGATCCAGGAGCACCTGACTCGCTGGGAGCGCGATGGCATGCGGACTTTCGCCTCGGCGACTCCTTCGACTTCGACGGCGCCAGCGGTCAAGATTGAGCCGAGCGAGAGTGCTGCCGACGTCCTGTCGCCGCCAAGCTCAGCGCCCAAAAGCCTCTCGACCCTGTCCTTCGCGAAGCGCCGCTCGGCCACGGGTACGACAGACGACCGCCAGCGTCAACGACGACCGAGCGCTGCCCCAAGCCGCTTCTCGTCCGAAGCTCCGTCCGAATCGCTACACGACCACAGCGAAGGCGAGGCGGAGCCGCGCAAGAAGGGCCTCGCCAAGACGAAGAAGCCGCTTCCTCGCGTTGTCTCCGCGAGCGAGGAGAGCAGCGAAGACGAGGATGCACGGGCGAAGGAGCGGGAAAGGGAGCGCGAACGCGAGCGTGCGCGGCGGAAGAAGCAGGAGGCCCGCAAGAAGCAGAAGGCGACGCCGAAGAAGGTCAAGGTCCACCTCGACTACACGAGCAGCGAGGACGAGGCGGCGACCCCGGCAAGACGGCTCAGCCTCGATGCTGTCAAGCAAGAAACGCCAGCTGTCACCGAGATCTTCGAGCCGTCTCCCACGCCAGACACCGTCACGCTCAAGCCGGCGAAGAAGGCTATCAAGGTCGAGCTCGACGACGCAATGGATGTCGACGACGAGTCGTCCCGAGCTGCTTCACCCGCGCCAATTGCGAAGCTGAAGAAGGCGGCGAAGAAGGCCGAACGTCCAGCCCGCGTCCCCATCGCTGTCCCTGCGACGACCGATCCGTTCGAAGCAGGGCTTGCAGCCGACGAGGAGGACCTCTTCTTTCTCAAGCTCGCGATCGAGCGACTTCAGCTCGGCAAGGAGCTGCATCCCACTCCTCCGCCTTCCGACGACGAAGCCGAAGCTCCGCCCAAGCACTCGACCGGATCTGCTCGCACAGAAGGCTTCTACGCCGTCACTATCGAGGAGAAGATGGCGAACCGCCCCGCCAGCAACAAGGCGAAGGCGGCGGATGCGGCTGGACCCGCAGGTACTGCAGCCGCATCGAGCGTCGCCGTCTCTCGCCTCGCCCGCGCCAATACGCGTGGTCTCGTCAGGGGCATGGAGCTGCACAAGAAGGTCACGGCGACCGACACCGATGTCCTCAAGTTCAACCAGCTCAAGACGCGCAAGAAGCAGCTCACGTTCTCGCGGTCCGGCATCGAGGGCTACGGTCTCTTCGCTCTCGAGTGCGTAGCGTCAGCGTCATTGAGATTGTCCCGTTCTGACCGCATTCCGCGTTCTGCAGGCACATTCCGGCTGGTGACATGGTCATCGAGTATGTCGGCGAGCTCATCCGCCAGACTGTCGCCGACCGTCGCGAGAAGGCTTACGAGCGGCAAGGTATCGGCTCGTCGTACCTGTTCCGTGTCGACGAAGATCTCGTCGTTGATGCCACGAAGAAGGGCAACCTTGGGTGCGTCCCCCCGGTCATCCCGGCTGGCGCCTCTCCGCTAAATCTTGCTCGCCCTGCAGTCGTCTCATCAACCACTGCTGTGTACCCAACTGCACGGCTCGTATCATCACCATCAACGGCGTCAAGAAGATCGTCATTTACGCCAAGACCAACATCGAGCCTGGCGAGGAAGTCACATACGGTGCGTACCGTTCTGTCGCTCCACCAAAGGCTCGTGCTGATAGCTTGCGACGATGCAGACTACCACTTTCCGATCGAGGAGGACAACAAGATTCCCTGTCTTTGCGGGTGCGTTAGCCGATTCTCTTGTCCGCGAAGGGGCTCCCCGCTCCGTCTCCCTTCATAGCCCGGCAGTTACTGACATCTTTCATCGATGTATAGCGCCGCCGGCTGCCGCGGATACCTCAATTGAGCACACACTCTCCTCCCTACCCTTCACGACCTCGCATCTCACGTCGCACGCAACTCCGCCTGATTCGCCAAGCTTCCTTCGTACCGCTCTTGTTGTCCATGGTGCATTGCATTTCCGGGTCGACTGTCTCCTGTCTCCTGCTCGTCCCATCGTCGAGGGCGGGGGAGAGAAAGCGAGCTTCCATTCTCGCTGCTCCAGCGGTTTCGCCTGGCTGAAAGCTTCCCTTCTTCTCTCTGCAAAGCCGTCAAGAAGCCCTCTGTTCAGGCGACATTCGCTTGGTCGAAACGTTGTCCAGTCGGCGAACGAGAGTCAACTTTCTACACCTCACCGCTCTCGCCAGAAAGGATGGCAGACTCGTCAGACAGCTCCGCAACGCCTATCCGCATCCACCAGCCGTCGCCGCTCGCCGCCGAGTTCTCCTACTCGCCCAACACTTCGCTCCTCTCATCGTCCTCGCCCCAATCTTCGCGACAGTCGCTCGAGCTCGAGCGCCAGTACGCGGCAGCGAAGCGTAGCGAGGCACACGAAGATGCAGAAGAGCTGCGCAACTTCCGCATGCTGGCGCTGGAGCGGCAGAAGGCTTCGGGAGGTTCATCAGGAGCGGGCGCTCAGGCGGGACTGGGCGGCGCGTTTGAGCCTTTCGTTGGGTCGAGGGTGGGCAGCCCGATCCCTGACAAGCATGGCCTGGGATGGCCAGGTGCGTCGAGTCTCCTCGCGCCGCTCATCTTGCACATCTGCTCATCCCCCTCTCCTCGCAGGCAAGGGTACCCTCGCTCGCCTGAACGCAACTCCTGAGGAGCGTACTGCCCGCGAACAGAAGCTCGCGGACGCTGTCAAGGTTTTGCTCGAGTGCATTGGCGAGGATCCCGAACGAGACGGCTTGATCAAGACCCCGGAGCGATACGCGAAGGCTCTTCTCTGGATGACCAAGGGCTACGAGGAGCGCTTGCCAGGTGCGTACACACTGTGGCACTTGCGTTGAGCTTATGCTGACTGCGCCATGCCAACAGACGTGATCGGAAACGCCATCTTCGCCGAAGACCACGAGGAAATGGTCATCGTCCGCGACATCGACATCTTCTCGCTCTGCGAGCACCACATGGTGCCCTTCTCCGGCAAGGTGAGCCTTCGAATGCCTCCTTCACGTCGCGCAAGTGCTGACAGCGGTCACGAGCAGGTCTCCATCGGCTACATCCCGAACAAGTTCGTCCTCGGCCTCTCCAAGCTGGCGCGAATCGCCGAGACGTTCTCGCGACGTCTGCAAGTGCAAGAGCGCCTCACGAAGCAGATCGCGACGGCTATCGACGAGGCTATTCGGCCGATGGGTGTTGCGGTGGTAATCGAGGCGACGTGAGTCGCAATCTTTCCGGCCCGTCTGTTCGGCACCTTCTGACGAGCTCCTCAACTCATACAGTCACCAGTGCATGACTATGCGCGGCGTGCAGAAGCCCGGCGCGACCACCATCACCTCGTCGATGCTCGGCGCCTTCCGACGAAGCGACAAGACCCGCGCTGAGTTCATGTCGCTAATCCGCACGCCGCAGCGGTAGAGTCGCCGTTTCTTGCGCCTCCCGGCTCACTCCTCTCCCGCCTCCGCCCTCTCGACCGCCTAGAATTGCCTGTATCCCGCTCCTCAACCGAGCATCCTCGCCCATCCGGCGCCATCCCGCCTCGCAGCCCTCTCTCGCAGCCCACATCGCATTATCCCAGCTTGCTCATCCGCATTCGTCAACCGAGATACCGGCGCCTGTGTCCAGCGGACGCAGGTCGCTTCCCCTCCTCCTCTTCTTTACTTGCCGTACATTGTTGCCAATTCTAGACGTCGGTCTTTCTCGCCGGGCGTGTGGGAGAGTGTTCTTGAGTTACTTCTTCTCGTACAGGAAAGCAGGCCAGGCAGAACGCACCTTCACCGTTTCGCCTTCCCTCTCTCCCTCTCTCCTCCTCCTGCCTTTTGGCTTCACCTCGTCGTTCGGCTCGTTCTTGCTTGCTCTTCGCCGCCAACGCTCGCATCGCCTGCACTGTCCCCCTCGCACTGCTCTGCCCCTCACGATGCCCTCCGCCCCCTCCGCCATTCCGGCCCCTCTCGGAACCTACGCCCACCTCCTCCCGCCCTCGTGGAAGACCGTGATCACCTCCTGGCTCGCCGAGGACACTCCGTATTTTGACTACGGCGGCTTCGTGGTCGGCGAGGGCGAGGAGGAGGCGACCTTGTGGGGCAAGAGCGAGGTGAGTTTCCGCGTCTGCTCAAGAGGACGCTGCGCAGGGCTGACCGTGCTTGTGGTGTGACAGGGAGTGCTTGCTGGAGTGCCGTTCGTCGACGAGATCTTTGCCCAGCTCGGTTGCACGTCAGTCCTCCCTCTCCTCCCGACTCTCTCGCCGCCAAAGTCCAGGCTGACCTGTTCTCGCGGCTTGACAGGGTCGAATGGCACCTTACAGAAGGCGCGGACGTCAAGCCGACGAAGGAGACGCCCAAGATCAAGGTCGCGACCGTCCGAGGACCGGCTAGGTGCTTGCTTCTGGGCGAGCGAGTCGCGTTGAACACGATGGCGCGGTGCAGCGGGATTGCATGGAAGTGCGTCCATTCGTTACGCTACGCGAGGGCCGTAGGGCGACTGACGGCAAAGTACGGACAGGTCTCGAAAGGTTCTGCTAAAGGCTAGGCAGCTTGGCTGGAACGGCATCATTGCCGGCACGCGCAAGACTACTCCCGGTGCGTCCGTCGTGCCAAGTTAAGCAAATTGCGCGCGCTGACTCTGGCGCGCCCAGGCTTCCGCCTCGTCGAAAAGTACGGCATGCTCGTCGGCGGCGTCGACCCTCACCGCTACGACCTGAGCAGCATGGTCATGCTCAAGGACAACCACGTCTGGTCGAAAGGCAGCATCACGGAAGCCGTGCACGCAGCCAAGTCGACCGCGGGTTTCGCCCTCCGCATCCACGTCGAGTGCCAGTCTCTCGCCGAGGCGAGGGAGGCGATCGCTGCGGGCGCGGACATCATCATGCTCGACAACTTTACGCCGCAGGGGATTAGGGAGGCGGCGGCGGCGCTCAAGGAGGACTGGGTCAAGCAGACAGGCGGACAGGACAATGGAGCGGCGAAGCGGTGTCTTGTCGAGGTCAGCGGCGGCCTGACGGAGGAGAACATGGAGGAGAGCTTGTGTCCAGGTGCGTGCGCTGCCTTGCCGTGCCCGAAGACCGCGCTGACACTTCTCGCTCCGGCAGACGTGGACATCCTCAGTACGAGCGCGATCCACCAGGGCGTCTCGACTATCGACTTCAGCCTCAAGATCCAGCCGCGGCGGTGATCTCCCTCTCCCTCTTTATTATTCTGAAGCACCGGATGGCTCTGCCCTGCAACAGCAGTCGGCTCGGCTTTCAAGAGGGGAGGAGAGCGGCGTCTGGCTTCGCTTCTTCCGGTCCTTTCGGTTCCTTCCTAGGCAGAAGTGCTCAGCGAGTGCGATAGACTCTGTGGTACGACGAAAGACGCCCCTGCGAGCGAGAGAAGCCGTCGCAGGAGTCAACTTCGACCTCCGCCGTCCGCCGCCGCTCGCGCTCGCCTCAACACGCTCCGTGACCCCCTTCACCCGCTCGAGGTGGGTCTGCTACCGGACAGGCCTGCGCCAAAGCTCTACTGACAACTTTCTGTCCTTGTTCCAGCTTGCCTCGTCTCGCCGTCGCCGCGCCAGCTCGCCCCGACTCCCCATCTTCGCCCGCTCGCTTCGGCCGCCTCTCACTCGGTACGTCTCGCCTTTGGGAGCGCATTGACGGCTTGGATGTGGGATGCAAGGGCTACTAAACCACTCGGCCCTTAACGGCGTGCTGACCTGCTGTTTTCGCCGACAGATCCGCCCGAAACTCCGCTTCGCTTCCCTCAGCAACCCCCCTTCCACTTCTCGCATTCGCCGCCATGTCGCAGCCTGCACGCGAAGTCAAGGTTGCCATCGCCGGTGCGACCGGCACCGTCGGCCAGCGCTTCATCTGCCTCCTCGCCTCGCACCCCTACTTCCGCATCGTCTCGCTCAACGCCTCGCCCCGGTCTGCTGGAAAGTCGTACCGCGAGGCCGTCAAGTGGAAGCAGCCCGTGCCGATCCCCAAGCAAGTCCTCGACATGACGGTCAAGACCTGCGAGGTCGACCAGTTTGGCGACGCCGAGATTGTCTTCTCTGGGCTTGACAGCGATGTCGCGGGCGATGTCGAGGAGGGCCTGCGGAAAGCAGAGTACGCCGTCTTCTCCAACGCCGGCAACTTCCGCCGCGACCCGCTCGTCCCGCTCGTCGTTCCCCTCGTCAACCCGTCGCACTTTGGCATCATCCCGCACCAGAAGGAGACGCTCGGCCTCAACAAGGGCTTCATCATCACCAACGCCAACTGCTCGACGACGGGCATCGTCATCCCCCTGCACGCACTCGAGAAGGCCTTCGGTCCCCTCGAGACCGTCATGGTCACGACGATGCAGGCCATCTCGGGCGCCGGCTACCCTGGCGTCCCCTCGCTCGACATCCTCGACAACGTCGTGCCGTACATCGCCAAGGAGGAGGAGAAGATCGAGTGGGAGTTGGGCAAGATCCTCGGCGGCTTGTCGGACGACCTCAAAGAGTTCGACTACCACTCGAAGCACCCGATGAAGGTCTCGGCCGCATGCAACCGCGTCCCCGTCGTCGACGGCCACCTCGAGTGCATGTCGATCCGCTTTGCGCGCCGGCCCCCGCCGTCGCCTCAGCAGGTCAAGGACGCGCTGCGGGCGTACTACTCGGAGGCGCAGAAGCTTGGATGCCCGTCTGCGCCTGAACAGGCCGTCTACGTTCACGAGGAGGCGGACCGACCTCAGCCCCGTCTCGACAGGTGCGTCACTCTCGCTCCTTCCTCCCGCCTAAATTCTGAGCTGACCTCCGTCTCGCAATCCCGAAACAGGCACTTCCAGAACGGCGCAGGCGTCAACGTCGGCCGCGTGCGGGAATGCAAGGTCCTCGACATCCGGATGGTTGTCTTGAGTGCCAACACCAACATCGGCGCCGCGACGAGCTCCATCATGAACGTGCGTGACCCGACCCGCCTTCGCTGTTTGTCTGGACTCGGTACTGACGACTCGTATCGTGTAGGCCGAGTACGCGGTTGCGAAGGGTATCGTCTAGAGCGGTCGAGCGGCTGCGATGGAGGACTAGGCAGGGTTTATAGATACAGCAGCAGCGCATTTCTCGGTTCGCGCAATCGCATCTCTTCTCGCGCGCATGCAGCAGAAGTGTCTCGGAAAGGGCTGGAGAGATGTGGATAATGCGAATGACGGGACATGAGCGGAAAGGGAACCAGCTACTCCGACGACGATCCCTGCGCCTGCCTTGCCACTTCTTCCTTCCGCCGCTGTTCCTTCTCGAGCAGCTTCCTGCAAACATGGGAGAGTGCGTCAGCTGGCGCTCGCCAACAGACCGGCACGTGTCTCCTGAGGAAAACCGGAAGCACGAGAGTGGGTAGACGCACCTCCTCGCCTCAAGCACAAGCTTCTCCTTCCTCGCCCTCAGGTTCTTCTCCCTCTCCGCCGCATTCGGCGACCACCCTCCCGCCTGCGCACCCTCAACCTCCTTCCCCTTCCCCTTGTCCTCCGAAACGACCTTGTTCTGCAGTCCCATTCGCGCGATGAGCGAGGGCGGTTGGCCGCGGGCGGAGGAGGTCGAGGCGCTGGAGCGGGAGGGAGTGACGGGTGCGGCGGGAGTGGGCGTTGCGGGTCGGGGAGTTGAGGTGGATGCGTCGGGAGGGAAGTAGGAGGCGGGTGGCTGCGCACACGGAGACACGAAGATCTACCGTCAGCATCGCACTCGAGTGACACTTGTCAATCTCTCAGCGTTGCGAACGTACCTGAGGAAGCCCTCCTTCTCGCAACGCCCTCTCGACGGCCCTCTCAACGCTCCCTCCGTTCCGCTCGAGCTCCCACCGAGCCGCCGCCTGCGAGACATGCGGGAACATGCTCGTAATTTGGTCTATGGACGCTTGCGGGACTGTCCGGCGCCTGCTGCCGGAGGAGGAGCCTGCGGGAGATGAGGACGAGGAGGGTGAGCAACTCGAAGACGACAGCTGCTGTCGGGTTCGGATAAAGCTCGAAGCCACGAGAGCATCGTGAGAACGAGCTCAGGTCTCGCAACGCACCGAAGACGAGCTTGTAGGCAGCATAGCAGAGACCGGCCGCAACAGCCCACCCGAGCGCCTCGTCCTGCGAGGTCGGCGAGGTCGGCGAGGTCAGCGACGGCTTCTGAGCAAGTGTACGAGCCCTGCTGACCATTCTTCTGCGAGATCGCGGCAGTTTGGCGGTGTTGCGTGCGTGGTGACGGTGCGAGGAGCGGGTTGTCCTCGAACGGCTCACACGCTACATCGAAGTGCTCCTGCTGGACTGGCTCGGGTGATGCTGGCAGTACCAGATGGACAGCAATAAGACAGTCCACGTCCACTCGCACCGGCGCCGCTTGTTATCTCGTCCTTGTCCTCCTCGCTGCTCGCCGTGACCAGAGCACTTGGTGCCATTTAAGGGTCTGCAGGGTGGACGGGGTTACGTGGGCGCTTGTCCACGCGGGGGCAGCAACGCTCTCGCGATTCGAACGAGACGCGACAGACTTTCCGCTGGCTCGTCTTTCAGTCGGCACAGCTTTCGGCGCGTCCTCGCTTCCAGTTCAATTCGCCGCCTCCGTCAAGGGACCCCAAAGAGCACTCGCCATGCTGGGCTGGTATCGGCTTCGTTCCCCAGAAGTCACTCCGCTGAGCTCCAGCCGCTCTGCCTCCGACCTCGTCTTCGCCGCTCGCTCCCCAGGATGTCTTTCGAAGACAGCTCAGCTTCCGGTGCGGACATCGAGAAGACGTCTGCTTCTCCACCGACGTACCTTGGCGAGGACAAGCCAACCACGACTCTCAGGGAGGATGTTGCGGCGTACGGACTGGAGAAGGTCTTTCAGAGGCACGGCAGGTCCGTCTCCGCTCCCAGTCACCTCGCTCCCAATGCTTCAGGGCATGCTGATGTTGACTGTCACTCACCTTCGTGCTACAGGATTGACTTGATACCCTTGGTCCGTCTGCGGCGCCTCTCCTTGAAACTCGCGAAGCAAGTTTCGCTCGCTCACCGCCACGTCCCTGTGCAGCCTAGCAACGACCCGCAAGACCCGTACAACTGGAGCTCGTGGATCAAGCATGCTCTGCTCATCCAGATCGCTTTCCATGCGATGATGGGTGCGGCGCTCCTGTTCCATCGTTCGTGTGCGTGACGCTAACTTCCCCTTCTCCGCAGGACCGTTCTCGGCTGCTTCTGTCATCCCTTCCTTCGAGACCTTCGTCGAAGACTTCGACATCACCATCACTCAGGCGTCGTACCTTGTGCGAGTCCTCTTCGCTTTCGACGCCGATCACTTCGCTCGTCGCTGACCCGTTCATCACTTGTACAGGAGCGTACCGATCTTGTTCCTAGGTGCGACGCCGCTTCTTGCAGCACCCATCTCTGCCCGCATCGGTCGTCGTCCCATCCTCGTGAGTTTGCCGCTCTCGCAGCCTGTCCGCCTCGCTCATACAGCTCTTTCCCACGTTCGCAGCTCGGCAGTGCTATACTGAGTGCAGCAGTACACCTTGGCGGCGCGTACTGTCACTCTTACGGGACGTTGATGATCACGCGAGTCTTCCAGGCGTGAGTTGAGTCCTCCTTCCGGTCCAGCTTCGAGCTGACCTCGCAACTCCAGCATCCTCCTCTCACCGCCGCAGTCGCTCGGCGCGGACATGGTCAACGAGATGTTCTTCCAGCACGAGAAGGGTGCGTCGCGCTTCAGCCTCGTGCTCGAGTTCTGCTGACCCTTGACCTCGCAGGCCAAAAGCTCGGCATCTGGACACTCTTGACCGCCCTCGGCCCTCCCGTCGCGCCGCTCATCATGGGTCCGCTCGTGTGGAACACCGGCAAGTGGCAGTGGACGTTCTACCTCCTCGCCATCATCAACCTCGTTCAGTTCATCCTCTACATCTTCTTCGCCCCCGAGACCGCCGGCTTCGTTCGTCCCGCCCGCGGCGTACCAGGCGTCGAAACGGCGACTAGCGAAGCGCCTCGCCAGAAGACGCCGTGGTGGAAGCTCTACTTCTCCTTCAAGCGGACTTCGTCGGCACCTTGGTCTCGCGTTCCCTACGAGACAGTCCACCCCTTCGTCATGGTCCTCCGACCGACAGTCCTCCTCCCCGCCCTCGCCTACGCCATCACTTTCTCCTACACCAACGTCCTCCTCACCGTCGAGATCCCCGCCCTTCTCGGACGGAAGTACCAGCTCAATCCGCAGCAGATCGGCCTGCAGTACGTCAGCTCGGTCATCGGCGCGACTTTGGGCGAAGTCGTAGCGGGAACCGGGTCAGATTGGTGGATGCTCTGGCGGACGAAGCGGGCGAACGGGAATCGCGAGCCGGAGATGCGCATCCCATTTGGCTTGCCGGGGTTCATCATTGGCGCCGTCGGAACTCTTATCTTCGGCATCCAGCTGCAGAACACGGCGGCAGGTCGATGGGTGCGTGCGCACGACCTCCGCTCTCTGTCGTCGCTGACGGTCTCGTTTTCGCAGAATGTCACCCCTCTCCTAGGCGTCGCTATCGCCCTCTTCGGCTTGCAGATCGTCACGACCGTCGTCTACAGCTACGCGATCGAAGCGACGACCCGCAAGCGCCAGCACCTCGTCTCGCCCTTCGTTGGCTTCGTGCGCCAAATCTACGCTTGTGCGTCCGTCCTTAACGATACGTGTCGTGAAGCTAGACAGCTGACATCGATCCACGCAGTCACCGCGCCGTTTTACTTGACGATCCCTTTCGAGGAGTGGAACTTCACGAAAGGCGCAGGCTTGCTTACCGCCTTCGTCGGAATCGTCAGCTTTGCCGTGAGTCTCCCGACCGGTCCGCATCAGGACTTCTTCTGCTGTTGTATGTTGCTGACTTTGACACCCCCGTCATCCCTCATGTGCTCCGCCCGCCCTCTCTCGCCCATTTGCCATCCACCTTCTCTCGCTCACCCTCCCTTCAACCGTACGATCCGACCGCAGCTTCTCTTTGTCTGCCAAATCTTTGGCCGCCGTTGGCGCCAACGCGAGGCGGAGAAGGACGGCGAGTCCGAGGCCGTACCGGAGTCTCCTTGAGCTTCTCGTTGCGAAGGCTTTAGCACCTTCCTTCATGCCGCTGTTCTTTAGACCTGGTCCCATCGCGATAACTAGTCACTGTGCGGGTGTTCAGCAATATGATTCCATGGTATTCGTCTTCAGCATGCTCGTTAACCACGCACAGAACGTTCCGCAACTTGCACCTCGCTCACCGCTCCCAGCGAGGCAAACTCGGACCGCCTGTACCGCTGTTCCTGCGGAACATTCGATCCATGCAGCGTGGTCTGAGGGAGAGATTGGGGCGGTCGAAGCATTTGCCGTCGCTCTCCGCCTCCGCCAGCAGACGAATGCGTTGCCCCGCTCATTGCTTGAGTTTCGCCCTCCTCGCGTGATGAGGCTGACCAAGCTGCTCTGCAGGACTCCGCTGCCTACGGAATTCCTCGAGAGGGCGAGAGAAAGCAGCAGCAGCGAGCTGAAGACACCACAGCGTTGCAAAGCCAAGTTCGAGGAGGGGCAGGAGCAGGAGAACGACGATTGGCGACCGCCCGCGGACCCCTTCGGGCTGATGCCCAGGCTGGGCACGGCTATTGCTTTCTTGCGCCGAGTTAGCCAGCGTGGCAGGGTCCAGAGGTTGTGGGTGAGGCAGCAGCTCCAGCCGCGGCCCCTTGAACTGATGAAGAGGAAAGCGAATGCTGCTCCGTCGCTGCTCGACATTGGGCGTTGTGAGCGGGCTCGTTCGGACGCTCTTGACGTTGTGATAGCCCCGCACAGCGCTCCGAGGCGAACGTGGCCCCGAGGCGCCAGCAACAACGAACAAGCGGCGACGGCGCGACTCTATTTTTTTCCTTCGCCTCCTCCACACTCGCTCGCGAGTCGGGCTTCCCCAGAGCTGCGTACGTCGGAGAAAGGCACGGAGCACCTTCGCTCCGCTGACCGCGCCGTCCGGGCCGCCCGGGGCATCTGCAGAATCTTGCTCCGCTGGGTTTTCCTCTCTCGCTCTCCTCGCTCGCTGCACAGCTCGTCAGCGGGGCCTACAGACTCTCCTGCTTGTTCCGAGGCTCCAGCTACTTTGTACTCGACGACAGAGAGGCCAGCACACCGCCGCAGAGACGCCCGAACATCGACATGGCGTTCACTCCACAACACACCTCCGCTGGGGACATCGAAAAGGCCCCGCTTCCGCCCGCTCACTTGGGCGAGGACAAGCCGACGACAACTCTGCAGGAGGACATTGCAGCTTACGGCCTGGAGAAGGTGTACGCGCGGCATGGCAGGTTCGTCTGAAGTCGCTTCGCTTGCCACCGACGTCGGTGCGTCCATGCTGACCAGTTCCGCTTGTTTCGCTTGTTCTCGCCAGGATTGACTTGATTCCTCTGGTGAGTTTGACGATTCCGGGAACCGCTCAGGGAACGTCGGGGTACCACTGGAAGCAAGAATTGGCCTAACTTTTCCTCCTTTCCGCTCGTTTTTCCTCTTCACAGCCAAGTGACGACCCGCACGACCCGTACAACTGGAGTTCGTGGATCAAGCACGTCTTGCTCGTCCAAGTCGCCTTCCACGCCATGATGGGTGCGTCGCTCCTCCTCGCCGCACTTCCGTCCGTGTAGCTGATTCTCCTCTGCGCACAGGTCCTTTCTCCGCTGCTGCCGTCATTCCGTCTTTCGAGACTTTCGTCAAGGACTTTGGCGTCTCCATCACGCAGGCGTCGTACCTCGTGTGCGTCTTCTCGCTCTCGACGCTTCCCCGCCTCGTCCTCAAGTTCTCTGCACGACGCTAACGGTTTCGTGATGGCTACAGTTCGGTGCCAATTGTCTTCCTGGGTTTCTTTCCTCTTCTGTGGGCGCCCATCTCGAACCGAATCGGTCGGCGGCCAGTCCTCGTACGTCTGCCTCCCCTTTCCGCCTCGTTCTGGCTTACCTGAGTCCTTCGTACAGCTTATTAGCGCTCTGTTCAGTGCTGCGATGCACTTCGCCGGTGCATACTGCCACTCGTACGGCACCTTGATGGTCACCCGTGTCTTCCAAGCGTGAGTCGCCTTCCCGCTTCCCTGGACGTTCTGTTCGCTCATATCTGAACGGACAGCATCTTCCTCGCTCCTCCTCAATCGCTCGGCGCCAACATGGTCAACGAGATGTTCTTCCAACACGAGAAGGGCCAGAAACTCGGCATCTGGACGCTCCTCACCTCTCTCGGCCCTCCTGTCGCGCCGCTCATTATGGGCCCGGTCGTCTGGAACACCGGCAAGTGGCAGTGGACCTTCTACCTCCTCGCCATCATCAACCTCGTCCAGTTCGTCCTCTACATCTTCCTCGCACCCGAGACCGCCGGCTTTGTCCGCCCGAACCGCGGCACGCCCGAGGCCGACGTCGCCGCTGCTCCCAAGCCAAAGACGCCTTGGTGGAAGCTGTACTTCTCGTTCAAGCGGACGTCGCCCGCGTCTTGGTCGCAAGTCCCGATCGAGACGGTTCGACCTTTCACGATGGGCTTGCACCTCACGGTTCTCCTCCCCGCTATCGCCTATTCTATCGCTTTCGCCTACACCAACGTCCTACTCACCGTCGAGATCCCCGCACTTCTCGGCCGCAAGTACGGCCTCAACCCGCAACAGATTGGCCTGCAGTTCGTCGGCGCAGTTATCGGTTCGTCCGTTCCTCCTGGCTCCTGGCTTCTCCCCGCTGACACGACGACTACACAGGTGCCATCCTCGGCGAGATCGTCGCGGGCACCGGCTCGGACTGGTGGATGATTTGGCGCACGAAGCGAGCAGGCGGAAACCGTGAACCCGAGATGCGATTGCCCTTCGGCCTGCCAGGGTTCATCCTTGGCGCCGTGGGCATCCTAATCTTCGGCGTGCAGCTCCAGAACACCGCCGCAGGTCACTGGGTCCGTCTCCCTTCCCCTCTTTCCGGAACATCTACTGACGTTTTCTCGTCGCGCAGAACGTCACGCCCGTCATCGGCGTCGCCATCGCCGTTTTCGGCACGCAGATCGTCACGACCGTCTGCTACGCCTACGCGATCGAGAGCGTTCCCAAGGCCGTCCAGTACCGCGTCTCGCCCTTCATCGCGTTTGTCCGCCAGCTCTACGCCTGTGAGTATCTCCCTCGCCGTTGCCGTTAGCGTATATGCTTACGAGTGTGGTGGGAACAGTCACTGCTCCGTTCTACCTCAACATCCCGTTCGAGGAATGGGGCTATGCGAAGGCGGCAGGTCTTCTCTGCGCCTTGACCGGCGGCGTCGGCTTCCTCGTGAGTATCCGCTTCCTCTTACCTCGCACGATGCCCAGCAAAGTTGTGCCGTGTTGCCTTGCTCCTGCTCGCATGCTGGAAGAGTCTTGCTGACCTTCCCAATTCTCCACCCTCTCTCGTCTCTTCCCACCTCGTCCTCCATACCCCCCTTCGCGCACACAGCTCGTCTTCCTCTGCCTCATCTTCGGCCGCAAGTGGCGCCACGTCGACCCTGAAAACTGATCATCCCGCCCCTTTCCTTTCAGTCTTCCTCTCCTCCGCGCCTGCTCTCCCAAGACAGCAATCAGTTTAGATTCCCCTCTCATCCGAGAGACAAGTAGAACCAAGATGGTATAGGTGTAATTGCGTTAGGTCCCGACATGCGTGCGTTGTTGCGGACGGCGGGACTTGGCGAGCGAAGCCTGCGCTCGTAGTCACTTCGGGGTCGCTCTGCTCCTCGCGAGCAGCTGGCACAGTTTTGGAGCGAGTCGATGCCTGCGAAGCACACAGCGAGTCCGACTAGAGTATGGCAACCGAACTTGGCGCTTCTTGTCGAGGGTAACGAAGGATAGTCGAGAACAGGCGCGCGAGGAATATGATCCGCGTGCGCAGCGACGACTCTTGAGCGTGGAAATACCATAGAAGAGCGAGCTAGGCTCTCTCGCACAGCTGTTCGTTCGAGACTCGGAGCGAGAGAGCAGGACGTGAGGGAGCGACAGAACACAGAGCTTCGTCGACCTCGCCAGATGCACGACCGGGTGCTCAGCCCTTCATCAAGTACCCTGGCCTCCCACTCCAGCCCATCGCAGGCCGTGCAGCGATGTGTACGGTTGCGGGGCGGTGAGTGGGTGGAGCTCGACGACGAGGGGACGGCGGGCGCTCGTTGCTGGGCTGGCGGGATGGCGTGGGTGCGTGCGTTCGATGTAGCAGCAGTGTGAGCGTGTCAGGCGGGTGCAGGACCCGCTGTGAGCGTGTGGGTGTGAGCTGGACGGGGGTCGACCTGCGTGAGCTCGCCCGTCGTCGCTCTTGTTCCCTCGCACCCTCGCCGCGTCTTCACGCCCGCTTCTTACTACCATGGGCAAGTCTATCCACGCTGCTGCACCACCCCGCAAACACACCGCAACCCCGCCAGCAAACCCACGCCGAGCAGCGACGAGTCGAGCGAGCGCAGCCCACCCGCGCCAATTTTCGCAACCACCCCGGCCACACACTCAGACCCGCACTCGCACCGCCAGACACCCGCCTGCTGCTGGATGGACATATGGAGGGAACGGAGACCCTGGAGCGAAGGAGCGAGCTGAGGGCGAGGCGAGGCGGGCGAGAACTCGGGCCAACTCGAGTCGCGCACCTCGCGTGAGGAGGAATGGGCACCAGCAGCAGGCAGGGGGCTACTCGCACACCTCGCTATCGACTCGCACGACTCTCGCACGCTGGCTGGGACGGGCGCGAGGCGGATTGCGGCACTTTGCGGTGAGGCGCGACGAGGGGGGACACGACCGTGCTGACACCTCTCGCTTGCTCGCCATGCAGCCGTCGGTAAGAACAAGCGTCTTTCGAAGGGAAAGAAGGGCATCAAGAAGAGGGTTGTCGACCCCTTCACCCGCAAGGGTGCGTTCCACCGCCATCTCACTCCCCTCTCCCGTCTCCTCTCGCTGACCTCGACTCGCGGGCGCGCAGACTGGTACGACCTCAAGGCTCCGTCCATGTTCGACACCCGCAACGTTGGCAAGACCCTTGTCAACCGTTCCTCGGGCTTGAGTGGGTCCACCCGGTCACCTCCCACCCTTCGCCTCGACTTGTGGCTGACCCTCAGCCTCGCAGAGAACGCCAACGACTCGCTCAAGGGTCGCATCTTCGAGCTCTCGCTCGGCGACCTCAACAAGGACGACGAGAACACCTTCCGCAAGATCCGTCTCCGTGTCGATGAGGTGCAGGGCAAGAACTGCCTCACCAACTTCCACGGAATGGACTTCACCTCGGACAAGCTCCGCTCGCTCGTTCGCAAGTGGCAGACCTTGATCGAGGCTCAGCTCGACGTCAAGACCACCGACGGCTACCTCGTCCGCCTGTTCACCATCGGCTTCACCAAGCGCCGCCCGAACCAGGTCAAGAAGACGACGTACGCCCAGTCGGCTCAGATCCGCGAGATCCGCCGCAAGATGTTCGACATCATGCAGCGCGAGGCTTCGTCGTGCGACCTCAAGCAGCTCGTCCAGAAGCTCATCCCCGAGGTCATCGGCCGCGAGATTGAGAAGGCGTCGCAGAGCATCTACCCCCTCCAGAACTGCTACGTTCGCAAGGCGCGTCATTTCCGGGGGTCTCACGTCGTTTCCAGCTCGCTGACATCGTTTGTCCCCCCTCCTCGACCGACTTGCCTCCCTCTCGCTCTCGCAACTCGCCTGCCGCCTTTGTACGCTCACTCCATACCGTCGTACCACCGCCTTCACACCGCTTGCTCGCTGCCGCCGCCTTCTCCGCCCTCGCTTGCCCCCTTCCCCTTCATTCCTCGACCTCGGGACATCCCGAAACCGCAGGTCAAGATCATGAAGCAGCCCAAGTTCGACGTCGGCAAGCTCCTGGAGTTGCACTCGTCGTCGACCGAGGAGGAGGTTGGCCAGAAGGTCGTCAGGGACTTTAAGGAGCCCGATGTGCTCGCGTCTGTCTAAGCGGAGCGACCGAGCGGCCTTCGTGCGTGTGTTTGTAGGGAGGGCGAGTGGACCCGCAATTTCGAGGGAACTCTTTCTCTTCCTTCGTCCGTCCTGCCGGCCAGAGAGTTGCGAGTCGAACTTGACGACGAGAGGGTTGGTCTCCCGGCTGTTCGTGCGCTTCGTTGGACTTGCTCGCTGCTTCGACTGCTTCTTAGAGCTCGCAAGTGTCTACTTATGCACTGCCAAGTCCTACGACGCCGAAGGTGAGTTCACACGACCGCGAGACTGCTCCTTTCCCTCGACCAAGTCCCTTGCCTCCTCACTCTCTCGCTTTCCGGGCCAGGCTTGCTCGTGGAACGCTTTACTGTTTGCTCAAAACGGCAGAGCGAGCACTCGCGCGGCGCCTGTACGCACTTGACTCGCTTCCACCCTCTCTCCCTTCGCCTCCTCATCAGCTCCGACTCGCCGTCGCCACGCCTGAAGGAGCTCGCGTCCGGTGTCGCGTCACCAACAGGTGAGTGTGCATCCGAACCCAGCTGCTTCCGGCGTCCGCGAGCTCAATCGAAAGGAGCGACGCCTTCGAGCGAACCGGACGAGCAAGTAGGGAGGGCGGACCTCGCGTGCTTGACGGTCTCGAACGGGGGATGAAAGACATGCACAGAGGGCTTTGTGCTTGTGGAAGGAGGCGCTGGGGCGGGTGCGAGGCTGTGAGGCTGTGAGGCTGGGCGGGCTGTGTTTCGGCGCGAGGAGGCGAGGAGGAGGAGGAGAAGTCTGCTTCAAGCGGGACTGGCAGGGCTCGTTCGAGGGATATCTTGAAGCTCTAAAGGAGCACGTAGTCGGGACGCCAGCGGGACAGTCGGCGACTCCCTCTATCTCTCGACCTCCCCTCCTCAGCCTCCTCCTTCCTTCGCTCTTCGCCTTCTCCTCCCTTTCTCCGACAAACTCGCGCATGTCTCGTCCAGAGCGACCCACGAGCGATCGAACCGCCACGCGAGGTGGCTGCGTCCTATCGATTCCGCGGACTCCCTGGACTTGGGGTCACCAGCTGGACAGGAGCGTGCGCTTGCGTGCTTGATTGCGGGGACTGACCTCTTGCTTGTCCTCCTTATCGTGCAGGTGAAGAGTACGCGCAGGGTCCACAAAAGGCGAGCTGAGAACGACCGCGCCCGCCCACCATGCTCTCCTCCCGTCCCGTCTCCACCTCGTCCTCCTCGACCGCCTCGGCATCGATCCGCGCACCACCCGTCTCCTCCTCTCCCCGACCAGCCGGTCAAATCTCCTCCGCCGCCGACTTGACAGCTTCAGTCCGCCGAACAACAGGCGACCGCCCGCCTCCTCTGGTCGGATGCAGCGTCACCCTTGTCGGCGAGGACGAGGTGTACGTCTTTGGCGGCCGACTGGTCCCGACTCGAACGATGGTTGCGACGCTGTACTGCCTCGACTTGCGGACGCTCGAGTGGCGGAAAGTTTGGCCTGCGAAGGCTGTGGGTGAGGCGGTTCCGAGCGAGGACGAGCCGAGTCCTCCTGGCGCCTTTGGAGGCGGATCGTCGGACGAGACGGAGACGTTTGCGCCTCAAGCGCGCTACTTCCACAGCGCATGCGCGTGGGAAGACAAGCTCGTCATCTTCGGCGGCGAGGGGTACGGGCCGACCGCACCTGGTACGACACCCGACACGCCTTCGCCCGAAAACGACCCGACTTTGGCGCTCAAGACATTAGACGACGTTTGCATTTGGGACACAAAGGCGGGAAAGTGGATTGATGGAGCGACGACTTGCAAGGAGGGAGTCGAGCAGCCCGCGGCGAGGTATGCGCACCTGGGCGTCGTAACGAGCGTCAAAGTCGAGGAAGGGGAGGGCGAGAAGAGCGAGGCGAGGGAGAAGGCGGTCATGCTCGTCATGGGCGGTCAGGACATCCGCAATACTTGTGCGTTCCGAATCCGCTTTCGCCCGCCGGCCATTTCGCTGATCTCTCCCCGTCCGCAGACCTCCACTCGATGAACGTGCTCGACCTCAATTCGATGACCTGGATCCAGGCGAGCAATTGGGACCGACATATTGGGACTTACCGAGCCGTCGCGACCTGTCCTCGCTACACTGTCGTCCCGACTGCCGTCTCGCAGCCTGTCCCCGCTTCGTCAGACGAAATCGTAGATGATGCGCAGCGAGCTGTACGAGGCGAACGCGGCGCGGAGAAAGCCCTCGGCTTGAATGAGGGCGAGTCGCTCATCCAGCTGTCGCACTCGACTATCCCGCCCGCATCCGACCCAGAACCCCTCATCCTCTTTTCCAACTTCAACTTCACCCAAGTTCGTCGCGACCTCGACCTCCTCACGTCTCCTCTCTCGCCTTCGAACCCGCTCGAGGCAACTTCCCTCTCGTCCTCTTTCTCCGGCACGTCTCTCCCGCCTGGCTTGCGCTTCCCGACAGGCGCCATCGTCGGCCGCCACTTCCTCGTCTTCGGCACCTTCCTCTCGAGCGCGATCAACAACTTCTCGATCTGGGCGCTCGACCTTGGGCCGGGCGGCGCGAAGGGCGTCAAGGACCGGATCGAGAAGGGCGAGAAGCTTGAGTGGACGCGCGTTGATCCGGGAAGTGTGTTGGCGAAGGGAAGCTGGAACAGGGCCGTGTCGTGGCGGAACAGCGTTGTCGTGCTGGGCGACCGAGGTGCGTCCAGCTTTCTCCTCGTTCACGTGCTGAGCGCAATTGACTTGGTACGACCGCTCAGAACGCGACATCGCATCCGATTACGACCACCGACAAACCAACTTTGCGCACGTCGCCTTCATCGACCTCGAGTCCTTTGGCATCTACCAGCCTCCGCCGCAGTCCCTCCCACCGATCGCACAATCCTTCGGCCTTCTCACGCTCGCTCAACCATTCTTGTCCGACTTCGAAATCATCTGCTCCGACGGCAAGCGGCTAGCCTGCTCGCGCAAGGTTCTTACCGACCGGTGGCCCTGGTTCGCCGCGAAGATGGAAGAGTTCAAGTCGCGCGCGTTGGCAGTGCAAGCGGCTCAACAGCTCGGCAAGGCGCAGCCTGTCGAGAACGGCGCGACCAGCGAGACGCCTGCTTCGACGGCGACAGACGATCTTCGCCTCACGCCTCGCACTCTCGACCTTCCCGAAGCGTCCTCCGTCGTCCAGGCATTCCTCCAATACCTCTACACCCTCACGCTCTGCACCCCTCTCCAGCTTCACCCACCCGTACTCGCCGCTCTCGCCATCTTTTCCCGGACCTACGAAGACGACGCTCTCTGGGCGCTGTGTGTCCACGCTCTCCACGGCGTACTCGAGAAAGAGGTGCAGGCTGCGCCGCTCGTCTACGAGGCGGCGACGATGAGCGGCAGCACAGCTTTGCAGATTCGAGCCTTACGGACGATGCTCGTGCGTATCGCATCTCCCTTACGTCGCTCGTGATAGCGCTTCAGCTGACGCTCACATGCTATGCAGAGCAATCCGGCCGTGCGCATGCGCCAATCGCCGCGACCACCTTCGCAGCCCCAAGGTAGGCCTGCCGTTGCTGCCTGAACCCCCCTCACTGTCGCTAGATCACACCCGTCGTTCCCTGCTGTCGTAAACGTACCCTCATTAGCTTTTCCTTCGTAATCGTTCTGTGCCAACTCGCTGTTTCCTCTTGCACTCTTGCTCTCCTTGCTATTTGATGCGTGGCTTCCTTCGCTGACGCTCGTCCACCTCTACCAGATATTTCTGCGGTGCCGCAGTCGGCGGGAGGCTTCGCTCGCGCTGTTGGCCCGCCAGCGCAATCGACAACCACAGGTCGGCAACGAGCGCATCCCGCGAACCTGCACAGTCTGTCGGCAGGACCGCCAGTCTCAACCTCTCGCACGCCGCGCCAGCTTCCGGGCCCGCTTCGCTCGCCTCGCTCGCCGCGCTTCCCAGAAGATCCGCCACTGTCTCCCGCTCCTTCGTCCCCTCTGCCCCGCCCGCCGTCGAAGCCTTCGCCTTCCTCCCTATGCTCAGGATCCGAAACCTGCGACACTCAGTCGCTGCGCTCGAAGTCCTCGAAGCCGCCCTCGGATGCCGTCGCTGAGCCCACCCCCGACGAAGTCGCGCCTATCCCGGTGCCGCAATGGTCGCCGTTCGCGCCAGATCCGACACTCTCGCCGCGACTGGCGAGCGGCTTCTTCGACACTTCCCCCAGTACGGACTCGGTGCTTGCCTCGTCCCCGCCATCGCTCGCGAGCCATGGCCTTGCCAACTCGCCAACCCGCTCGACCCGGTCAGGCCCTCATGCACCCTCGACAAGGTCACGCACAGACTCAGTCGGCCAGCGTTCTGTTGCGTCGACATCGTCGAGCTGTGCGGGTGGACTTTACGGCTGGACGAACCTGCTCGAGCCGCAGATCGAGGAGGACGAGGACGGTCCGGCCGTCGCAAGCGACTTCGCGGAAGTGAGAAACACGGCGAGAGGTTCGCTCAATCTGCCGCATCCGCACGAGGCGCGAACGCCGTCGAGCACGCTTCCGTCGCAGACGGCAACGACGTCTCGCCTTTCAGCCAGCTCCGCGATGCCGATCCAGCGACCCGGTGCGACCCCCCAGTCCTCTAATACGAAGGGAGAAACGCACTGGGCTCCGTCTTTCTTCGACACGGTCAAGAGCGACGGGTCCGTCCGCAATCCGCTCTCGTCGCGCAAGGCGACGCAGATCTCGCAAGACCTGCTCGCTCAGCTTGACCTTGATCGCCTCGTCGAGCAGTCGACAACACCTGCCGTCGCCGTTTCTCCGCCGATTGCAGTCACATCCTCCCTCGCCGACCAATACTTCGACAACCCTCGACCTGCGCCAGCACCTTCCCCCTTGCCTCGCCTCGATGCCGACTCGCCGGCGCCCCTCGCGACGTCGCCTGCGACTACGCCAGGCTTGCTCCCTGTAGCGTTCTCGCCGCCCTCGCGGCGGCACTCGCTAGAGCCTACGAGTGCAGTCACCTCTTCACCGAGATCATCGACTCCCTCGACACCCGGTCGCGGAGGCAAGAGTCGACCGTCGACTGCGTCCACCGTTTCCGGCTCGTCGGTCGCGATGAGCAGCGGTCCGTCGTCGTCCGGCGAGAGCGTATACTCTACCGACGAGCTCCTCACCCCGCCGACTCCGTCTGTCGGGCTACCGCCTCTTTCGCCGAAGAGCGCGCACACTCTGAGCCCGCTTCACGCTCTTCAGCAGCCAAATGCTACGGTGCTCGACCGGCGTCCGTCTCTTCCGGCGGCATCGAGCGCGATTCGTACAGCGGTGGCGACGTCTACAACGACAGGCCAAAAGCGTGCATCTCTCTCCTCGCGTCTTTCAACGAAGCCGCTGTCGAAGAAGGAGGAGAGGCAGGCGCTCGAGCTGTCGGTGGGCAGGAAGGTCCTTGAGGCAGCCGGAGCGAGCGAGACGGAGATCCGCTTGCGAGCACGAAGCGTCGGACATCAGGTTCTCAAGCAGCGAGAGGAGGAGGCGAAGCGCGGCGGGAAGGGCGGTAAGAACGCGGTGGCGCTCGGCGACTACTTGGGCGGGGTGGAGTTGTCGAGCAAGTTCAGCATCGGGTAGCCTCGCAAGTGAGCATGTTGTTGTATCACCATTCCGGATAGCAATCAATGCGTTGCAACGACTCGAGACAGAGGGAACGCAGAACAGCAAGGGAGAGAGTCTAATCATGCATCGCCTTCGTCCTTGATACCGAGCGACACCGTCCCGACCTTGATGAAGACCTGTCGCACCGCTTCTCGCAGAGCCGGGTCGGCCTCGCGGACGAGAGTGTTCGTGACCAGAGGGTATAGGCGGGGGAGCTGCGCCTTGAACTGCGGTGACCAGGTCAAGCGTGTCAGCACGAGGAGCTGACGACACGAGGTAGGCCTTGCGCACCGGCTCGTCTTCGAAGCTTCGGAAGCCTTGCAGGATCTCGGTGCAGACGGGCGTCCATGCGGTGATGTTGCGCGCCTGCGTCTCGGGGTTAAGCGAGACGTAGTTGGCGAGGACGTTGAGGCCAAGTCTGCGACGTGGGTTTGTCAGATAGACACGCGCAAACAGAGAGCAGACGAGACGTACGGTGCAAAGACGTCGACGACCTCGGCGCGCTTCTGCACGGCCTCTTCTTGCGGGTCGCTGTACATCCGGAGGAGCACGTTGACCAGCGTCGCGGCACTCGTCGACTCTTGCCGCAGCAGATTCGGCAGATCCCGCATGAAGCCAACCTTCCACAGCGCCATCCGCAACTCCTTGTCGGCGTTGAACTTCCGGGCGAATCGGTACGACTCGTCGAGCGCCGACATGAGCCGCAGGAGCTCGGCAGGCGGGATCGTCTTGTACACGCGCTCGTTCTGCAGAAGCTCGTGCGTCGTCTCGATGAGCAAGAGCTGGAGAACGCATTTGACGATGATCTGGCGGAAGACGCGGCGCCGGTCGACGGGACCGTTCTTGGGCGGAGGCACCGGTTGCTCATCTTCTCGAGACGGGGAGAGCGGCGCGAAGCCGTTCGAGGTGGGCTGAGCGGCAGCAGGAGGTTCGGACTGTGGAAGGAGGAGTGTCGGGTCGAACAGTTGGTACGCCGTTGTTGTCTTGAAGAGCTGAAGGAAGGTCGCGATTATTCGTTCCCATCGTGCGGGCGAAAGCTTGTCGACGTTGTCCTCGACGAGCTGCTGTAGGCAGGACGTTCCTATCCGGGCGAGTGTGTCGTTCTCTGCGGGACGAGGCGTATCAGCGAAACCTGCGCATGAGGTGTCATGAGTCGGCCTAACTCACCCTGGCAGATACACTCTGACAGCAGGTCCAACAGCTTGTCCAGCAAGCGCGCGAGGACGTCAAAGTAGTACGTGAAGAGGTCGACGAGATTGCGAAGGGCCTGGATCATCGTCGTCGAAAGCCAGACGCTCATATCCTCGTGCGTGCTGAAACGCGAAACGTCCGATCGTGACCGCAGAACGGCGAAGATCGGGAAGAGCACCTCCTTGCAGATGGTGTCCCAGAACTCGGGCGGGAACGACTGGCCGTGCTTCTTGAGCGTGTCGAAGAGGTAGTCAAGGGCGCTATGGAGGGAGAGTCAGACGGACTAGTCGGAGGATTCCGAACGCTTCACGCACCGTTTGCGGACCTCGAGATCCTCGCCGTTCATGATGACGTCGTAGAAGCCGAAGAGGAGCGGGAACCAGAAGCGGAGCATCGGGTCATCCGTCGCCGTGACCTCGACTTGCGCGCCGTTGGCCGTCTGGCTGAGGGGGCAGGCGGGGCAGGCCAGCATCATCGGGATAAGCGACTTGAGGAGCTCGATCGCCTGCAGGCTGACCCGCTGGAACTTGCTGATCTTGCAGAAGTCGGTGACGCAGACGGTCAAGTCGGCGAACGAGCCGTACTCGACGATCTGCGCGAAGTGCTCCTTGTTGACGCGCTGGACGATGTCAAACGCCTGGACGGCGATGCGCTCGGTCGAGACCTTGGCGGCGGCCGCAAAGACGCCGAACATGGTGCGCCAGCCGGAGCGGAGGTTCTGCACGCGCGCCTGGATCATCTGGTGAAGGCACTGGAGGACCATGTCGCGGGCGTCCGGGTTCGTATTGTGCACCATGGCGTACTCGAACGGCTTGAGGAAGTCCTTCTGGAACTTGAAATTGGCGAGCTCCTCCTTCTCGAGGAAGCGCATAGCAAGTTGCCGAAGCGAGTCGAGCGCGAGGAACGAGACCTTGGCGTTCGTGTGGCAGGTGACCTGGCGAAGAAACGGTTCAGTCGGGAAGCTACGCCTCGAGAACGACTGCCACGCACCTGGTTGAAGTGCTCGCCAATGATGACCCACATCGCGGACCACTCGAGGCGGATACGATTCATGTTGTAGTAGCAGATCTCGACGAGCTTCTGCAGGCAGAAGACTCGCGGCTGCTCGGCGAGGCCGGACGCCTGGATCTCCTCCCACGACACCTCACTCAGCGCCTGAACGAAGTCGACGATTGCCGTTCCCGACAGGTTCGGCGTGGACGAGAAGATCATGTCGGCGGTGATGTAGAGGTGCTGTGACCGAGTCCCCTCCGCTACCTCGTCCGTTGGTCGACCGATCCGCTTCGACGAGACCGTCGACCTGCGCTTGCTGCCGAGCGACGGCTTACGACCGAGTTCAGGCAGTGTCTGCGAGTCGACGCCCTGCGCGATGAGCTGGAAGCGCTCGAGCTGGCTGACACAGGTGAGAACCTCGCGCCAGCTGCCCTTGAGGTAGTTGCCGTCGACCATGGCGACGTCGAGGAGCGTCTTGATCGCCTCCACGTTCTTCGGCCGCATCTCGCCAAAGTTGTTGAGGAAGGTGAATTTGGCGAGTGTCGTGACGAAGGCGTTGCGCTCGAGCTCGAGGTCGAAGAGGCAGACAATCTTGATCGCCTGCTTGAATCCGTCGAGCGAGAGCGAGATGAGCTCGAGGTCGTCCGAGTCCTGAAGGGGGCCCGAAATTCCGGCGAGAATCGCCATCCAGACAACCTCGAACATCGGCTTGACGTGCTCGGCATGCGACGCGCTGTAGTACTCGTCGCTTGCGCGGCCACCTCGTCGTTGGCCGCGGACGAGTGTGCGGAAGAGGGCCTGCGAAGGACGGAATCAGCGGAAGAGTCGAGGTCATGGTCAAGATGCTGCTGCTCACCTCGGTCTTGTTGACCATGCTCTCCGACTGCCACAGGTACGCCTCGCGCTGCAGGTCCCTGCCCACGGTCGCAATCGCTCCAGCGAGTCCTGGCGCAGGCGCCTGCGGACCAGCCGCCTCGACCTCGTCCTTCATCCGGATTTCGTTCGCGTTGATCTCGTCGTAGATGTCGGAGAGATACTTCTCGTCGATGTCCTTGCCGTCATCGATGCCGCGGTTGTTCTTGATGAACTCGACCTTCGACATCGGCTTTTTGACCTGCGGGTTGTGCGCGTCCGTGTTGAGGAGGATGACGGAAAAGGCGAGGATGTAGGCCGTGTCGGCGTTGGCAAAGACGCCTGGGTTGCCCGCAGTGTAGCGTTCGGCGAACTTGAGCATGTACCGATCGATCTTCTGCGCTTCGCCGGGCAGGCGGAACGACTGGAGGAACATGCGAAGCGCGTCGACGAAGAGCATGTTGTTAAAGTCCATGAAGTCGACAAAGGCGTGCATCGTGGCGATGTTCTCAGGCTCGCTGCCAGGAGGAGTGCGTCAGCAACAGCTACGCAATCAAGCGAGGTCGCTGCTCACCCTTCGCCGAGGTACTCGCCGATCTGCGCCTTGTCGAGTCCGTCGGCGTGCAGGAGGAAGCGCGCAACGTCCTTCGGGTCGGAGCTGCGAATGAAGCCGGACTCGATGAGGAAGGCAACACCCTGCGTTATCGACCGGTCAGCATGCGTGGCCTCAAGAGTTGGGGAGAAGTGCGCGCACCCGCTTCGGCTTGAAGTTGAACTTCTTGATACCCTCGAGCAGCGTCGTCTTGCGCAACTTGGCGTTCTCGAAGCGGCTCGGGTCGTCGGCCGGCACGACATCGGGCGTGTTCGTCCCGCTCGTGCTGCGTCTGTCGCCGGCGAAGAAGCTTGTCCGCGGGTCACTCGGTGCTGCACCGGGCGCAGGCGACGGCGAAGTCGCGCCGTTGCCATCCTCGGATGTGCGAGCGTGCGTGCCGTTGAGAGAGGTGGTCGAGGTCGAAGGGCCAACGACAGATGCTGCCGGACCGCTTACGGCGCCACGACCGGCCCACGAAACGAGCGAACGAAGGACAGCGACGAGGCATTCGAGACTCTGTCGCTTAAGGTGCGCCTCCGGCGGCGTGCCGGCGAAAGAAGGGTTGGCGAAGCGAGACTCGTCGAAGAGCGAAGTGGCGGACAAGGGGAAGGGCGAGACGGCGGGCGAGAGTGCCGAGAGGATCGGCTGTCCCGCCTTGCCTTCGGGAGCGGTAGGTGGGAAGTGCGTCGTGCAAAGCTTCGAGACGATGTTCAGGAGGCGCTCGTAGATGTTGTCGAGCGACGAGCGGTCGCAGTCGTAGTTGAGGTAGATGTCGACGAGCGCCTGCGGATCTTGGGCGAGGCGAGCGAAGGCGGCGAGGAGGAGGGACTTCTGGCGGACGGTCGCGTTGCGCATCTCGAGGATCGGAAGGAAGATCTCGTTCAGGAGGACCTCGATCTCCTTCTTCAATCGCTGCCGCATACCGCTGAGCATCCGCGAGAAGATCTCGCACGAAAGCTCGAAGACCTGGATGACAGGCGAGACGGCGTTCCGCGAGAGGGCGAGGCAGAGGTACTGCTTGACGGCGGTGAGGAAGGGCGTCCGCTCGCGCGAAGTCGACGAAATGATGGCGACTTGCGATTCGGTAAAGAGCGACATGTGGTTGTTGAGAATCGTGAGGATGAGGTGGAGCGAGAGGAGCTTCGACCGCATCGCTGGAGACTTCAGGTCACGTTCGCTGCGAGAGAGAGCGGTGAGCGAGGCTGAGAAAGTCGTGCGCGAGCTAGCACGCACCTGTCGGTACCAAGCGGTTTCATCGAGAGCTTGCACAAGGCGCGGAAGACGAGGAAGGCGTCCTTGATGTACAGGTCGTTCGTCGAGACGGTGTCGGTCGGCGGGATGGGCGTGCCATTCAAGCGAGCCAGGTTCTCGCTGTCGGAAGTCGGTGTTAGCGCTTGCGCGAACGGTGACGAAGCGAGAGCACTCACGTCGTGACCTTGTGGCCCTCGCCCTGCGGAACCTCCTCCGCTGCAGACGCCGAGTCGTCCTGACTGACCGAAACCCTGGGTGTACGTGCATCATCCGCCGTGCCCGCTGCAGAAGGTTCCTTCTCGTCCGTCTCGTTCTCCTCTCCACCCGCATCGCCATTCTCTGTTGCGCCATTCATGCCATCCTGCTTGACCCGCGGTGTCTCCTCAACCTTCTCCTCTTCCGCAGGCGGCGGAACCTTCGGCGTCTTCTCTGCCTCGACAGGCGCAGGAGGCTCCTCCTCCGCCACACTCGCCAAATCTGTCCGACTTTGACTCCGACTCGCAGCAGGCGTGGAAAGCGCGATCCCGCTCACGCCCAAGCCCTTCTCTACACTGGCGTTCTTCGCAGCCGCCTTCGCCAACCCGTCCGGCAGCTCGATCCGTCCGAACACGCCGCCGACGATTTGTCCGAGTGTGGCCTGCGCGACGGTCTGCACCGTTCCTGGTCGGCCGAGGAGGAAGACGTTGTAGACTGTGCGGACGGCTTTGAGGAGGGCGGATTGGTGGATTGGGAGCGAAGAGGAGAGGATCAGGCTGAGGAGGCAAGAGAGGAGACGGAGGAGGAGGGTGTCGTGCGGAGTTGTGGCCTGCGAGGCGGACGACGACGAACTCGAGGAAGACGAGGACGAGGAAGAGGCGTTTGGAGAGGGAGAGAAGCAGTCGCAGACGGTCGCAGTGATCTGGTCCGCGAGCGGGAGAGCCTCAAAGTTCTGCTGCTGGTTCGTCGACCCGCCTGCCAGACTTTCGTTGTCGTCGTCTCCACCTCCAAGACGCAACTGCGGCGCATCCGGGTCGTGCTGCTCGACGAAAAAGTCGTACGAGACGAGCTTGCCGAGACAGTCGAGCGCCGTGATCTGCAGCTGGAGAGACTTGGTCTCGCATGCGAGGCGCAGAGGGAGGAAGACGAGGTGCGGGTCGATCGTCGTGGACGCCCCGCCGCCGATACCCGGAGTCGCTGGAACGGGCGTCTTGAGCGCGTCGAGAGCCTTGTCGAGGGCATCCTTAAGCGGCTTCGACTTCTTGGCCTCCTTCGACGCGGCGATCGACTCGAGCGACGAGACGATCAGGATGCCCGACACGAGGTGGGAAGAGCCGGGTGCGGAGACCGTCGTGACAGATGCGAGCGATTCGCGGCGGGGCTTTGTCGCAGTTGATTCGGGATGGGGAGAAGAGGTCGCCGTCGATGCCGTGGTCGTTGCCGGAACTGACGAGGGAGGCGGCTCCTCGGCACGCACGGGCTCAGCAACTTCTGCGGCCGCTCGAGTTGCCGCCGAGTCGCCCAGCTGCGCCTCCTCGATCGCATCATCTGCCACAGGTGCCTGCGTAGGCTGCACGACGGGCGTATCGTTCTTCAGTTCCTCCGCATCCCGCTTCACCTCCTGGCGCAACGCCGCGACTTGAGCGGAGGGAGCGACGGACGGGGCGCGGGAGAGCGAGACGTCTTCAAAGTCGCCAGGCTCGTCCGCTTCGTTCGCCGGCGCAGTAGTGGGAAGTTGAGGGGGAGACAAAGGAACGCTGTCGGTCGTAGGGGGAACTTCAATTCCGCCGGGAGCGCTGTTGTCGTCGAGCGGGACGGAGTCGTGTTCAACCTCGCCAGACACGGTCCGCGCCTTGGCAGACGACTCCTCTGCATGCTCCTGAACTCGATCCGCCACCTCTGCGTCGCTCTGGCCCGCCGTCGTCGCCTCGGCATCGCCGCCCAGCACTCGCTCCTCGTCGTGTTCCCGCTGAACCTCGTCGTCCCTGTCCACCTCAGGTCCAGCTTCCGGCTCCTCGAGCTCAATAGCGGGCTTGTGCTCCTCCTCTGCCATCACCCGTCAACCCGATTGTGCCGTGAGAAGAGAGAGCGAGCGAGCAGACGTGTGGGGGAGCGTTGCTGGGCGAGTGAGAAGCGCTCTGCTGCGGTTGCGGGTGAGTGCGACCGGTCACGGGCAACTGTGCGAGTGTTCTAGCGTGGCAAGCGAGCTGCTCAGCGGGTGAGCGCGTTCAGTCGGCGCGAGAGTCGCCTTGAAGGGACACAACGAGGACCAGTCTCCCAAACTCGCTCGCTTGACGCTGCGCATGTTCGCATAATTCGTGGTACACTGTGTACAGATACCTGCTCTTCTCAAACCGCTGAACGAGGTGACATTTTGTAACGAGATGGGGCTGTCGCGGAAGGAGAGCAAGCTCGACCGTCGACTGTGCCCGCGCTCGCCTCCCAGGGCCCCAAACAGACTACAAGGCACCTGCTGCCGCTCTTTGGGACCGCTACCGCTTGACCAGCCCGCTCGAACCGCCCAACTTCGTCGAGTCCAGCCGGAGAACGCAGCAAGATGGCTACACACGTACGGCTCTTCATCCACGCCTCGCGAAGATACTGTGGCGGTATGGGTGGAACAATGAGGGATTTCGAGAGCTCAGGCAGTCGTCAAGCGGGCCAGGCGGGATGAGGGGACTGGAGGCTGGTCGGGCGGCCTTCGCTGGCGGTTCGTTGCGATGAGCGGACAGCGACGGCAGGCCAGGGCTAGGATGAAGACCGGAAGTGCATGAGACGAGGGCTTAAAGAGCCTACGGGCAGCTGAGCGATTCCACAGACGCCATTGCTGACACCGTCGCTCCCCCCTCCTCATCCCCTGCCGACAGCTCCTCTTCGAATCCGCGACCGGCCTGTCGCTCTTCACGTCCGAGTTTGCCGAGGAGATTGGCAAGTCGGCCAAGTCGGTGCAGGACTCGATTGACGACCTCAGCAAGTTCGGCAAGATGGTCAAGCTCGTCTCGTTCGTTCCCTTTACCGATGCCGCACACGCTCTCGAGGTTGCCAACGACGTCTCTGAGGGTGCGTTGCGCTTTCTCTGTCTCGTGGGCAGGATGGAACATGCTTGGCGGCTTGCGGAGAGGCGGAGGCGACAGTGCTGCCGAATCTACGAATTGACACGCTGCCCGCCCGCAGGTGTCGTCCACGAGTTCCTCCAGGGCCTCCTCGAGCTCAACCTCGGCAAGAAGGCCGGCGTCGTGCTCGGTGTCGAGGAGCGCGGTCTCGCCTCGTCGATCAAGGGCACTCTCGGCATCGAGTGCGACGCGTCGGACCGCACGCTCGAGGTCCTCCGCGGCATCCGTCTCCACCAGGAGAAGCTCCTCGCCGGCCTCGAGTCGGGCGACACGAAGCGCTCGCAGCTCGGTCTCGGACACGCCTACTCGCGCGCAAAGGTCAAGTTCAACGTCAACCGCTCGGACAACATGATCATCCAGGCCATTGCCCTGCTCGACCAGCTCGACAAGGACGTCAACACCTTCGCGATGCGCGTTCGCGAGTGGTACGGATGGCACTTCCCCGAACTCGTCAAGATCGTTCCCGACAACTACCAGTACGCCAAGGTCTGCCACCTCATCGGCGACAAGGCGCAGATCACGGACGAGACGGTCGAGCCCCTCACCGAGCTCCTCGACAACAACGAGACGCTCGCGCGCAACATCGTCGACGCCGCCCGCGCCTCGATGGGAACCGACATCTCCGAGGTCGACCACCTCAACATCAAGAATTTTGCGACCCGCGTCATTCACCTCTACGACTACCGCAAGAGTCTCCAGACCTACCTCTCGGAGAAGATGAGCGTCGTTGCGCCTAACCTTGCCGCCCTCATCGGCGACACCGTTGGCGCCCGCCTCATCTCGCACGCCGGCTCCCTCACCAACCTCTCCAAGTACCCTGCGTCGACTGTCCAGATTCTCGGTGCCGAGAAGGCCTTGTTCCGCGCGCTCAAGACCAAGGGCAACACTCCCAAATACGGCTTGATCTACCACGTCCGTTGCGCTTCTTCGCATTGGCCTTAACGTTCTCGCTGACTCCGGCTTGCCCCGCTCCCGCACAGTCAACCTTCATCGGCCGTGCGCAGGCGAAGAACAAGGGCCGAATCAGGTGCGTCTGGCTGAAACGGGATGCTGGCGAGAAAGCTCAGCGCTGACTCAGCTCCTCGCCCTACAGTCGATTCCTTGCCAACAAGGCATCCATCGCTTCGCGCGTCGACTGCTTCTCCGACTTCCCCAGCACCAAGATCGGCGAGGCGCTTCGCGACCAGGTCGAGGAGCGACTTGCGTTCTACGACACCGGCTCGAACCCTACCAAGTACGTCCCAACACATTTCTTGGTTGGTCAGAAGTGCTGACAGTTGATGCGCCGATAGGAACGCAGACGTCATGAAGAAGGCGCTCGAGGCGGCCAAGGCTGAGGCTGCCGAGCACGGCGGTGCGGACGCGATGGATGTTGACGAGGCGCCTGCGAAGGAGGAGAAGAAGGAGAAGAAGAAGAAGCGCAAGTCGGAGGCTGCTGGTGAGGAGACTGCGGCCGCGGAGGAGGGGTCGCCGAAGAAGAAGAAGAGCAAGAAGTCGAAGGACGAGGTGAGTCTCCCTTCAGCAGCAGCTTCTATCTCAATGCGCTGACCTGGCTGTGATTGTAGGGCGAGAAGCTGTCAAAGGAGGAGAAGAAGGCTCTCAAGAAGGCGAAGAAGGAGGGCAAGGCATCCAAGGCATGAGGTCCTTCCCTTCCGCCCCTTCGCATTTCCCGCCTCGCCTCGCCTTTCTTTTCGCTTTGTCGACCCGTTGTCTAGATAGCTCCCTCGTTGCTCTCCTTGTGGTCCTCTTGCTTCGCGCGAAGGGCCCTCTTGTAGGCTTTCGCCAGCCGCCTGCCTGTACTTGTAACCTTCCTCTATCTCCCTCGCCCCGCTTCGTGCGTCCGACGGGAGCGGCTAGACATGGACAAGCGAGTGCTATTACGCTTCTGTTCCAAAGATATGAAATCGGGCAACAAGCGAGGACAACAGCGAAAGACATCATCAACCTCGAGATCCCAAAACACTGTCCGACCGACGTCCTCCCTCCCTTCCTTCCGCAAAATTGCGCGCCTCCTCACCACTGCTCGACCGACGTCCACCCTGCCACGCCGTTCGAAGGCGACCGACCCTGTCCCCGCAAGTCGTCGCCGCTCTGCCCAGGCGTCAGCCCGCTGCGTATGTAGGCGATGTTCGCGCCGCCCGCGACACTTCCTCCGACCACCTCGCTCGGCAGCTCGATGATGCTGGCCCCGCCGTCTCCGCCCAGCGGGTCGTAAGTCGGGGTCAAGCCCGTCGAGTACTCGTATCCGCCGTTCCCGCCAATCCATGCCGCCGTCGCGTCGCCGGCAAAGTCGACTGCGGGAGGGAGTACAGAAGCGGAAGCGGTGGGCCTCGACGAAGTGGCTGAGTAGTCGAAAGTCGCCGCTGGACTGTCGGTGAAGGCGGCGGTTGTGCCCTCGGTCGAGCTCTGCGAGTGCGCCGTCGGCGATTCGCTGTCCGTCCCGGGCGCATCTACTACGCCGTGTGCGGCCTGGAACGACAGTGGCCGGCCGTAGTGGTCGAAGTTCCAGGTCGCATTCGGAGCGTACGGATGAGGCGGCGGGAGGGCTTGGGCGTCGAGAGCGGATGCGTACGGCGCCGAGGTAGGCTGCATGGGCAGCGGAGGGAGCGAGACCGATGGCTGAGGCGGGACGGAAAGGTCGAAATTGAAGGCGTCGTAATTCGCGGGCGGCCGCCTCGCATTGCGAGCTGTCGTCAACTCCTTCAGCCGCGTCTGGGCGAGCGGCGTAAAAAAGCATGCGAGCTCGAGCGCGCGGGTGAACCAGTCGAGCTCTGTCTCGGTCAAGGCGCACTCTTCCGACAGCGGTCCGAAGGGCGTCATCTCGTCCACGCGCTGGGCTGCCAGCGTCGCCCAGTTGGGCAGGCACTCAAGCTGCGTGAAGAGGTGGTAGACGCAGTGCTTGTCGAGAGAGTCGACGAAGACCTGCGGAAACGAGGGGTCAGAGCTGAACTCGAGGAGGACGAAACTCCGAGCGTACCTTGGAGTAGAAGGCGAGCAGCTTGAGGCACTTGCGCACGCGGCGGTCCGACACGCCGAGCAGCTTGTCGAGGTCGACCACCTGTGATGGCGAGAGGTCCTCCCTCGTCCTCCTCGAGAGCCAAACATGCGCGAGGTGGACGATATCGAGGAGACGCTCGTCCATCCTGACGGCGATGAGGAGGTCGTAGTCGACCGTGTGGTGGTCGTCGCACCCGTCTGGCGTATAGGTGAGGCTGACGAGCGTGCGGTGGAACTTCTGGACCGCCTGATGCGCGCGGTCGATGTAGTCCCACAAGTCCGGGATGGCGGTGAGGAACTTGGCGCCCGTCTTGCGCGACGACGAGATCTTGGCGAAATAGCGCTGGACCGAGCAGACGAAGTAGCCGATGAGGGCAAGTGCGCGGTTCAGTTTCTCGCTCGTAACCCGCCCGCCGTCCGACTCGAGAATCGTGTCGAGCTGGGGACCGAGTTCTTCCGTCGCGAGGTCGGGAACGTGGACGCCCGTGCCGTCAAAGTACTGGTCGAGGTCCTCGTCGGAGATGAGAATCGGCATGCTGAGGTAGGCGGCGATGCGCGAATCGGCTTCCTGCAAACTTGGAAATCAGCGCTGATCCAGCCGTTCGGAGTGACTGGACGCACGAAGAGGGTCGGTCCGGCCGCTCTCTTGATATCGCGGATCTCGGCCGCCGACAAGCCCGAGTTCTGCTGCTGCATGTCGCGGTAGAGACCCATCGCGGTGCGGAGGAAGAACCGCGCTTTCGTCGGCTTGACCTCGGCGACTGCGCGCGCATGGAAAACGTCAGCCCTGTTCGGGAAAAAGAGAAAGAGCTGCAACGCACGCATGAGCATCTGCACGAACGCCGTCAAAGTCTGCAAATTCCTCGCGCTCGCAACCTCGAGGATCTCCAAGCTCGTGCAGACCTCCGTCGCGCGTTTGACGATTGCTCGCCACGCGTTCTCGCGGCGGTGGCCGGCGGAGAGGACGAGGTCGTGCGACGCTTGGCCGTTTTCGATGTCGGGGCCGGCGATGCCGAGGAGGGCGGAGTGAGGGGAAGCGCGGGCGCCGAGGGAGGTGAGGATGCCGACGATGACCTGCGTGAGGGATCTCGTCAGTCGACAACACGTATGGGAGGCGACGAGGCCCGCACCTGACTAGCCGTGTCCAAACGGTCGACGTTCGACTTGAAGTAGGAGACTTCGGGGCTGAAGATATGAAATGCGGGTAGATGGAAGCAGCACGAGTGCATCGAAGCTGTGGACGAATCACGCGTCAGTCCGCACTCTTAGAATGAGGCGAGAAGACGGACACACCATCGATGAGATGGATCGTCAACGACGAAGCCATCGACGGCAACGCCAACCTCCACGAACTCGACGACTCTCCCAGATTGCTCGCCTGCAAGAACACCTCCCACTGCCTGACCGTGCCCGTCCCATTCGCTTCCTCGCCCTCGTCTTTCCCGTTCGCGTGTCCTCCAAGACCGTGCACGAGTGCTTGCGAGCGTGGGAGGTCGACGATGCCGCGATTTGGAGGTGGGGCGTAGGAGTCGTAGGGCTGTAGTTGATGAGGGCGAGAAGGGTAGGGCTGGGCGGATGAGGCGTATGAAGGTCGGCTGAGGGGAGTGGTAGTGGAGAAGGGAGTTCGCATGGGCGCAGCAGGCGTGATGAGGTCCTCATCGGCCGGTGACACCCAATTGGGTCGGAGGGCGCTGCGAGAATGGAGAGGGGGGTTAGTCTCGCATACTCCGGTCGTCTGCTCGGGAAACGACGCACATCGAGACATCGTCGCCGTAGTCACACGTCTCCTTCCGCTTCGTACACCGCGCGCATTCTGGATACCGTCGGTCGCACTGGGATGAGCGAGAGGATGTCAGCGTTGATGCGCTCGTGGGAGCAGTCGGAATCTCGTGAAATGGGAATAGGCACTGACCTTGACCTTTCGAGAACGACAGTTTGCGCAGGACTGGGCAGTAGAGACCGCTCCTTAAGTCAGTTTCGTGCGATCGAGCAAGCGGGAGAAGCGGAACGGGGCGCACCTTGGCCGTCACCTTGACCAACTCTGTCCCGCCTGGCAGAGTCTTGGGCAGCTGTCCGTTCGACGTCGAGACGAGTATTGACCCTCCAGGCGGGAGCCCCATTCCCTCATACCCGATCTGTCCAGCCCAGTTAACCGCTGGTCGAGGAAGAGGCGGCGACGGAGGGAGTTGGCTGGTCGAGGCGATTGGGTACTGGTGAGGCGGTGGCTGCGACGGGGGAGGGTTGCGCGGGTCTGTGTAGGGGTACTGCGAGGCGTACGGGTCGCTGTAGCCGTTCATGGCTTCGCCGGCACCGTGTTGGCGCGAGTTGCTATGATGAACCTTCGGGATGGGAGAGGGGCGGGGGAGGCGGTTTGGCAGGCTGGGACGAGCTGGCAGGCGGTTCTGGCAGTCTGCTAGAGCAGCTCGAGCGATTCAGAGCACGGCACAGAGCAAGGCGAGTGATTGAGCAACGTCAACTCGCGCGAGAGGCTTCCCGGATGAGGAAGTCGAGGACGACGACGACGAGGAGACGCTTCCCTGACAGTTCCGAGCAGCGTTCTCCGCCAGATCTACTCGCCAAGAGAGCCTGGACACACAATCACAAGCAGAGCCGCCTCTTTAACCGAGAGGAACAAGCCCCCTGCGAGATCGTCGACGAACGCAATCTCGCACAGAAGTCCAGCGAAGCATCCGTCTGTCCAGCCATGGCCGTCACGACATCGAACATGTGAAGATTGCCACGCTCCCCACGTGCAGCGGGTGAGCAAAACTGCCGTACAAACGAACTTGAAGGACTCGCCGCCGTCTCGTTCCTCTATGCCGCGTCGCCCAGGAAAGCCCGGCGCGCCGCCTCCTTCTCCTCGGGCGTGAACATGGGAGGCTGCGGGCGATACGCGTAGTGGAGTCAGTAGAATGGCAGCAGAGGAACGAATCCTCGAGGTTGGAAGCAGAGACAGGGGCGTACGGGAATGTTGCGCTCCCTGTTGGAACCCTTCGCCCGTCAGTGGCGAGCTCACGCATTAGCGAGGAAAGCTTCAGAACGCACCACTTTGTTCCGTCGACAGCCTCTGGAGCTGCGCGAGAGGCGAACAAGTCGAGGTCAGCCAAGTCCGGCTTGATAGCGAGAGAGCGGCCACAACGCACGTCGGTAAGGGTCGGGGTGTGAGAGCTTCTGGACCTCCTGCTCCGCCTCGTTGAGCAATGCAGCGACCGCTCGCGGGTCCCGGACGTTGCGGTTGCGCTCGAACTGGGCGCGCAACTCCATCGCCTTGATCCGCCACAGATCGCGTCGGACATACCTGCGGGCGTTATGCAGCAGTGTCAGGACGGTCAGAGGGACTTCCAGGCCGGGACGAGGGCGAAGGAGGGTGCGGAGAGTGGAGCGAGCGAGTGTACCAGTCGAGGGCGCCCTTCAACGCGCGGCGGTAGAGGTGCTGTGTGCCCTTGCGAGTCAGTAGAGCTCTGTCCGAGGCTAGCAAGCCCTACGCACCATGACATAACGGCGGTGTGCTTGAGACTGCTCGACGTCGGGCGATGAGGATGCGAGGGTCAGCTCCTCCTGCCTGCGCCGGCTACGAGTCGGCCTGATCGAGTGTTACGCACGAAGGGAGCGACCGTCGCTGCTGTCTGAGGCATAGCTGCGCGAGGACGAGGAGGCAAGAGGACAGGCCAACGCTGGTTCACCTCTTCAGCCCTCGACCGCTCACTTTGCTACGAAACTCGCTGCTGGAGGGCCGAGTTGGGGCTACCAGGTTTCTACTAGCCTCTACTATGAGCTGGCGTCTTGCTCCCACACTTGCAACCGTCCTCCTCGCCTATCGTTGCTTCTCGGTCACCGTTTCGTACGCGCCTTAAGCAGCTCGTGAAGGACGTGCTGGCTGCTCGGCAGCGTCAGAAGGCATTTGGCGAATCGGCTCACAGGCGGCGGGCGCATAGGTCGTGTTTGTTCAGCCCTGTCGACTTGCTTTCTGCTTGCTCTCTGCCTCACTTCACGACCTTGCGCCGCAGTTTCTCGCCGGACGGTCGCGCTTGCAACTGCTACACAACGCTGACGTTGTCAAAGACTGCATGCCGCTTCAGACGGGATTGGCGCCGGCTGTGGCTCGGCTGGCAGTATCGCCACTCTCGGCCAGGCCGTCGCCGGCCACGGGCCAGCAGTCTCGATTATCGGCGTTCTCGTCATGTGGCGGTTCATCATGGGCGTCGGCATCGGCGGCGACTACCCCCTCTCGTCGGTCATCACCTCCGAGTTCGCCGCGACTCGCATTCGCGGTCGCATGATGTCGCGACGTGACATTACGCATACCTCTTCTCCTTTTGCCGATGAAACGTCTCCTCGTCGCCCCCGCTTACCGCTCTGCCTTTCCCGCAGCTTCTGGTCGCGGGTTCGTCAACTCGCTCGAAGCGGTTATAAAGTACGTGATGGTTTTCGCCGCCCGGAGATTCTTGCGCTAAGCCACTGACGCCGCTATTGAAGCTTCTCTGACTGCTCAAGTACGCCGTGCAGATCAAGGAAGGGCACGACGGTGACAGGAGCGGGATCCTCCGCCATGCGAAGAGCAACTTGGCTGGTTCGACCGCACGTCCGGCGCCCGCAATCTCTTCGCACTCCCTTGTAGTTCCTCAATACTACACTCGTCTTCGCCGTCGTACACCGCGAAAGAGAGAGTTTCCGGACCTGCCGCCGTTGCCGCCGGCCCAAGCAAACCTCTCCGCTTCGAACGCTTCACTTCGCACAGCTCGGCACTCGCTAGGCAGCCGGTTTCATTCGTAGACTGTCAAAGAGCTACTGCTACCCACGGCTGCGTCTCCCCGCTTTCCCGCCTTCTCTCCTCGTCTCCCCACGACATGGCACCACCCGACAACGAGCGTTCACCGCTGCTACAGAGCACGCCGAGCGAGGAGCCAGAGGATCCGACAAAGCTCCCAAAAGGTCGGAGGAACGCGATTTTGGTCGCAGTGTGGTTGGGCGTGTTGTGCGTCCTCCTTTCTAATTTCAAGGAGATGAGGAAGAGTTCGCTCACTCGCAGGTTCTTACAGCTTGGGGGCACTAGACGGGACTATTGTGAGGTTTACCACGCTTTCTCAGCTCTCCTACCAAGCTAACCGTCTTCCCCCGCAGGTCGCAACCCTCATCTCGGACGTCTCGAGTTCCTTCAAGAAGTCCAATCAAGCCGGCTTGCTTGGCACCTCCTACCTCCTCAGCACAGCGACCTTCACTCCCTTGTATGGCCGACTAGCCGACATTATCGGTCGTCGCGCCGCACTCCTTATCGCCCTCACACTCTTTACGAGCGGAACGGCGTTGTGCGGGTTCGCGCCGTCAATGGTGTCATTGTTGATCGGTCGGCTGATTGCTGGAATGGGAGGTGTGCTCATGACCCGTTCACTGACGTCGCGAAGCGAAGCTGACTTTGCGCTTTGCAGGCGGAGGCCTGATGGCCGTTTCCTCGATCGTCGCGTCCGACCTAATCCCGCTCAAGCAGCGAGCGCTCTTCCAGGGTCTTGCAAACCTGTTCTTCGGCGCAGGCAGCGGACTCGGAGGACCGCTGGGAGGGTTCATCTCGGACAGGTATGGCTGGCGGACGGCTTTTATCGGTGCGTCGTGATCAGTTCTCCGCTGCTTGCTCGCTAACTGACAGCACATTCCGCTCCCACGCAGGTCAGCTCCCCGTCCTCCTCCTCGCCACCTTCCTCGTCTTCCGCAATCTCCGCTATCGCATTCCCGGCCAAGGCAAGAGCAAGCGCGAGATGGCACGCCGCATCGACTATCTCGGCTCTCTCACGCTCGTGATCAGTGTGCGTGTGACTCTGTAGCTCTCAGCGCAAACCGAGACTGACCCGCCTTCCTTCGCGCAGCTCGGCTCTCTCCTCTTCGCCCTCTCATTCAAGAATGACCGCAGCCTCCCATGGTCGAGCCCATTCGTCTGGGCTCCCCTCATCGCCTTCGTCGTCGCTTCGATTGCCTTCGTCCTCGTCGAGGCGTACTACTCGCCCGAACCGGTCATGCCGCTCCGTCTGCTCAAGGACAGGAATGGGCTGTTCGTCGCGCTGGCGAACTTTACTGTCTCGTTCGTGTCGTTCTCGGTGAGTCGCGCAGTTCTAGCTGTTGACTGCGAGCGTGCGCTGACAACTTTGGCCGCCAGATCCTGTACTTCTACCCGCAATTCTTCGAGATCGTCAAGCAGAAGTCCGCGTCTGAGGCAGGTGCGTCCTGCAAGCTTTTAGGACCACACGGGCGTCGCTAATGCGGCTTGTGAGCACGCAGGCGCGCATCTCCTCCCCAACTCGATTGCTCTTTCCGCCGGATCGCTCTTCGCCGGCTTCGTAAGTCCACCTTGCACACGGCGCTGAGCTCTCACTGACGGTTCTCGCACGCAGGTCATCCGCAAGACGGGCCGCTACTACTGGCTCATTGCCATCACCTCCGCCTTCCCCATCTTCGCCCTCACCTCTTTCGTTTTCCTCGACGAGAACAGCGGTTGGTTCCTCTCGTGGCTGTCGATCTTGCCGAGTGGTTTTGGCTTCGCTTCCGTCATCACTGCTGGACTCAGTAGGTACACACTCTGTTTCGCGTCCACTCGCTCGCTGACCTTGACCTTCGCACAGTTGCGCTCATTGCGAGTGTGGACCGGAGCGACATGGCGACCGCGACGGGCTTGACGTACCTCTTCCGCTACGTCGGTCAGGTTGTCGGTGTCGCCTGCAGCGCTTCGATGCTCCAGGCCGTCTTGACGAGCGAGCTCAAGCATCGCATCACCGGTCCCGGCGCAGAGAAGGTGCGTTCGTCGCTCACCGCTTGACACGATACCGCTGACGCTGTGCGTCCACAGACCATCGACCAGATCCGCCACGTCGCAACCTCGATCCCCACCCTCCCTCCAGCAATCCAGCAAGCCGCACGCGATTCCTACCGCTACGCCCTCCGCGCCGTCTTCCTCCTCAACCTCGGCGTTGCAGTCGCTTGCTTCATGACGACTTTGCCGATTCGGGAGTACCCGCTGCCTGGGTCGTTTGAGGAGGAGGAGGAGCATCGGAGGCAGAGGAATTCGGGGACTAGCACGCCGAGCGGGGCGGCGCAGGCGTAACGGCATGTCGTGTGAGGAATAGAGCATGTTTATATCTGCACATGTCGCGGCAAATGGACTACAGGAATTGGGCTTCCCTTCCTTGCTTCTGCTCGCATCCTTGGTCCGCCTTGCTCTTCGACGTCGTTCCTGGTCCTCGCTCGCAGACCTGCGCTCTGCAAAGGTGCTCGAGCCTGAGCGACATCGAGGTCCGTTTGTCTGAACGACGTGGTAAGGCCAGGACGACTTTGCGAAGGAGTTGCTAGCCGCTCTTCTTCCTCTTCTCACGACGCTTCTCTCGCTCACTGGAACAAGACGCGTGATTCGACCGTAAAGACCGTTTTGCAGGGAGTGCAAGGCGTGATTAAGGCTAGAGCCTAGGAGATACCAGAACAGGACGGATAACTAGACACAGAGACCGACACGGGCGGAGCGACGGCGACCGATGAGGCGCGCGCAATGAGGACCGACAGAGAGTGATGCGATGAGAGGAAATCTAGGGGAACGGAAAGGCTTAGACGCGGGCGGCGCCGTGAGGAGCGGGGGTGTCCGCGATGAAGTGGTCGTTGTCCTCGCCCGAAAGCTCCTCGAGCGTCTTGCCCTTGGTCTCGGGGAGGAGGAGGGTCGAGAAGACGCCCGTAAGCATGAAGAGGGCGAAGATCTCGAGGATGTGGGGGACAAAGGCGTTCTTGCCTCCGCGGTCCTTCTGCGAAGCAGGAAGGGAAGCGTCAGCGCTCGTTCGGGGTCGTATCGGCTCGGAATGTACTCACCAACTTGAACGCCATGATCTGGGCGATGATGGCGCCGAACTTGCCCGACGCAGCCGAGATACCGTGAGCGGTGGAGCGGTAGCGAGTCGGGAAGACCTCGCCGGGGATGATGAAGGTCGTCGTGTTCGGGCCGAAGTTCTGAAGGAAGTTGGCTGCGAGGGGAGGGGAGAGGGTCAGTAGGGGGAAGGCCGGAATCGGACGCCGCAACGCACTGATGCAGTAGAGGAAGACGAAAGCGCCGACGGCGTTGTCCTTGAGCTTGTGGTAGCCGAAGCTGGGCGAGAGGAGAAGGTTAGACTCGAAACTGAGCGAGGACAAGTCGACCGACTCACCCCATGCAGCAGAGAGTGACGGTGAGGAGCGCGAAGCCGATGAGCTGGCTGTTGAGGGCAGTAGAGAGTCAGTAAGGCGCGCTGCGGAAGCGAAGGTGTCCTATGAGACGAACAGAGGCTGAGGGGGCAAGCGGCGAAGGTCAGCGAGCGGTTCGTCGACAGGAGCGGATGTCTGGGCAAAGGGCAAAGTTACCTTGCGACCGATTCGGTCTATGAGGAAAAAGGCCGCCCAGAAACCAGGGATGAGACCGGCCACGGTGATGATGATGTTGCCGACCGCATTGTCTGCGAAGGAGGAAAAGGAAGAAACGGACG